CAACTGGAAGGAGAAAACGTCTCTCATTTTCACTGTTTCAAAGTTTTGCGCTACAATCGCTGAAGATGTCAACCTCGATTTTCCGAAAAAGATTATTCGTGACTTGAAGAAGCATTTTTTGAAGAGATTATCAGATCTTGACAGAATTGAGTGACATTCTTCTGTTCCAGAATCCGTTTGATTGTAACCTTGATGATGTGCCTGTTGAACTACAGTTGGAGCTCATTGATTTGCGAGCAAATGACTTGTTGAAAGAGAAGCACAGAGAAGGAAAACTTGTTGAATTTTACCGCTGCTTACCTGATGTTGAGTTTCCGAAACCTGAAGAAATTTGCCGCTGGTATGGCATCAGTGTTTGGAACAACTCATGTCTGTGAGCAAACATTTTCACAAATGAAGTATGTGAAGTCAACACATCGAACGAGATTGACTGATGAACATTTGAAAGCAATTCTCTTGATTGGATGCAGCAATTCCAAACCAAACATTGATGATATCTTGAAAGCCAAACGTCAGTTTCACAAATCTCACTAACCTTTTTTGCTACTTAGTTTGTGAGATTCGGATATGTGCACACTAGGTGTGATGTAACTATCTTTTTGCTAACGTCGCCTTCTTTGATAACTTTTTAGTAAATAAATATGTTGGTTGTCTTTGTTTTTTGTGCATTGCACGCCACTCACCCATGATTAACATGGAATGGTAAACTTAGTTTTTCGTCTTTTTTCCCCGAGCTTTCGTTCTGGCTTGCAAGTATTGAACATGATTATGCGGCCCGCGCTCGTCAATCTTTCAGTTATCCGGCCCACTGTGAAAAAAGTTTGGTGACCCCTGCAGTACAATATAACACTGAACCAGTGAAATATCTGCTGTGGTCTCATGGAGTCACGAAACTCTTTGGCAGGCATTACTTACAATTATTATTAGCTTGGAAACCCCACAATCTCTTGTGGGCCCTGTGCTTTCTGTGTGCGGCATGAGGCTGAAAGCGTCCACCTCGCGTGGCATTTTGGGGCAGTAGCGGCAGAGTTCGCGAGTGTGGGAGCGGTGCAACTGCGCCGTAGGGTGCAGGAAACTGGAGGGGGGCCAGTTGCCAGATAACGAAGATGTTGAAATTGGACATGAGGATCGACCCAATTGTATTCCTTGCTCTAGGAGCCCAGGGCCCCTGCCAACAACGCTCTGCCACTGAGTGTGCGAATCATTCGCCCCTGTCTGTCGCTGATGAGGCGACCGCTCGGGGTTGTGGCAACTGTCCACACGCGGCTTCAATTTGAGATTATTGTAAATCAGTTGAGGGATGACTCCAGCAGCCAGACCCACTCGGTAGATCTGTGGCACGCATTGACTAACGCGTGCACTCGTTGTCTGCAAGCCAGGTCCAATGTTATTCTTGCTTACACACGAAGAGCCTTTCTGGCACAAACCTGCCACTCAAAGCACCGTCACATTAATACAGACCCCCCCCCCACCCCTCCATTTGGCCTTAGCAGACTGTTGGGGCAAGCGCTGTTAGCCAGCACCTATGAAGGCCGACACGGCACAAGACGGGGTGGGTGGCCAGCACCACGCCCGGCCACCTTTGTCTCCCCAGTGCTGATGTTTATAGTACCAGGTACTAATTTGAGGCTCAGTCGACCTAGGGAAGGCCCAGGACTAGGTCAGACAATCGTTATCACTGGTGGTGGCCGTGAGCAGATTTCGAACCCGGGTCCCCGGGTTCGTAACACAACGTGCTCACCACTACACTACCGCTCCCCACATGTAATGCCCAAACATAAACATGTACAATTCTATACAATGAGACAAAACAAACTGCTCCTCGTTTTTTAACATGTGAAAATAAAATCAAGTTGCGGCTGTGAGTTAGTTGTTGTATGCAAGTGCAAAGAGATGTGTTGTTGTTGAATTGTGACTTGAATGTAGCGATGGAGTCAAGTGTGCAATTGCTTCGGGGAGGTTGTTCCAGAGGTGTGGTGCTGCAAATAAGAACGATCTGTCCAACCCCATGATGTGTGTGGTTGGCTGTTGATGATTGGAGTGATTGGGTTGAGGAGTGAAGTGATGTTGTTTTGCTTGATCTGTGCGGTTGCTGATGATGTAAGGTGAAATCTGGTTGTGGAATGCTTTGTATGTTAATAGGATTATTTTGAAGTGTATTATGTATTTGATTAGTTTCCAGTGTACGTTTTTTATATATATAATTTGTGTAATTTGGTGTATTATGCATATAATTGCTAACCAGAGTACATTATTAGAGTTCAGAATCAGAAGTTTATTTTCCGAGTAAATCCCATTGGGCTAAGTAGCTCTCTTCAAGGGCATCAATCCATGGCAATTCGGTCGTCAGTAGGCCTTCCGAATATTTCAGTTGTCTTGGATCAGGCCGTGTTTGTGAATGCAACAGAAACAGTATGGACACACTCAGACAAGTTAGGAAGCATTGTGCTCACGATGGGTAACTTTCACATTGAGAAAATTGGTGGCCATTTTGAAAAATGTCATGAAGCTGGGAATCTGGAATGTCCACCACATGATCCCAAACAGTTCAGTACATCAGGCTAACTGAAAACAAGTTGCTTTAGTCCCTCAGTTTGGTAGTTAAATGTCGTCTGGCTTATGGGCTATGTCAATGCAAAGGTTATATGTATGATTTACAGCTATAATTCTATGTCAATTTCTGCTGATGAATCATAGATCACAGACGGGTTAATTAAACTAACATAATACAGATTTTTCGTCTGTTACCAATTGAGACATGAGACAGTGTGGTTTTTAGGCTCATAAATTGCTTTGAATGTCCTTGCATTATGCAATTCTACAACTAATTATTCTGCGAATCATGCAGAATGATTTTGCACCACAGCACTATATGTCTGAGCTGAGCATCATTTCATCCGTAGCTGTAGATTGAGTTCCAGAAAATATCACCGCCTCCCCAAGACACAAAGGGCTGGCTGGAGGGTTTGTAATGGGTGAGCCCCGGAAAAATGACGTGAAAAATTAAGGTCTGTGTATGAATCCGCTATTCACATTAAAATTCTATAATGCGTACCCTTCGAGATACCATACACGGACAAAAGCACAAAATAAATTAATATTTAATTAATTCCACTAAGAGCGCGTTTCTGTACCATTACAGAAGCTGGGATTCAAAAGGCGGCGCCACAGTATTCCGGCATGCACTCATAACATTTGTTTGGGCCTCGTGGTCTTGATTCCATTAGCCCTGAAACGTGCCGCGAGGGGCCCTAAACGTGGAACGCTCTGCACAAGGCCAGTCACCCACGTGGCTTACAGAGTAGTGCCATAGCTACCAAGTGTGTACTGGAGGTGGTGCAAATAGACCGGGGCCCATGGGCTGGAGGGATCCAGGTTGCTGAATTATGAAGATGATGGGACATTTCATAGGAGGGGGGGGGGGAGGTATTCATTTCACTCATAAGGTTTTTGGGTTAGATCGCGTAAGTATAAATGTGTCGTAACCCTCCACCACCCGACACAGCCAGTAAGGTTTGTCACGCAAACAAACGTGACAATTAGTTACTACTCCAGCCCACTGGTGAGTTGGAGAGTAAATCCAAAACATTTACAAGTACGACGTTTCGCTGGTAGTTACATGACTCCTGTCATCAGGACCCATGATATGCACCCTACGCCACTTTGACGAAGGCTAAATGTTGAGACGGAGAGCGATGATCGTGAAACATGGGCTATGCACGGGCAATGCTGCACGAGCCCCAAAAATGTGGGCTCAGGATGGAGGACTGGAGTTTTGCAAGCTTATGTAACAATGCATTGCATAACTTGGTTGTAATTATCAGTTCTATTTAGTTCAGTCTAAATTTACATACAAGGTGTCATGGACATATCTTTAAAAGTTGTTTGCAGTACAAACGTCGAGTGTGCATGAGATAAGGACATGGTTGGGCACATCATGCCCTTGTCACGCACTTCGAGAGCACTCGCAGCACTGCATTGCACTGCCAGCCACATGACACATTTAGAAACATTTTTGGGGGCCACTGCTGGTCAAACAGAGGGCTATTTTTTACCAAAACCCACCATTCGCCACGAAGTGATGGTGACATCACCACAGCCTGTGCCAGGCCAGGTGCACTTTGAGGCCCTGTAAAGTGTTGAAGGCTCACCGACAGGTCTCGGGACAGACCCAGGTGACATGGATTGGCTGACCGAGGTGACTGGTAGATGCACCAGCTGTACCCCCTACTGTGCCAACTTGCTATATTTTATCTGCCCGGCTCTCTGCTCGTTGTTGTGAGCGTCGCTCCTCTGCCCTCCGTTGTTGCTGGAAGGCGACTGCCTCTTAACTGCCCAGTAGCGTTCTTCACGAGCCTCCTCCAGAGGCCAATCTTAACACCGCACACACAAATACAAGCTCGTGTTCCACAAAGACTATCCATTTAGTCATATGGGCTGCTGGGGTCATTTTTTTAAATTATAGTTGCTGTGCGCAGACCCAAAATGCCAAGAAGCTAGACAATGTCGGCTATTTTAAGTTAATTATTTTTTTTGGCTGCTTTGGTGTCCAGGCTTTCATATTCATTCATAAGACAACTTCATTTAACACCTTCGTGAAAAAAAGTGGTCTGGTATGCAACGGATGACACCCTATACAGCCTTGAGGCATATGGAATAGCATAGCAACTATGGCATCTGGAAAAAACGTTACATCTTAATTTTCTAAATCCATTACTAGTTAGCCCTTATAAAGTCCCAAACCCTGTCAACGTGAGTTAGCCAAACACACTCATTTCCGTTATTTATACGTTGCTACATACACCTGACACCATACATCCATTTGTTAAAATAAATAACCTTTCACGACCTTTCAACACCTTCTTACATTCCCCTGGCCATCGCGTTACATTCCCATCCCTCATGGGCATAACACGCATCCGGATTCATTTGTAAGAACATGCTCCTGGTCGACAGCAAATTATTTTAGTCATTTGATGACAAATGACTTTAGCGGGACACCAATTTCACGTTTTTTTTTTATTACCCGAGTATTAATCAGACGCTGTGTAACATCAAACCTGTATGCGACTGTGCCAGAGCACAATAACAACCAAAACACAACTGCATCCAGCCACCTGCTTCGCTGATTCGCCTGTGAATCCGAGTGAGACTAAAGTTCACCTTCCTGTATTGTGACGGAGACGGGTACACACACAATTCACACGTGGGCGCGCGCATGCAGGAGCACAGTGTTACGGTCAAACGCGTACAAGCACAGCAAAAGAAAAGTGCCTCTTAGCACTTTGTGCAAGGAAACCAGCCCATTTAGCAGGGCACATTATGAAAGGTGTTGGCACGTTATCGCAGGCTGGATAAAAAAAAAGTGAGAACACACTGAGAAAAAAGTGGAGGTGCAGCCCTGCAATTGCTTACTCACGGCGGAACAGCTTCCACTAAAGGTAGCTTTAGACAGCCCAACTCTCCCACGCTGGCCAGACATAATGGATGAGGTGGGAGCACCCACACTTTACCCCACAGACATGCAACCTGCCGATACTGTGTACAAATTCATGCTGCTGGGGATTTAAGAAATTTGCCCCATCGTTTCAACTGCCACAACGGGAGATCAATGCGCAACCCATTACTCCACAGCAGCACCCATAATGAAAATATAGACTTCTCTACTTACGAACATTCGACTTAAGAACTTTCAGAGATATGAAGAAACCTGTCCATATGTCCAGTTTCCGGTTCAGAGTTAGAGTCGTAAGTTCAATCACCACGCAATAGCGGCAGTGGCATCGACGTCTGCAGATCAAGAAACAGTGGCATCCACATCTACAGATTATACAACTGTTAAAGCCATTCTCCGTGTTTAGTGTACACGCCGTACACGTTTGGAATCGACAGGAGTAAAGTTGGACTTATGAACAAGTGGACTTACAAACCTAACTCGTTCATAAATAGAGTCCCTGTAGTACATTACATTGTGGCTAAATATTTCTCCAGGTGCATTTCAAAATCCTCATTGATTTACCAATTGCATTCACAATTTAATGTTAGGGGCTGCTATGTATAATTACTTCAACTGTAATTTAAAATGTACCTTAATTGTGTGCACCGTGCAATATACATTCACATAAATATAAATTCCAGATAAAACAGGCGAGTAAATTACGCCGTGAAATCAATTCACACAGCTTGCAGTGATGGGCGATGTTATCGTATCATACTCCCCCCCCACCCCCGCTGTCAACTTCAGGAGCAGGCAATCTCAAAATTGGGATTTAAAAAATAAAGCAGCAACATGTGTAAAAGGTAGCCTTCTTCATAGCTTGATACCTGCTATGAGTAATAGAGCCAAGCCACTGTGCAATTTCACTCTTGAAGTACAACAAAAATGCTACCGCAGCACATTTTGAATAAGTGTTGGATATACAGCATTCCCCAGTCAGTGTTGGGGCCACTTGCTGCCACTTGACTTTAGTGAACACAGTGGTCACAGTGCCACAGAGTTTGTTGTGCAAGGCCCCTGGCAAGAAAAACAAATGTACAACCCTCATGTCAATACACTGATGGATAAGGGCCTCCCTGTGCCATGCATGTCAATGGGGTTGTCTAACCAAACTCCACCACGCTGGTAAACGTGGGTTGGTGAAGGCTCGCTCGAGCATAAATGCTGGAGCATCTTGGAATAAAATACAAAACGAAACATTCCTACGCTGCTGGCTGCTAACAAAGTAGCCCTGCAGCAGTCTATAAACCCTGTTTTAGGCATGGTAGCCGTCCATCCAAGCACTATCCAGGATCAACCATGCCTAGCTTCCGGATCTGGCGCATTCCAGGTGATTTGGTCAGGAGTGATAAGTAAAAAAAAATACATATGAATGTTAAGTGGTTCAAAAACCAAAAAATATTTCGTGGAAATCACAATCAACGTACAGGATAGAGCGGCGAGTGTTAAGGTTTGCAATTTTGTAGGATCTATTAATACTTCAACAATACCTCTCCCCATGCTCTGAAAGAAGCATTGCTCTTTTAGCAAGAAATTTCAAGCAATATAAACACCCCATAGATCAGAGGTTGGCAATCGAAATAACGAGAAGAGGCATTTTTTCGAATTCAGTAAAGAATTTTGATTTAAAGCTTTCGTGAATGCAGGGATTCATATTCTTGGTTCTTTCGGTAAAGTCATTGTTTCCCTTCTACGTGACTTTATCGAAAGAACCAAGAATATTCAGTAAAGAACTCAATATTTCCAGAGCCGCAATGCATGTGAATACAAAACAGTCCTTAATAAATAAAGTCACGCAGCATCCTTAAAGAGCCGCATGCCACCCCGTCGCCGCAGGTTGCCGACCCCTGCCCGAGATGCTAGGAAGTCAAATTCGCATTTGGAGTGCCTATTACCTACTGGCTTTAGGTAAGAAATGTGAATTCAACCGGTGTACAGTGAAACAGGTTACTTATGAAGAGAGCACTAATTAAAGCCTGAATATAAAGTTCTCCCACGCGTGACGTAAGACCACAAACCTAAGCAATTAAGGATGCAGTCTTGAGCGCATCAGGCTTTTAAATGTTAGTGGCCCCACTTGACAAATTTTGCATATGTACCAACATAAACAACACTTTCCTTATAGAAAAAACATAAGCTCGATCTGTATATTATATTTACTCAAACGGGTATTCGCACATACACAGCATCCACTCTTAGACGTACAAATGTAAACACGCACTACATTTGCCAGCTTGTCCTCCTGCCATTGAACCAATGATGCCTTTGGCCCTGAAAGCAACGAAGCCAATACAGGCCAATCTCTCCGCACCATCACGTCTGCGTAAGCGGCACCTCCTCCAGGCCACCTTTGTGATAGCGGTACCGTGCCAGATCCTTGCGGGTCACCAGCCCAATCACCTGTGCAATGCAAACACATGACCAGCACCCACTTACACACAAATGCAGATTAAAAGTGCCCATGAAAATGCACGGGCTAACGGTTAGACAATTGTACATATACTGCAGGCCTAAATACATAGAAGTTAACAGAAATTTTCCACTGTAAAAACATTCACTTTCTAAATCCACTACTGGATAAAGGCTTCCCCACGTGATGCGGGTTGTTATTTTTAATACTTCACCACACTGGAACGTCAAGTACAGTACAACAATGTGGTTTGATGCACTGCCCTCCTCTGCCCACAATGCCGACAACACCCGTTTTAAGCACAGCGGTCATTGTTCCAAACACTATTAAGGCTCAACCCTGTTCAATGTCTGAAATATTACAAGATACAGCTCATTCTGAGTGATCAGGTTATATTTTAGTGCAGGGTTAAGCGTGATTGCGCAACAACACGCGGCACTCTGAATGACGCCTCACCCTGTTATCGCCGTTGCAAACCACCAGGTGGCGGAGCCCTAGCGCGCGGAACAGCTTGAAAATCCTGTGCAGCGACGCCTCCTAGAGACAGTGATTGGCAGACAGAGATAGCACCCACAGGCATTCTACATTCAACTCTCTCACATACCTGCCAACCCATACTGTTTAACTGTATTCTTGTACAGGGGAATTTAGTTTTCAACCGTTTCAATACGGGCAAAAATGCGTCTATGTGTTTCTCCCTTGTGATGGGACTTTGTAGGATGAACATTGATATTTATAAGGGCACGAGATGACCAATAAGGTCTGAATTGGTCTGTAATAAGGTAGGCACTGATAAAGGGTTGACAGGTATGGTCTTAGCTGTGCTGTCAGACAAGGCATTCATAATGTACCGTCCTTTATGAAGCTGGGACTTGTTAAGATATCACTTGCTACAGATATTAGCTGTTGCCAGGAATCAAACTCACATGCAAGAATGCCATTGGAGCACCCCTTGACCCCAATGCTATTAGATGTAAAACTACTGCTACTCAATAATTTTAACGACCAGTTTCATTCATTGCTTGGACATTTCTCTATCCCTGCTGTAAATGGTGCACAGGGCAGACAAGCAAGACAATATGGGGCGAGGCCCTCATCCAGCTATAGCGTGCTCGCCACTTGTGGTAGAGGTTTACTGTTCGAATATGGCAGGCCTCCCTGGTTATTATTGCAGCGTATTAACCATACAAATAAGTGATGTCTGCTTTACAGTGGATGTTAAAGATCCCCTGACATCATTGGAAAAAGAGAAGCCCATTGGTCCAAATGTAGCTAATTAAAAAATACCCACAAACTACCCAATTGGGATTACACATAGCAACATCACTCCATACTGAAAGACTAAATTATCTGTCAAAAATAGCGCTTTGGTGAAAGCTATCCCTGTGCCAAAATAATGGCTCAAAAAGGAAATTTAGCAGACTATTATAATGGGAGGGAAGGCGGCACCTGTGGCACAGTGTACGGTGTGGGGTTCATGTAGCTCGAGAGGTCGACGGTGCACTCGCGCTCCTCCTCCGACACGTGTATCGACTGAATGGGTGGAAAGCGCGGGTACGCGTCCCGGAAGTCCTTCAGCGTCAGCCGGTGCCTGGGCTCACCCACGTCACTCCGCTCCATGAAGGCCTGCGCTCCTCGCGTCGGGAAGGCCGCGTGGGTCACTTCGGCTTGTGGCCTCCGACTTGGCAAAAACTGCATTTCTAATCTTAGCACACTCAGTCACCTGTTGTCTTTAAAGTCATTCTAAGTGCAATCGCTATAATGAGCTGCATACTTGCTAACCATGCTTGATTTTAAGTGGCAGGATGTCGATCTTTAATCCCTTTTATCACATACCAATTTTAAAAGCAATGGATTAGCTTAGAAAACCAGTATGCGTTCAAAGGATTTTGAATTCAGAAGCATACCACTTAAATCGATCGGTAAAAATGGCTAGTATGCAGTTTGTTGTAACTAATAAATGCAAGTTTTCACACAAGGAAACATGCAAATGCACGTGAAAACATGCACATGTAGAACTTGCACCTGTGCCCATTCATTCTAACAAGTGAGCCAAACTTGCTGGTATATAGTAAAGAGTTATTTTTTTCTGAATAAGCTTTTTCCAAGTAATTCATTGCCAATTTTCCCAGAGGCTTCAAAGATTAATATGAAACATTAAAATGTGAAAAAAATAGTCATACATTGGTTCAGGGTAAAGTTTCTGGTTTAGCAGGGGAGGCAATGAGGCTAAGTGGTGGTGGACTGCAGTGGCCACAGAAAAAGATGAGCACGTGTCAACACTTCTAAGTGCAACACCACAAGCAGTTGGAGAACACCCACCTTGTGTTTTAAAAGCACGATCAGCTGAGAACGCAGCATGAGCCCACGCAGCTTCCCAAAATCATCTGCGTCCCCCTGCTAAAACAAGAATAATCACACATGTCAACAAAAACAGCCAATTCCCATTAATAAACCAGCGTGGACGCATTTCTGGAACTTTCCACATGTAAGAGCATTTGTTACATTGGTAGTATAATGGATATATAATAAACCGCAGTCTTAGAAATGTATAATTTAATTATGCAAATCTTCCCCAGTATTGGTGCCTTCCTGCTAAGCAAGGAACGCACATTAAGGTGCAATGCAAAAATAATGTTTTGTACTTTTTGGGTCTTTCGGTGTGACTTTACCGAAAGACCCAAAGAGTATGAATTCCTGCAGTCATGAAAGCTTTAAGTCACGATCCCACCAGTTCAGTTTAGTTCCAGCTGCTTTTGTATACAGGAAAGTCCCCAATAATGCGTTCCTGGAAACCCCATCGGAAACTGGATCATCGTAAATCAGACCCTATTTTCCCAGACAGTAGAATCGGTATAAACATCACTTGCCTATGTTTTCCTTTTATCGGCCATATTTAACAGGGGTTAATAGGTAAAATTCCACGAAGACCACTAAGAATAACAAAAGCTCCACGCCAAGTCACATCGGAAACCAGACTGACTCTGTTCAAATGTGTTCGGAGTCATGTCGGAAAATGCGTCGTCAATAAAGTTTCTGCGTCGCAAATGGACCCACGAGATTATTGGTTGAGAACCAAAAAAAGTCGTCACCTCGTTTACGTTGACCACGTTTTCTCCCTCCTCCACTACGGGGAAGCCATTGTGGTTTGCCGTGTTGTCGCTGAGGATGTCCACGATGCGGCCCACTTGCTCGAAGCGCTTGAAGCAGACCACCGGGTGACTCATCACCTCGCTATACGCAGCAGCAGCAACACACATGAATAGGGCAGGAGGCATTGGTAAAGACATCAGGTGTGTAAGGGACAGATGTGGGATGAGAATGCCTGCAGAGTGGAACATGTGGATAAGCATGTATAATAACGATTTATTATAATAATATGCAACTCTTTGCGAAGCCACTGCAACAACCCCCACATCATGTCCGAAGTGGGGGGTTGTTTGACAATATTTTACCACACTAGGAAGTGCAGGTTCGTAATGTCTGCCACGACCGGGAATCCTCTCTCCTCATAAGATCACATAGTAACTGAGTGAAACACAGAGTGCAGGAGGAATGAGAGGTGAATGCAAAAAGGTATGTATGTATGTACGTTGAACTTATTTCGCACCGAACATAACCCAACCATGCTAATTGGAGGTGTGGGGAAGGACAACTAAATACAAAAAGCAGTTCTAAAGAAATGAGGTATGAATAAGGAACATGATGTGTGAGTGCAGTCGAGACAGCTGCTATTAGGATGGCTTTTCTGGAAGAGGGCAGATACTAAAAGGCTATCAGAGGAAGGATTGCCTTGGATACAGCAGCATTAAGTAAGAAAAAGGGCTACAGATAACAAAGATGAGTACAGAATTGAAGATGCTCACAAAAACATTCTAATGGAGGAAAGTTTTATATTCAGCAGACATGGACACTGAAAGGAAGAGGTTAGAAGAATAAAACATTTTCAGATGTGGTTATGGTATCAGACAGAGAAAATCAGTTGAACTGAGTGAAAGAGTAACCAAAAGTGTAGGGCAAGCTTCAAGAGGACAGAAGTCTAATTTTGACAATTCAACAGCCAAATAATTTGATTTGGGGAGATTGCCAAGAAGGAAAAAAGGAAGGTGCTTCTCAACAACTTTAAGAAAGGGGTTGCTTATGCCAAAATGAAGAAGAATGTGCCAGATCGGATGGAAAGGCAGAACCTGAACCAAGAACCTACCTCTAAGCAGATAATTTGGGACCAAGATATCTAGAAGGAACACTGAATATATAAATTACTTCACCTGTTGCATTGGAAGTAATGTTCGATCAGATGGATGACAACACAACACATGGGGACGATGAACAACAGCATCATCACGCACCAAATTCAATACAAGAGCACATCCCCCCACTGCCAACAACTCGTATAAACTATTGGCAAAAATTCAGTGCTTCAAGATAAGTTACTGGGCACAAAACTAACCAGTGTCCCTGCCAGTAGCTGCAAATCCATATGCACTTGGCTTTTGTGTAACAAAAGCACAGGGGACATCACATAGATGGCGCTTCCTTCCTGCATGAATACCAAGCCAGACAGAGCTTCGTTTGTATGCACACAGCACAGCCTGTGAGCAACGCAAGAGACCACATACTGTCTTAACAGATGTGCTAAAAAAAATAAACTTCTCATTTAAATACTGTCATTTGTGAGACAGGAGCAGAACTGGCTCACTCTGCATGTCTTTATTATGACATAACATGTTTAAATTTTTCATAATTTTCCCCCAATATTATATTGATTGTGCTTGCCAAGCCATGTCAATGTTGTGTCATGAGAGAAAGTATCCATTAATTGGTGACCGGCCTGAGACCATCAAATTACTTCGCTTGAAAACCCTGTTTAGTCAAAGGCAGCTACCTCTATTTCAACCAAGAATCTCAACGGTACCAGATCAATGCTCTAACTCTCAACCACCCAGTCAGCTCAATAGTTACGATAAAATTACTTGAAAATTGCGACCGCTAACAAGCACGCAATTTAATAAAACACTGTTAAACAAATCCCGTTTCCAAATACAATAGCGACGGTCGCTTTGATGAGTGGGAGAAGAAACCACAGCCAGCAGGGTGATCGACTCACCTCGCCGTGAGGCTGTGAGATGTTGCGGGTGGCTCCCAGCCCATGAACGGCACACTCTGTAACTTGATATGGATGTCGTACAAACCCTGCAAACAGACAAGAGTCATGAGAATTAGTATGTGCTCCTGGCCATGGTCTCCTAAAAATGTACTCAACCGAAAGTGAGGTGTGTAACCATTCATTAATTTAAATACATTCTTCGCAGCATGATACATGCATTGAACTTGTGTGTAAAAAAGATAAAAAAAATATATAAATATTCATATATAAAACGGTTTGCCTATGGCCAAATCACCCAGAATGTGCTCAATTGCATCAGATCTCAGAAGCTATGCAAAGTTGAGCCTGCAATGTGCTTGGATAGGTGATTACCATGCATAAAAACCTGCAAGTTTACAGACACCCTGCTGGAGCTACTCACCCAACAAGCACCACAATGGCAAAAAAAATCTATTCTCCAACTCAAGAGAATAAATGAGTTTCCTTTCTATTTCTAGCCTTCCTTGACCCGAGGGTTGGCCGCCGAAATCAACTAGCCTACCCCACTGGGCTCTCCCTTCGGCTAATCTTCCGAGTTGTTCCATACCGAGCCCTGTTCAAGCAACAAAGTCATCAATGAAAGGCTAACCCAGAAAATAATTCACAGCACACCTCAAAGCAGAAGTCCCCGACCCACTTGGCCATCATGAGCACGAGCATGATGGGCAGACCGTAGCTCACGTTCCCCGTCGCCTCCACCAGGATGACAGTGAGGCTCAGGGTCATCCGCACAATGCCACCTGTTCAACGGTACCCATAGCCAAAGGCACAAATGAATACAAAGACATACGGAAAAAGAAACATGCGTTCACCCATATGTGCATAACAGAATCTACACACACAGGATAACAAAGACAAAGATCCCCCATAGGGACAAAGCAGACTATTGGGGCAAGTGCTGTTAGCGAGCACCTATGAAGGCCAGCACGGCACACGAGGAGGTGGATGGCCAGCACCACATGCGGTCACCTTTGTCTCCCAAGTAGTGATATTTACACACCGCACCAGGAACTCATTTGAGGCTAAGTCTACCTGGGGAAGGCCGAGAACTGTTTCAGATAACCGTCAATGGTGTTAGCTGTCAGCGGGAATCGAACTCGGGTGACTGGGTTCGTACCACAGTGCTTTAACCACTGCGCGACTGCTCCCTAAGCAAAGAATAACACACATTCATACACACACGATAGAAAATACAAACACACATATTGGTCCTGTGATAGGAATGCAATATCACGGACAAAGCTAAATGGAAGGCAATGATCACCGATGTCTTTATCATTAACACAGATATAGGAATGTAGAATTCCACCAATGGAGACAAATGCTGCCCCATTTTCAAGTGAGTGAGAAAGCATTTTGACTTTTTGAATTATTGTTTATTTCAAATAACATCAAAAGCCTGCGTATTTCCCGTCTTATTGCAGGAGCACCTTGTAAACGGGAAACTTGAAAATCCCTATGGAGTGGTGTTATGCATTAAAGAGGACAGCCAATAAATAAATACCTCCATATGCTTTTACTGGCTTGCATAAAATGACCATTGCAAATGCTTTCATTAATATTCACAATACACTCCAAAGGAGAGTTGGAAAACGTATTCTCCAAGATGTATCTGAACAACACAGCATTCTTTTTTTTTCACAAAATAAATATGCCATGTAAAATTCACTTTTCCATTAACGTTAAAAGCACACTCTTGTCCTTTTGGGCTGGATGAAAGCCAGGCGACTTGCACAGCATTTTGAAGGCAATCAATATTAACAGGGCCATACAAAGGGCTGTGTTCAAATTGCATGCTTTGCACAGGGCATGCAGGATTAAAAATAAACATATCCGGGCACGACTTTAGTGTTTTCACGCTTGTGATACAAATTGGGAGGCATTGCGTGTGTCTGTGTCAGATGGCCTTAAGAGCACAGCAAAGATAAAATGACGCTGGAGAGTAAAATATAGAATGTGTGAACATGTCATCCAGGCTGTTCTCTCTGCACAACAATTTAATTTCAATTAATCTTGAAAGATATCAAAGAACCAACTCGAAATTAGCACCATTGTGCTGCACTGTGATGAGGTCCAGGCTTTCCTATTTCTGCCGAAAACAGACAAAAGCGTGCACTTAAGGCCGTTGTCCAGATGCACGTTTCCGATCCCAGTGATGCAAAGGAGATGCCAAGAGCTTGGATGGTTTCCCTTACCCAGCTGTGCAGCAGCTCCCATGAGGGCATACTTCCCCGGGTCGGCCCACGCCTGTGGAGGTTAAATACAGCTGTCTTATTGAGGGCAGTGCTTTTTGAACAATCCAGCTGATGCCTTTTGCCTTTCAAGTCATGCTAATGTATCACGTCGGTAAAGCAACTTGTTACAGCTGAGTAGCGAAACATAATTAAAGTGTCGCTGTCAATAGACATGTACATGACACAAACATTTCGTTTATGGAAATGCCCCCCACGTGCACGCAACTGCATTTAAACTGAGTATACTCAGGGTAGGAATTTTAAAAAAGCATATCCACACAACTATAATAGGGTGCAGCAGTGGCACGGATTGGCAGCTTGAGTAAGATTCCTGAACAAGGCTAACATCAGTGGCGAGCAATATCTGAACTGGTGAAGTATAGTCAAGGTACCCCCAACCAATACCATTTAACATTCCAAGTTTACTCGTGCTATGACAAGAGACAAAGAAATCTCCGATGCCAGAAAAAGTCCCTGAAAGATAACATGTCCCATCAAAGGGCTCGAATTCATACTGCAAGCAGCATATCTCTATTATACCTTGCAGATTATTAATTAAATGGCAATTAAATTCGGCCAAAGTATGCAAAACGAAATATGATTTTTTTTTTAAGCCATTAACTTCCTACACTTGAGAACCCAGTGTAAGCAATAGCAGCTGAAACCTGGACTTAAAGTCAGGTTCTCAGCAATGTCGGCTGCACATTCCAACATACCGAATTAGTCCCCTGAACCAAACAGCCGGTCACATCACAAGACACATCACGACAGATCTACCAACACAAAACACAGCACAGAGACCCAACATCGTCAGGTACATGCGTACTCACGCCTTTGCTCATATAGGACAGGAAGATGCCAAAAAGACGGCCCCAGGCTGCACCCAGCAGCAGTGAGGGGATGAACACGCCACTGGACACGGCGAGGCCGTACGTCCAGCATGCCACCAGGAAGTAGCTCAGGCAGAAAAGGCCCAGAGTCACGGGGTTGTATGTGCCTGTCACCCGCAGAAGGAACGATGTCGCCAACACAGCAGGCGTTATTTTTTCTTTTGGTTTTTTTTGGTAATTTTCCCCCAATGTTATCCCGATTGTGCTATCAGAATCACATCATGAGAATCAGTACCCATTCAGAGATCTCTCACAGAACACTGAAACTCTTTCATGTTAGATAAAGGCCCACGGAAGTGGATATCAGAGCTACCTTTGAAATCCCTTTCGATGACGTCTGGCCCACACAATATAGGGATACACTTCCCCATCACCCGCTCTGGATTCGAACCTAGGTATGATGCCAGCTCAGCATTCTGCCCTATTGAGCCACCCAGGCACCACTGGTTTATTTTCAATCAAAGCTATAGCAATATATATAAAGCAGTGCTAACAAAAGACAGAAGCGAGGCTCTGGGTGCAATTCACAGGTCGGAGGGGAATTAAGGAGCCTGAAGGAGCACTCTATGTTATGTGTTTTCCATTTACTCTGCCAGAATGGAGCAATCCACCAACTTAAATTACCTTCCACCAACATGTGTAGCTTACTCTCTCTCTCTGTTTGTGGCATCACATTGGGTGTGCAGTTATGGCGTTTTAAGTACAACCATTGCCAACATGGTAATTTTTCACCGATTTGCATTTTTAGTCATTGGCCACCGTGTTTTAGTATCACACATAGCCAAGGGCAAAAGGTCATCATTGCCAATGGTGCTGTTGCCAAGACACCTTACCAAAATGTGCTTTTACGCAGGGCTTACTCACCGAATATTTTCCGGGTTGCTGGTAGACTCGAGTAAGCACGTGACTGGTAGCCACAGCCATAACAAGAGGTATACTAAATGTGGTGGGACAGGTGCGGAAATATTGTCTAGGTCGCAAACCCAGATAGACCCAGCTGAAAAGCAGCCCTGCATTCAAACAATGCAGCGCCAACTAAATACTCATTTTCATAAACGTTACACAACACACATCGTCGTATCTTATCATTCCAAACCATGACTTAGACAATCCCAGATGTAACTTTCTGCTAAATATAAGTGTTTACCACAAACAGAGCACAGAGAAAAATACAAGTGGTAAGTATTGGAAAAAAAAACACACGTGACATGAAATCATGTGGGAGAAATAAATAAGGCGGCGGCGATGTTCTGCCATGGTGGAGTGAGTTGTACAGACCAGGGGGGTCGTGGAACAGGCTACGGACGCTTTTCTCTGGGGTGTTGAAGAAGGTCGTCGCCATTGAGTTGTACTCCCCGTCATTGCAGAATAACTGTGGGAAAAAAAAAATTAGACGCTGTTGTCCAAATGTACCGAGGGAGAGGCAGGGCAGGAAGAATGGCTCATTGGGACAAAGACCAAGCCAGCCAACGAACCACATGTCTCAATTACTAGATGAAGTGTCATAATTGAAATAATGAATAAATTCCTCTATTGCTATTGTAATGCATGTAGAAATATATAATGGTATGAATCTATTGGGATGGAACAGTGGTTGTTACCTTGTGCTATGAACAACGTCACCACAGAGTTCAATTCCCGGTCACAGTTAACACCGGGGGCAAGTGATACAGTGAGGGAAAAAAGTATTTGATCCCCTGCTGATTTTGTACGTTTGCCCACTGACAAAGAAATGATCAGTCTTTAATTTTAATGGTAGGTTTATTTGAACAGTGAGAGACAGAATAACAACAAAAAAATCCAGAAAAACGCACGTCAAAAATGTTATGAATTGATTTGCATTTTAATAAGGGCAATAAGTATTTGACCCCTCTGCAAAACATGACTTAGTACTTGGTGGCAAAACCCTTGTTGGCAATCACAGAGGTCAGACGTTTCTTGTAGTTGGCCACCAGGTTTGCACACATCTCAGGAGGGATTTTGTCCCACTCCTCTTTGCAGATCTTCTCCAAGTCATTAAGGTTTCGAAGCTGACGTTTGGCAACTCGAACCTTCAGCTCCCTCCACAGATTTTCTATGGGATTAAGGTCTGGAGACAGGCTAGGCCACTCCAGGACCTTAATGTGCTTCTTCTTGAGCCACTCCTTTGTTGCCTTGGCCGTGTGTTTTGGGTCATTGTCATGCTGGAATATCCATCCACGACCCATTTTCAATGCCCTGGCTGAGGGAAGAAGGTTCTCACCCAAGATTTGACGGTACATGGCCCCGTCCATCGTCCCTTTGATGCGGTGAAGTTGTCCTGTCCCCTTAGCAGAAAAACACCCCCAAAGCATAATGTTTCCACCTCCATGTTTGACGGTGGGGATGGTGTTCTTGGGGTCATAGGCAGCATTCCTCCTCCTCCAAACACGGCGAGTTCAGTTGATGCCAAAGAGCTCCATTTTGGTCTCATTTGACCACAACACTTTCACCCAATGGTCCTCTGAATCATTCAGATGTTCATTGCAAACTTCAGACGGGCATGTATATGTGCTTTCTTGAGCAGGGGGACCTTGTGGGCGCTGCAGGATTTCAGTCCTTCACGGCGTAGTATGTTACCAATTGTTTTCTTGGTGACTATGGTCCCAGCTGCCTTGAGATCATTGACAAGATCCTCCCATGTAGTTCTGGGCTGATTTCTCACCGTTCTCATGATCATTGCAACTCCATGAGGTGATATCTTGCATGGAGCCCCAGGCCGAGGGAGATTGACAGTTCTTTTGTGTTTCTTCCATTGTGAAAAATCGCACCAACTGTTGTCACCTTCTCACCAAGCTGCTTGGCAAAGGTCTTGTAGCCCATTCCAGCCTTGTGCAGGTCTACAAACTTGTCCCTGACATCCTTGGAGAGCTCTTTGGTCTTGGCCATGGTGGAGAGTTTGGATTCTGATTGATTGATTGCTTCTGTGGACAGGTGTCTTTTATACAGGTAACAAGCTGAGATTAGGAGCACTTCCTTTAAGAGTGTGCTCCTAATCTCAGCTCGTTACCTGTATAAAAGACACCTGGGAGCCAGAAATCTTTCTGATTGAGAGGGGGTCAAATACTTATTTCCCTCATTAAAATGCAAATCAATTTATAACATTTTTGACATGCGTTTTTCTGGATTTTGTTGTTGTTATTCTGTCTCTCACTGTTCAAATAAACATACCATAAAAATTATAGACTGATCATTTCTTTGTCAGTGGGCAAACATACAAATTCAGCAGGGGATCAAATACTTCACTGTATCTGTACCAGTTCTGCGCACCCCCTTCACCAACCCACACTGACTCGTGTTGCTGTATGGTCAGCAACCCCATGACTGACAACATGGAGATGCCTTGAGCCAGAAGTGGATTGACAAAGGATTTTAAATTGAATTGATTGAATTGAATTATTTTAATGTAGTATGATATATATAATCTAGTGGTAGAACCACAAATGTATTTTAACTCATAGATTTTTAAATTCACAATTTAATACTGCACTGTGAGCAAAACAATTAATTTCAAAGGATGAACCGATGGATCATTGAATATAATTTGCATCATCACTACCACCACTATCACCATGTACCTTTGGGAACCGTTATGAATGAGCGTTTTCTAGCAAAAGTGTAAACGCTTCACATGTACAAGTGAGCACTGCAGACAGGCATACATGAACCCATGCGGTGCACAGTCATTCATCAATATTGCCCACTTGTGGAATAGCATGGCATGGCAATTAGAGAGGCAGTGAACAGCCGAGCGAGAGACGGGAATATATGCGTACCTGCAAGGTGTAATCCGCGCTCTTGTCCTCGCCAAGAGGCTGACAGTCGTTGGAGAAGTATATCATGGTGAAGGAGACAACGGCTGTGACGGTTGCCACTAGCATGGCCTCCAACACCTGCTGCGCAGGCCGATGAATGTACCTGAACGACAGCGAACAAACAACAAAGCGCAATTTCGATTTAAAGCTTTCGTGACTGCAAGGATTCATCTTCTTTGGTTCTTTCGGTAAAGTCACGTAGAATGAGAATAAAATAGAATTTTATCGTGTTATTTTATTTTATCAATTTATTATTTTATTCTCATTCTACGTGACTTTACCGAAAGAACCAAAGAAAACAAAGCGCAAGCTCAGAGCCATGCTTTTTCACTGGAGGCTGTGCAGTCAAAACATCTAACTTGTTAAACAAGTTCAAAAAAAATCGTGCACATACATGAATTCCGTAAAAGTTTCCCAAAAAGGGTTTTACATCAGAAGTATCTAATTCGCAGTACATAAGTCAACGGGCAGGTGTCAAGGTAAAACATGTTTGGATATTTGAAGTTCTTTTGCTCTGGTTTGTATATCCAAGTATTGGGTAACCCTGTTATCATTTTGGCTGGTTTGCAATCAGGTAAGTCCCTAATAGGAACACTAATTTACAGTACACTTTGCTTCATATTGGATAATCTTTAAAAGCATTATCACACACTCTGGTTAGAAACGGAGATTACCTTAGTTGGAAAGCATTCGGAAAAAGCTATTCTGCCACAATTTGTTCTCATGAATACCCAAAAAATTGCAGGATTTTCTGTAAACTAATTTCAGTGATTGAACAAGAATCCTGTACCATAGCTATTACTTTAACCCTTTTTGATCCACGTCGTCATTGGAAATATCGCCATGGCACTGAGAAAAATATGTTTGGCTTCAAATTCACGTAACATTACTATCAGATCTTCGTAGCAATCACCACCATCAATGATCGCCCCTTTTCCCACAACCAAAAGGACAGGCGTGAAGTGTGCAAATCATTCAATATTCTTAGTAATTATCTGCAATTATGAACACAACCAACAAAAGCCATAAGCATAGTGTGCAAGTGCATTTTATACCCTGGTTTTGGATATACGAACCTCTAAATGCATTAAGCATGTGTGTGCATGCAACCACTGCCTGATTAGCTCCACAGGCTTTTCTCCTTATTCAAATGTGCCAAACAAAGCAGGCTTCCGATTACTTTAAAAGTTTCTTCTTTTTCACGGCTGCAAAAATAGATCTCATCCACTAAAATTTGTCGAAAGAATTTGACTTCTTTCACTTATTAAAAGGAAATGAAGATGAACGGTATGAACTAAACACATGTGATGGTAGTATTATTCCAGTAAGGAGTCTCAAAAAAGGAAAAAAAAACACATGCCCTTGGACTGTTACATGCAACAGATGCTCAGGAGAAGAAGAAATTAAATAATTATTTTCCACCCCAAAGAGGGAAGAATGTTCTCGGTGATCTCAACAAATCTTCTACCCGGGGATGTCTGATATATACACTTTTTTGTGACTGGGTTTCTCATCTGCAGTATAGTACGTGGTCTTGTTGCTGTGCACACATGGGAAGGATAGGAGTTCCGGTTGATCCAATTCTTAAGAAAACCGAAGTAAATAAAAAAATAAATGCATGTAAAAAAATAACCCAAGAGAGCATCTCCGAGTATAAAGCCTTTCACATTTCAGAGGGTTACTGCATTGGGTTGTTTATTCATTTGTGTTGGCAATTTGGGAGGGAACGAGGGATACCTGGAGAAAACCAACACATACGAGGGGTAACACTCAGCACTGCCATCTCCCAGCCACCTCACAGCCTCAATGCCTACAACACCTGGCAAGCAATGGTAGACACCCATCCAAGTAATATCCAGGCTCAAGTTTGCTTCGCTTCTGAGGTCTAGGATCAAGTACATTAAGGGAATTTTGGGTGTAACCTCCATGACCTTCAAAAAAAAGGCAACAAAAACCAACCTAACCATACTACCAGTATATTCTTGGTTCTTTCGGTAAAGTCACGTAGAAGGGAAACAATAAAATTATTAAAATATAAAACAATACAATTCTCACGACGTTTCGACTGCAACACAAGCAATCATCATCAGGTGTGAAAAACCACAGCAAGAAAATGTATTGCTTTGGTTTTCACACCTGATGATTGCAAAAAAAACCACAGCAAGAAATTTCACACCTGACGATGATTGCTTGTGTTGCAGTCGAAACGTCGTGAGAATTTTATTGTTTTATATTTGTATTATTTTATTGTTTCCCTTCTACGTGACTTTACCGAAAGAAGCAAGAATATGAATGCCTGCAGTCACTTGAAAGCTTTAAATCAAAACATACTACCAGTGTGCACATACACAAGCATTTGTAGCATTACCAAAATAAACAAGGGCTTGTGCTGCTGTGCTATTTAAAATTGATTGCAAGCTAAAATCTACACAGCATGTCATCTGATCAGTATGTACAGACACTGTGGCAATGCAAGCATCTGCCTTTCCTCAGTGTACAGCCACCAGACAATATCGAATAACACACATAACAATCTCTCGATATATTCAGATATCAACGACGTACAGCGTGCCATGAAAGCATAGAGCCTGCAGTTAGTAATTTAATGCGATTGGGTCTTGCAGTGAGTGTCTATGTATCAGAACACCACCTTACCGGATCCTGAGAACTGTCAGCCAATAGTTGAGGAAATTGAACAAGGCTCCCAAAAGACCTCCTGCAGAGGAACACGGGGAGATAGTTTTACACCGGACATACCATCCTACAAAAGTTTAGTGGCATACATTTAGATTTGTGAGTTTAATGTATTCAGTCAACAGCTGCAATTTAATGTGCAGTGTGCGTTGAGACATTGTAAATTAAAAAAAACAAGACATTTTGGAAGTAAATATTTGTCCACCGATCTTTAAAATGCTATTGTTAAGTAGCTAATTTGTATAGACGCATATATTTGCTTACAAGAGCTCTATCCTGGTTAAAACTAGCAACTTAATGACATGCACAGATGTGATTATGCCTTACCAAAGACACCCATGATCAGAAATAAGGGAATTTCATAAATGTAGTACGCAATGCCCTATAGGGGCGAAAAACACATGTACACACAAAGAGGTTACAATGAAAATTTCATCAAAATTGCTCACTTTTAAATTGTTGTGTCAGGAGTAAAAGTGACGTCCTTCTCAAATTAGGATTGAGGCATTGGTGCTCATCTCTTGTTTACAGCCCTGGGCCAGTGGTGGAAATTCTACTTCCCTCTGACAGGATCTAGTCTCTCCATAGGATGACCACCTTGGAGTTCCCCACAAAGCGGTACTCATTCTATCGACTTCAGAGAATGATGGGCTGAGTCACCCCCACCCCACCCCAGATATTAACTTGCTGCTTTTTTGATTGCGAGCCACTCCCTCTACCACTGAACCACCTGTCCGATTTTTTTGTGTATGCAGAGTATATCTTGCAAGCCTGGTCTAGCCTCTCATTTGTGTTCCAATAGCATATGGTTGGGACAATATGGGCTTGGTGGTGTTATGGTATACCAGTCAGCACTGGGGAGGTGAGAAGTCAAGGCTGCTGCCTTTGAATTTGTGTGTGTGTGGCCTAAGTTAACGGCCCTTCAGCTGCTGTGCAGGCCGTTTTTATCACTCACTGACAGATGGGGGGGCTGATTTACTTGTGCATATTTGCTCGCGAACCCTTCATGGGGTCTGTTGGATTTTCCCTGTGGAGTACTTTATAGCTGAGAAGAGATTGGGTCACGTGTCATGGAAAGCCCCGGCTTTGTCAGGGACCATTAAACAAGAAATCTGGCTAGAATTTGTCACTGTGTATTATTACCACCACCCGTTTAACTGAGTAGCGCATACAGAGCATGGCATTTATCTGCTGTACCAATATGAATCTTGGTGATCTGCCATGAAATTTCATAAAATGCAAGTGTCTTCTCATTATCTGTATTTTAATTTATTTTATCAGATTTTTGCGAGACATGGAGCCATTCAAATCCTAACCCACCACGATTCAATTAATTATCAATATTCAGTCACAATTTGATACTTTGAAAAATCATTTGCTTATTCTTATTTGTTTCTCCTTAAAATGTGTACAGTTTTGTTTACTCAAGAAGCCTCAATATCAGATGAGTGTATAGTTTGCTTATAAGTTGCAGAAATAATAAATCGTCCAGCCTTACATGCACATCGATGTGTGTACTGTGAACGTTAAAAACTATTGTAGTTGATGAATCAACAAACCATTACATTGCTAATTTTAACAGAATAATGCCCCAATGTTCTGTAGCAATGGTTCCCAAGCACTGGACCCACGGATCACAGTCAACTCTAAAAAAATGCTTGCTGGACCACTATTGAGCAAAATATAGGGTCCATAATACAGGTTTTAGATCGCATAAACTAAAATGTGTCGTTAAACCTGCTCCCACCCGACACAGCCAATTAGTAAGGTGCGTCACGTAAACAGAAAATGTCAATTCGTAACTAGTACACAACATTTATAATCTGAGTGTTAAACCAAAATATACCGTGTTTTGCAAAATAAATCACATTTGGATTAGTTCCTTTTTCCCCTTTTTGTGGTGCCAATTCCCATGGCCAAAGCAGATCACCAGTGGTCTGAGGACCACAGGTTGGGAAACGTTGATCTATACACAAAGGTTATACAGTAAACAACATTTCTCAGAAAAGGGCAATCCTGTAATTGAGTAATTGTGAGGGCGTGTCTAACCGTGGATTCGAATGCTCCAAAGTTGATGAGACCAGGGTAGGACAGCTCACCCAGGTGGTTATGGTACCAACTCAAGACAAAGTTCAGCGTGAACGTGGATATGACGGAGGCAAAGAACTGGGGGGGGGGGGGGTGGGCAGACCACACAACACACACACACAACAACCACAACTAGTGAGGAGCTGGACATGTGAAAGAAGTTGTTACTCTTGTTTGTGTTATGACAGGCAAATATACATTATTACAATCAACAGACTTTGCAACAGGCACTCATCGAATCAAGAGTGGCTCTCAATATCGTTGCATCATGCAGATGCACTCACAAAGTAGAAGTGGTGCATAAGCGATTGTCTGTATCAACGGGTTTCAGGTATGCTCAGAAAAAAAACATTTCAACATCCACCTACAACACAAATATCCCCGTGGGGGAAACTAAAAAGAATAGTAGACAAATCCAGCGAGAGGATATTCCTTTAAGTGCAGCCCTTGCAGAGCTTACAATTCTCCAGGTGAGGTATTGATTCCAGAAGGAAGCCCCCTCTTCCAGACTGAAGAGAACACCACCTGCATGCAAAGAAATCTGGCTTACTGGAAACCACCGGTGAACCAAAACAGACGGCGAAAAACAAAGAGGAATCGAACGAGGAAGTCAGGCTAAGTAGTGAATGCGTGGTGAGAGAGCTCACCGACAGGCGCGCCAAAAGCAGCTGACACTCCTGCAGCTGCGCCAGCTGATACAAAGTCTCGTTTCTCTGTATCTCGTCGAAAGTACTCCAGGACCTGATGATGAGGAAACCGTATGCATCGGTAAATTAACAATTATATCGGGTTCACACGTTTTGTGTTCATGAATGCACAATTATAAAACATTGTTTATAAATGTTTGTGATTTTACTTTTTTATAAAGTGTCTATATTTTGTTTTTGAAATTAGAATTTGGTCTGCAGTCACCCTCACTAAATATTTATCTATAATTCCCCTTTTTGTGGTGCCCAGAAATGTATTGCATGAGAAGTGCATTATAAATAATAATTTATTAAAATGACTACAAACAACAGCCAAACTAAGTTCCTTGTTACACTGCAGTCTATTTTCTGTCGAGGCAATACTCAATGTTTTTTTTTAGACACATACCTGGAATGTGTTATACGACTGTGCACCCATAAGTATTGTGTGGCTCACCTTGAAGTCCTTCTTCAATGTTGTGGAGCGACCCTGAGAGACCCCTGCTGCTATCACAGCACCCGAGTGGATCATTGGCCCTTCCTGGTTGAGGAAGTGATCAAAGGCACAGTGGGAGAAATACATTGCAATGGGAGAAATAACAACCACATACAGCGCTTTCCTCGAATTAAAGGCACAACACGCACGTGTTACTGAATATGAAATGCGATGCCAGGCAGGAGGTCAGAACTTGAAGAGAAACCGTTGGTTCCTTTGAGGCCAAACAACGTACCTTACCAACGGCAAGACCCCCAGCCACAGAGCAGATGACTCCGAGGACTTTCACCACCAGTGTCTGCAGCAGTGCAACACAGACACATTGCATCCACACCACCAGCTAGACCAACACCAACAAAACCACTTGGCTACTCTAATGTATCCAACGAACATCTAGAACAGGGGTATGGAAGCTTTTCCTTATTGAGGATCTAATTTGACTTGACTTTCAAATAGGTTTGACGGACCACACATTAGTTGCCAAACTTTTATCACAATAGGACTGTATGCATTGACTGTTTGCCCACAACTACTTGAAAGACAAGCGTGATAAAATTAGTGTGGTTACCAGATCAAACATATCTTCCTCTTCTACCAGATTAGTGACTAAGATGCTTGCAGTGACAGACACATATCGCTTACAGGCCGTTTCCTTGTGGTAGGCCGTAGGTGGCGTAGGCTCAATGAATCGAAGACGTGGTCCATTTGAAATGAAGTTACTGGTTAGATAATGGCCCGTGGACTGTAAATTACCAACCCGTACCTAGGGTTGGGACAATAATTTTTCATACAGAGTATGTCGCCTAAGGCGACAGTTAAGTTGTATAAGATTGAGTGGTTGATGTGAAATCAGCATTGTCCAGGTACAACATTCATCAAGAAGCACCTTTAGTCTGACCACATGTGGGATCTTCACTCCATTGAGGTAGCATTTGATTTGAGGGATGCCACTCCCTGCTGCCACGGGCTGTTGAAAAATGGAAGATGTACTGTGGTGTTAGTTTGTCAGTTAGTGACTTTCTTCATTGCTCAAGCATACTTCCCAGTGCTAGTTACTGTTTGAGGACACAAAATAATTATCAGCATCATTGTGGAGAAAATAAGTCACACAATAAATAAGCAGACAATGTCTCCTTCATATATGTCCCTCCACGTAAAAGTCTATCATAATAATAATAACTGTTGCTCGTTCCATAAACCACAAGGCCTTCAGGAAGTAAATAATTTGAGCAACATTGGTTCAAAACAAGCAAATTCTGGACCGTTTGTCATCAGCCTGCTTGAGTCAAAATCAATACTAGCTGAGGAAGTTACCCAATACCTATAACCAGTAGTGACAAAGAGTAAAATGTCCTTGTGATAAACCTCCAGCTTCCCTTTCCTCAAACACAGCTACAACGCCTTCCAATCATCCAGAATAATGCCACGAGACAATCTTTTTACCTCCAGAAATTATCCCAAATTACACAAAAAAAAGTTTTTAAACTTACACTGGCTACCATTCAAATACATAATACATTTTAAAATAATCATATTAACATACAAAGCAATCCACAACCAAGCTCCACCTTGCAGCAGAAACCTCATACAGAGCAAGCAAAACAACAGATCTCTACTTCACTCTTCAACCCAAACACTCCTCCTCCAAACACCAACAACCAAAAAAACAAAATAATTTGGGTTGAACAGATCTTTCTTATTTGCAGCACCACGCCTCTGGAACAACCTCCCTGAAGCAAACCTGCACACTCGACTCCATCACTACATTCAAGTCACAACTAAAAACACATCTCATTGCACTTGCATAGACAACTTGCTTTTGGTTTTATATTTTTAACTAAAGTGTATATTGTACATTTTTCTCATTGTATATACATTTTCTATTTTTGTGTTTATGAGTACGATCATTAATGCAATGGCCCTTTGCGTGGCTGATTTGTGCCAGAAAGGCACCACGTGTTCAAGAAAAATTAAAATTGACTTGACTTTAAAATATCTTGGCATTGACTTTCAATAATAAACAGTATAATTCGCATGCCTATTTCAATCCACAACAGGATGAAGGCCTCCCTGAAGGGTTATTTGACCATACACCACCACACTGGTGAGTGCAGGTTAGCAATGACCGGTTCAGATTATTATTCGCCACTGCTGCTAGTCACAGCCAGGGATCAATCTCAGGTGGCTGGGTTCATAACGACGTGTGTGTGAACCACTATGCCGATGCTCCACCTTGCTTTGCATTATGGGCAATTTAAGTCGCCGTGGCCTGACAAAATCACCCATAATGCACATGATTCCATCGCACCTGGGAAACTAAGTAACGTTGAGCCGTGATACTGATTGCATGGGATAATCATCAAGCACAAAATATGTGCAGAAAGTATTGTGGTTAGTATAGAAAAGTGCAACAAAATCCACTGCTGTGTAGTATGGTCAAAGAGTCCTCACTGCCTGCCTGGTGTTGGGAGCCCCTCGTCCAGCAGTGGATTTAGAAACAGTGCTGCGCATGTACAAACCACTGTGAAACTTAATACAATTGTTTTGTGTAAATGGTAAAATAGATAAGGCGCCTTACCTCTCCAAAAGCAACCAAGATAGAGCCCACCATTACAATCCCAGCATTCATCGCTGCCCAAATCACCATGGAGACAGACAGGCCTCCATCTGCTGTAAATGTGTCAATGTCTGAGTTTGTGGTCAGGAACCATGTACCACCACAGGATAAAAAGACAAAACGTTTGCGCAATAATTCAAATTTCCATGCTATGTCTCAAAGGCAAGATATGAAACTCTACAACAACCACAGTGAGAATAGCTTGTAAGTTACATTTTAAGTGTTTTAACTTTGATAAATTAATAAAACTTCAAAAGCACATGAATCCGAAATATTAAATCATGCTTGATCATTTAATGTAAAATGTGGGCTCACTGGCACATTTTTTTTAAGTTGTACCACTAGTTAGCTTTAAATGTCACAGCTTTCCATCTGTATTAATAAAAAAAATGTTAAAGCCTCTGCAAACCGTATCTTATGAGAAGCAAATAAAAGATACGTTGAAAAAACAGCCTTCAACTCTAAAAGAAAAAAAAGCAGTTACCTGTCCAGTTTGTCCTGTTATAGCTACACATACAACATAAACCACACATTTATAACTTGCACATACCATGCAATCTCTTGCAATGAAATATGCAAACCATAGACCATGCTCTTTGCACTCAGCTGCCATCATTTGACTACACCTCCTCCATCAGGACAAGTCACATGCTGTAGATGGGGTGCTAAGAAACAAGTGCTTTTTCATAACCGGCCACACTTGCTGGGGATAGTAGCCCAATCTTTCACAGACAGCCGGGCCTACTGCTATAGAATGAATAGACACAAGCTAAAGCATGCACATGAACCCACAGCTAGCTTAAGACTGACAAACACCAGACACAATTTTGGAAGTTAACCTAGATTGCTAAATTAAATTGCCTTGGTAGCTTACAACACCAAGTAACTGGGGCCCCACGCCAGTGAACACTGCAATACTGTGCTGCTACTTTGCAGATGGTAAACAGTTTCCTACAGTGACCAGGGGTCTTCATCACATCTGGATCAGATTACTATTGCATAGAGCATATAGGGAAGTATAAATACATCAATTGGGGAAGCTGTCAGTTTTGAAGTAACCTTAGCTTTAGAAAGACATACAAAAAGGATAAATGACAGGGAAAAAACTTCATAACCCAAATTTCACTTTTTTTAAATAACCTATGTTGGCTTCATATCAATCCGTAAACACCCAATTTGATGGTCTTTGTGATTTTATCATTGCTGCACTGATGACCACACGAGAATTCATTATTCACTTACTCTTAATGCACAATGGGCTTTCAAGCATTATCTTTATGCAGGGTACACCCCAAATTAGTTTTTTTTCCTTTTAGTGGGTGATTTGCTGATCAACTTTTTGGTGCTTTCCTAAACCTTTTAAAACACCCCGTGGTTTTTGCTTCAAAATGCAGTAATAAAATTTTCAAAGGAAAGAAAACAGATTGAAACAGAGCAGTCAAGTCAGTCAGAAAGCTAATAGCGTTCACCTTTCCGTAAACAAAGATTAAAAGAAGACTGAGATTGATTTATATTTCTTAATGCAGCATGACCTCCCACTAAATGAAACTGTAAGAAGCAACGTTCAACACATTCTTTTGGCTTACCAGTAAAACGAAGTTAAGAAACGTACTTCCAGTATAAGAAGTTTAAAGGCAAGTTTTTACTAAAATGCACAAATTTAAGAGGAAGATACTTTTTCACCCTCCATGTACATCTCTTTGTCAATCCACTGTTGCATTATGGTCTCACCCATGCTCTGCAGGTAATGGGGGTAATTTGACCATAATTCACAATGCTGGTCAATGCTCAGTGTTTAGTTCACCATCATTATAACCAACTATAAAATAATCTGTACTTCTGAGAGTATTAAAATATTTCTATGAATTGGAAACTTAAGCACAGGCATCTACCAACGGAAGATAGAAGTTCGGCAGGATTGATAACCTGTCTACCACCAGCGTAATCTCGTCACGGCCAAAGGATACACTGTTTGAGGATTTTGTATTTTAGTCCTGCAAGCTGCTCGATGACAATGTCAATGACACAGGCTACGAGAGCTGTCAGGATGCCGATCGCCATGCACACTGTCCAGCGGCCGGCCTCCATAAACTTAACGCGCTGTGAAACAAACAAAAAATACCACAGGGCCACGAGGGTTTAATAGGTGTGTTAGTAACCTTGCTTTCATCACATTACCTACCAGCATGCCACTCCGTAAAAAATCTGACTGTCAGAACATTTTATGTACAGATTAGTGGCTTAACTTTTTGTTGAAATTTTACATGTCATATCAGTCGGAGCATGTCAAATAAAAGTACTACTACTCTAAATGTGCAAACGACTGACAAGCTAACTTTAAACCATGTTTTACTCTATTGCTGGAAAATACAAATTAAATATAGAATGCATTACTATTACATAAATACATCTCACTTAAATTAAATACAATACTATACTGTAGTTTCATGAATGTAACTTAATGGTTAACAACACACTGCTAGTGTAAGATTACTCTACAAGGCCATATATAACCTGTGGTTATGACTTTACAAGGTACTTAAAAGCTTCGATTAGTTTTCCACGGCCCAGTAAACTGAAAGGTCTCATGTGCCCTATGTTAATACTCACTTTGACACCTAAGTTGTGTTCTTCTTCCAGAAAAAGCTGATTTTCACAGTTGTCATAGTCAAGGCTCTGCAGAAAAATGAAGCACAATGTCACACTTTTAATCAACCTCGGTTTTCATAGTCCAACCGAATCCAGGAATCTGCATAAATATACATTTTAACACTTTCAAAACAGGGTTTATGCATTAATGCATCAGCTCAGTCCATCTGTCTGCCCATCCTTCTGCAACGGGGAGTCACTATCTCGTAGTGACTCAATATGAACTAACATGTACGTATAACTGTAAGTATAACTGTGTTGCTTTTAGAGACTTGCCCTGTTGAGATCTGGCCAAAACGAAAAAAAATACAAGAGAAAGGAAAAAAAAACAATATGGAAATACTGCAAAAGCATTTTGCCCTGACAACTGCACCCATGTATTGGAAAGCATTACATATTCCATGCACATGCATGCTCTTTCCCAACTTGTTTTTGTAAACCAATTGCTTAATTATACATAAACATTCAAACATAAACACATCACCTGTGAACAATGCACACCAGAGAATAATACACTTTGGAAAAAAAAAAGCCCTTCGAAATGAATTGTAAAATCCCTCCTTATTTGAGTGTTCATGACATACATCAGTGATGTGTTTGATGGTTTGGACTGCACCAAAGTCGAAGTATGGCGATTCTTTGAACTTCCATTTGTGGAAGGTGTCCGCGCATCTCCAATGTTACATTCGAGTACAGTTTAGCGCGGTCCATTAATTTCTATAACAGTAGGCCTGTGCGGCCGGCTGTCTGTGAGAGGTTGGGCTACTAATCCTCAGTGAGGCCAGTTATGAAACACCACTTGTATCCCAGCATCCCATGCACAGCATGTGACTTGTCCTGAGGGGGGAGGTGTAGTCAAGTGATGGCAGCTGAGTGCAAAGAGCATGGTCTATGGTTTGCATATTTCATTGCAACAGATTGCATTGTATGTGTAAGTTATTAAGCTGTGGTTTACGTTGCGTGCCGAACTATAACAGGACAAACTGGACAGTTGTCATGGGAGAGAGAAGCCCGGTACTTCGATGGGGTCCTCAATGAGGTGTTTGTTTACCACATCCATATCCGCCGATGATTCCATCGACGTTTATTATTTTATGTTGCCAGAGCAGAAGTGCACAGGCAATGGCGCGGCGGTTCTTTTAGATTTTGTTATAGAAAATGGCAGAGTGCAGATTAGAGATGCCTATATTATTGACATACAGAGAAAGAGGATAGAGCCAATCACAGAGCCCTGAGGAACTCCCTTCACCTCTGGTGATTTCAACACCTGTGATTTTTTACTCTAAACTGGCATTACAAACCAGAACACACGATTAGAATTTATGAACTACTAGCTTTACTACCCGGCTTCGCCCGGGACTTGGATTCATCACGCCCGGCCGCCTTTGTCTCCCCAGTGGCGATGTTCACACACCACACCAGTTAATTGTTTGAGGCTGAGTCGACCTAGGGGAGACCCAGGACAGGTTAAAATAATCGTCACCGGTGGTGACCGTGAGCGGGAATCGAACTCGGGTCGCCGGGTTCGTAGCGCGGCGCGCTAACAGCTACACTACAATGCGTTACGCTTCCACATGTGCGGGTCACGTGACAGATTTGACGTCACAGCTCACTTGCCGTGCAAAAAATAAATGCATTATTGAGCTCCCCCCCAAAAAAAAACTAAGTGTATTTTTATCATTTTTGCATGGTGTACAGTCTGGAAAGTACCCACATGGCAAATTTCAAGTTTGTTGCATGTCGGGAAGTACGCTAAACATTTTGAACAGACACACATCACAACTTTGCCTTTTATATATATGGAGATAACCGTTTAATTCTCCATTGTTATGTGTAGTTAGACAAATTATATACATCTGAGCATTTTCAATCTATATATATAAAAGGGAAATTTGTGAATAAGTGTGTCTGTTTCGAAATGTTTCGCATACTTCCCGGCATGCAACAAACTTGAAATTTGGCATGTGGGTAGTTTCCGGACTGTACACAATGCAAAAAGTATAAAAGAAGACTTTTGTATTTTGGGGGGGGTGGGGGGGGGGGCGCAATAATGGATACATTTTGCATGGCAAGTGAGCGGTGACGTCACATCTGTGATGTCACCCGAACGCGGAAGCGTTACGCAGTGTGCCTGCTGACGTCACACAGTGTGCCTGCTGACGTCACACAGTGTGCCTGCTGACGTCACACAGTGTGCCTGCTGACGTCACACAGTGTGTCTGCTGACGTCACACAGTGTGCCTGCTGACGTCACCCCCCCCCCAACCCTCCGCGTAGGCCGTGTATTAATCCAAGACAAGAATCCAAGTCCTGGGGCGAAGCCGGGTAGTAAGGGTGGTTGTTTATAAAATATTTCAATTTATGTGGAATTGATACTTGTCTGTGGCATTGTAACGGCTTGTGATGTGTCGGCTACTTTGGTGACTGAGTCAGATGTACATATACCCTTGTGTCAATCCACTGCTAGATGCGGGCCTCCCCACACCGTGCGAAGAGTCGTGGGGGTCATTTGACTAACACTTCAACGTGCTCGTTAATCCGGATTGGTGAAGGTGGGGAACAGCTGTTGGAGCTTAGTTGAGTACAATAAATTATTTAAGTGCACTGCCTTCTGCTGACAATGTAGCCCTGCCGCAACCTACAACACCTGGTTTATGGATGCTGGTCTCCCATCCAACCACTACCCGTGCTCAACCCAGATGTGAGGTACCTCGTATTTTTGCGAGAGGAGGTTTTCGCTGTGAGGGATCTCCTTGGGCCTGGGGGAGGTGAACACCTCCTGCGATTCCAGTATCTGCACAATGCAAATACTAATAAATTAGGGCTGTAACGAGGCATCAATTCATTAACATCGATTCTAATACTGAGGATACACGTACAATATTGTATGTATGTATGTTGAACTACTTTCACCCGGTACGTAGCCAACCGTGCTAATAGGTGTGTAATACAAAGTGACGTTTTTAATTCGTAAATGCTGAAAGCAACGAGGACTCATTCTCCCACGAGAGTCTACTACAATCACCACCATTAAACATTTATTGATTCTTTAAACTCGTCCACGGACCATTACAATTCCTTGAAATGCGAAGGGGCGAATCGTTGCACCCTGGAAAATGAATCAATCGGCATTGCGATAGCTCAACACAAAACTATGAAAAAACTAAAATGAACACATGAATATAATAATTTAAATGTCACTATAAAAAAACGACACACCATAACATACACACTGTTTCTTTTTGTTATTTTCATAAAAATCTACATTTGCATCCAGTAATAATAAAAACACCACACAAGCAGTTATTGTGAAATATCATCCTCCAACTACTTGCGAAACAATGCTGTTTAGCCCCAAATGCAGTGCAATGTTTATCATGGACAATACATCACGTATGTGCATTCTCTCAATGTATAAATGGTGGAGGATGCTGGCCGTTACATAAAAAAACCCCACAACAACCCTACCGAAAGAACCAAAGAGTAACCCCGCTCTGTATCACCTCTTCTGAAATGCCGTCTCCATCGGTGAGATCCACCGTTCTAAATCCGCTCGAAGACAAAAAGCGCGACCTGGAGTTCTATTTGTGTGTGTGTGTCGGGGTGACAAGGGGGGAGCAACTCATTAATGATTAGGTCGACGTCCAGATAACAAGAAGATTTCTCACAGCGCGATGGTACATGCTGAGCATCATTCTGCACAACACACCGCAACATCAGCACTTTAACAAACACACGCGCGTGTGCGTGCCTCCTATATCACACAAAATCTGCATACCAAAGAGGAAGAGCAATGCTGCAACGTCTTTAAAAGAGACTTACGCTTAGGAATTTTTGTTATGTTCTTCTGGTCTACACCATATTTTTTTGTTTTTACACATTTAAGCCTCGCATTTTTACATGGTGGTCCTCCTGTACAGAACCGATTTTAGTTTGAAATTTGAAATACATCGGTTGAATAAAGCCACGATCCCCCCCCCCCGTCTTCCCAAACTAGATAAAGTTCAACAGGGCATTGACAAACCTCTCAACTCCTTATTGGTACCAACCTTATTACCGATCAATTCAGACCTTACTGGCCCCTTATAACTATCAACATTCATCCTACAAAGTCCCATCACAAGGGAGAAAACACAAACAAATAGGCAAACGAAATATTTGCCCGCATTGAAACGGCTGCACGCCGTACGGACATGGAAACTCAATTTCCCTGTACAAGAATACGGGGTAAACCATATCGGTTAACAGGTATGCATTAAACGACAAGTATTTTTGATAAATCTCGAATAAACAAAACTCATAAACTGTTTAGCCCTTCTCTGCCTAAAACAAGCGACTTGTGTGTAATGGTAAAGGTTAAAAGGGGTTATGATGTGGGTTTTACCGTTCTATTTGCTTTAATTGTGAACGCGATGCGATAATAGGGAAACACAAACGTGGTTAAAGGTGACTCGGATAACGATGACATACGGAAAAGTATTTTTTTAAAACAACAAAATATTCCCCCCACCACCACCACCTAATACCACACTCCGTCACCAAAACTCGTGACCGGTAAAGAATAATAATAATTTAAAAACGCCTCGACTCGTCACATCAGTATGACGGTCCCCCCCCCCCGTACCCACCCACCCCGAACGATTACTTCTTCAAACTTCACTTTAAAAGCTGACGGAGGACAACGCCGGGCAACGCGAACAAACTCCCCTCCCCTCCCCGCATCAGAACCCTACAACAAACCGTTCAAAAATAAACAAGAGCGGCAAAAGTATCCGCCGCTAGATGTTAACGGAGAGGAGGCCCCGGCGCAGACCGGTCTCGCCTAGACCCAGCCAGCCGGGTTGACTTACGCGTTTCCCGGCGACCGAGGCGCCACTCCCACGTCGAGAGCCGACGAGCGACGTTGCCTCGTTCACCTCGCCGCCGCCGTCGTCATCCTTGCTCGACCACGATACCTTCTTGAGGATGTTCGCCATCAGCTCGGACAACGCGCGCGAGGAGACGAGGAGACGAGGGGACCGAGGGGGGAGGGGGGGGTATATTGATGGGGAGGAAGGGAAGGAGGGGTTTAGCGTTAACGCTGGTTCCCCCCCCACTCACCCCTATGTAAGATGGCAACCCCCACCCCTATGTAAGATGGCAACCCCCACCCCTATGTAAGATGGCAACCCCCACCCCTATGTAAGATGGCAACCCCCACCCCTATGTAAGATGGAAACCCCCACCCCTATGTAAGATGGCAACCCCCACCCCTATGTAAGATGGAAACCCCCACCCCTATGTAAGATGGAAACCCCCACCCCTATGTAAGATGGCAACCCCCACCCCTATGTAAGATGGAAACCCCCACCCCTATTTAAGATGGCAACCCCCATCCCTATGTAAGATGGAAACCCCCACCCCTATGTAAGATGGAAACCCCCACCCCTATGTAAGATGGAAACCCCCACCCCTATGTAAGATGGCAACCCCCACCCCTATGTAAGATGGCAACCCCCACCCCTATGTAAGATGGCAACCCCCACCCCTATGTAAGATGGCAACCCCCACCCCTACGTAAGATCCCCCCCCCTCCCCAACGTAAATACCCCCCTCCCCCCCCAGCGCGAAAGCAGCCTTCTTACGTAGGGAAATGGTCCGTTCATTGCATTGAGAATCAGAATTGTATTCGTCCTGGAGGAATCCGATGAGCTATGAAGCTCTTTTTCACAGATGTCCAGTCCGGAGGGGAGCGGGGAGAGGTCAGACATTATAAAATAGCAACGTCAAATATGACGCTTTCTCTATTTATATTATTTTCTCAGTTTAAATGCATGGGGCTTCGTCAGTACGATATACAGTGCACACATGGTTTCAACGTTATCTTGTACAGTAAAACCTTGGATTGCGAGCATAATTCGTTTCGGAAACGTGTTTGTAATCCAAAGCACTCACATATCAAAGCGAATTTCCACGTAAGAAATAACTCAGATGATTCGTTCCACAACCCAAAAATATTCATATAAAAATGATTAATACAAAATACCTTAATAAAGTATTCAAGCTTTCGTGACTGCATAAAATTACTCATTGGTTTTTAATACTTTATTATCACACTTCTACGGGGAAGTTACCGTTGTAATTATGTGTAAGATGTGCCCTTTTTGAGCTGCCGTTTTTTTGTATTTACAAGAGGTGGTCATTTTTTCAGCTGCCGTTTTGTATTTACAAGAGGTGGTCCTTTTTTGAGCTGCCGTTTTGTCTGTGTAAGATGTGCGTGTTTGAGCTGCCGCTCTCGCTCTGGCCCCTCCCCCCCTCCAACCTTATTTCCTATTTAAGCTTCTGTTCATCCCTCCGACCTCCCCCTCTCTCTCTGCCTCCCTCTCCGTCTTTCCTCCCTCCTTACCTCTTGGTGGACTTGTATATGTATTTCTACTGACCGTGTACCTCGTATTTTTCATTCTATCTATGCTGGTATGTGCAATCCAAAGGTTGAACACGAAATTTAACACTCTTCTGAAATTCGTGGTCCGCCAGGAAGTGTCTAACTGTGTTGTTGGCCTGACTGGATGTGCTTCACATAATGTTTTTTCAGGTTTGTTGAATTCTCGTCTCTCATCTTTTTGTTGTATTTACCTCCGTGATTTGTTCTTGACACCTGATGAAGATCGCTTGCGTTGTGATCGAAACGTCGTGATTGTTTTATGTTTTAATAAAATTTTATTGTATTTCTACATACGTGACTTTACCGAAAAAAACAATGAGTACAAAATACCTTTTTATAGTTTTATTATTTAAATTTAATATAAAGTAATCAAATTTATTAATTAAATTTAATCGTGGCTGGTGTGAGGGAGACGAGAGAGGAGAGGAGGGTTATTGTGTCGGACGACTTTCACTGTCACTAACAGAATCACTGCCATCTGTTGGCTCACTGGAATCTTGTTATTTTTGTGCGACTTTAACAAGGAACCTATCAAATGACACTTGCTTTTGCCTCCTTTTGAGGATTTCGCGGAAATGTGACATTGCATTGCCGTTGAACATATTAATCGCTCGCACTGCTACAGCCTTATTCGGGTGGTGCTTTTCTACAAAATGTTGCACTGTTTTCCACATTTTACACATCTCCCTAATCTCATTTGAGTGAGGCACGCTCGCACAGATGTTGACTATACGAGTGAGGCACGCCGACTGAGACCGAGCATGGGAGACGATTACCCACAATCCCGCAGCGAGAGAGAGAGAAGAACCATCGGCTCAGTTGTGATCACGTGACGCTCGGCAGACAAAGCGTACACGTACTACTCGTATTGCAAAACACTCGCAGACCAAGATACTCGCAATCCAAGGTTTTACTGTATTACATTAGGACCCATATCTTCGAGAGAGGGTCCTTGTCTTTAACATCTGACAGTTCAGCACGGATTCAAGGAAGTCTGCTGATGAGAAACTGAATGTCAAAACCGGTCCAGTTTGCTTGTACGTCCTGAATGAATGCTGCTGAAATTCTTTCCACCTGTCAACTGAACTAGCATACTCAATGAACCTACACAGGATATGCTGCGTATATGTAGAGCAGAGAAAACATCTATGTTCTCTAACATTACACTTTCCTGTCGACACTGGGATTTGTTGGCCATGCAGTACTTTTCCACAAATACTCCAACCATATTGGTTGCTTCTATATAAACTTGGACCCAGAGCTTAATTCTGAGTCACTGGTGGACTGGAATAGGTAGCAGGAATGTTGTAGCAACGGCCATAGTGAAAGGTATGATTTAACGTGGTGTTTTGCTGGGTGCAGGAATACCCAGGTAGCTGACCTGGACACACCGCTGAAATGAAGCCATGTTTAGGCCATTTTCCAGTGGCCGCATGTGTCCTCTGGAGCCTCTCGTGGTGGCCGGGTCCCCGTAGATGGGTGTAGTACCAGCCCTAGTGGGGCTTGCTGAGTGCTGGGATAGCGCGGGCACCACGCAAAACGTGTAGTGCAGGCTTCCACAAGGGGAAGCGGGAGAGTGTCAGCCCAGGGACAGGGTTGCCCCGGGCCATAGCACTCTAGTAGACCCCGTAGACACGTGATCTGGAGTGTCCACAGAGAGGGCCCCAGGTGGGGGGGCTAGGGGGTGATCACGTGTCCAGGGAGAGCTCTCGAGGGGGATCGAGAGGGAGCTAGAACACTCGAGAAGGCGGGTGGGGCCGAGGGCGGAGCGACCCGGGAGGATATAAGGTGGGTCCCTGATAGGGACCGGGGTCACTTCGTTCTACAAACTGGAAGCTCTACATCTACAAGCTGGAAGCTCTACATCCTACGAGGCATCAACACCTGGTCAGGGACCCGAGTGAGAGTCCGACCCTTCGTAGCTGTAACGTATAGTGTAGTTAGCTGGGTGGTCACCACCCCAGGCTGTATCTGGTAAAGGGGCAGCTACCCCTTTGTATATACGTGTTACGATAAATGTGTTGCCTCTGAACAATAACATCTGCGACTCAGTTGGACTCACTACAACTGGTGTCGGAAGTGGCCAACACGCTAGTCTATACAGCTAGCAGTAGACTATGTCTACACGTCACAGACCACGTACCAGGACGTCAGACAGCAAGGACAAGGACCTCGTGCCCCTACAGTTCCGGAGGATGCGGGGGAGCCGCTGCCAGTGGAGCAGGGCACCATCCGGGCGCGCGACGCTTCGCCGTCGGCGGAGGCGACCCTCCGGGAGGCACACGGTTGCCTCGCGGAGCTCCTCCATGCTGCGGCTTCGCTCCTCGTGGAGATCAGTCCCATGGTCTTGCCGGTGAAGGAGGGAGCGGCGATGCCGCTCATGGACGATGACTCCGCCGTCATTTCGCAGCAGGCGGGAAATTCGGCGGCGCAGCCCACGTATTCGGCCACCATTCTGTCGCTGGCACAGAGCGCGTACCCCGCCAAACTTAAAGACGGACCGTCGATGCCGATGGACATCTCGGCTTTCCGACGTCGGCTTCCCTTTATTAAAGAATTTGCGGCTACCAACTTGGCGGGATGGACGGAGGTGGAGGCGCTGCAGACATTGCCTGCCGCCCTTGACGACGACGCCCTTTCGGCGTTCCTCGCCATCCCGCCGCTGGAGAGGTCCACCCTCACGCAGGCTTTTGACCAGATGGCATCTATCTACGAGCCTCCAGCGAAAACGTGCCACAAGTTCGCCACATGGCGGAAGGGGGAGACCGAGTCGGCCCTTGCCTTCCATAGCGCGCTTTTAGTGAAAGCCATCTTCCCAAAAATGGACCACGATGGGATCAACGCGTTGGTCCTCGAGAGACTGCTGGCCTTGGCGAAATCCCTCCACACCATTCTTCCAGCCGAAGATGATGACGTCTCGTCTCTCAAAGTCGCTAAGTGCATCCAAGCCCAGCAACTTCTACAATGGCACAGGGCGCAGGTGACGTGTGCCGTGTCCCGCACGGAGCCGGTGCCACCTGATGGAGCGTCGACTCGGGGTGGAGGCGCATGTCATCGGGCTGCCGCGTACCATGACGGCGGCTCCCGGCATCACCGCCATCCTACGCCATCCTACGCTTCCCTACACCCTAAGGTGCTGCGTGACTGACGTCTCCCGAACGGCCACGCATGCCGGCTCCACAGGCTTCGAGCGTGGAGGACCCGTCGACCCGGCCTACTGCTCTCCATGAGGAGCCGGGTTCGGCGGAACATTTGCACATTCCCCCCGGGACCTCCAGGGTGAGCGAGCCCACCTCCCCTGGGGGCCTGGCATCACGGACTTGCTCAAAGACTCGTTTTTCGTGATCCCCTTACACACGCGCTCCCACGCTGTCAGTTGCTTGTCGCGCTCGTTGAGTCGTGGCGGTTATTGGCTGATCCTTGCCGCCATTGAGCTCACGAGCGTCATTACACAGTGAAGGTGGGAGGTGTGGTGGTGGAGGGGATCCCGTGGTTTTTCGCGTTTTCTTGTTGTGTGCTTTCGTTGGGTTCGTTGGTTTACACCCCTCTCCATGCGGGTTTTTGACATTTGTGTATAGTGTTAATTTTGTACAGGTGAGTTAGGGTTTTTATTGCTGTTCTTGTTATTGTTGAGGCATACTGTTTTTTTTTCTTGCATTTCACTTACCTGTTCGTTTTGAGGGGGAGTTGACAGCCGGGACGGCTGAATGTTACGAAGGGGGGGGGGGGGGGGGTGATATAGTGACATCGGGGATGTCACTGTATGGTGCCGGCCTGGGAGGGCTGTGGCGTGCGATGTTCTTACGTCGCGGACTGCACCGTGTGGGTTGCTGTGTGATGCCGGCTTTAGCATAGCACGGCGTGCGATGCACCGTCATCGTGTACACCCACTAGATGGGTGTAGTACCAGCCCGAGCGGGGCTTGGTGAGCGCTGGGATAGCGGGGGCACCACGCACAGCGTGCGGTGCGGGGCTCCCACAAGGGGGAGCGGGAGAGTGTCGGCCCAGGGACAGGGTTGCCCCGGGCCATGGCACTCTTGATTGACCCCGTAGACACGTGATCTGGAGTATCCACAGAGAAGGCCCCAGGTTGGGGGCTAGGGGGTAATCACGTGTTCAGGGAGAGCTCTCGAGGGGGATCGAGAGGGAGCTAAAATGCTCGAGAAGACGGGCGGAGCGGAGGGCGGAGCCAGCCCGACCCGGGGTCGCTTCGTTCTACAGGCTGGAAGCTCTTCGTCTGCAAGCTGGAAGCTCTACGTCCTACGAGGCATCAACACGTGGCCGGGGACCCGAGTGAGGGTCCGACCCTTCGAAGCTGTAACTCCTACGTATAGTGTAGTTAGCTGGGTGGTCACTACCCCAGGCTGTAACTGGTAAAGGGGCAGTTACCCCTTTTTATATACGTGTTACAATAAATGTGTTGCCTCTGAAGAATAACGTCTGTGACTCAGTTGGACTCACTGCAAATGCACAAGCACGATTTCAAGCTTGCGACACACTGGGGTGAGGAGGGCTGATCATGTGGACCACTAACTCGTGTTGGTTGCCTATCACTGCCCCTATACCATGGTCTGATAATAAAAAAATGGGTGCAACGCAAAAAACCTCTACCTAAAAAAATACATAAAATGAATACCAAGCTCCAGCAATTAACACTTGTTGAATATATATTCAGAACAAAGGTTTACGCACACATTACATTCATTGTGTTGACTATGCATACAAATACAATTGGAAAAATTCAATAAATACATGATAGCATGTACAGACAAGGTCAAATTGCCTCGTCGTTCAATGCATTGTCATGAACACTGTAGGTATTAACACATGATAAGCCTGTGCTCCAAACTAATGAAAATGTTTTTATTGTGGACGGTTATTGTGAATTACATTGACAGTCTGGCACAAAAATACATGAATATATAGTCAATATATTAATTTCAGAGTCTGATTAAATATATCCATGGAATTGCAAAAGCTATTTTCTGCAAGCATGGTTTCCATTAACGCAAATATTTTTTGCGCTCGAACTTTAAGCATAGACGATACGAGTCTTTTGTCAATTCATTTCTGGATGAGGGCCTCCCTTTGCTGTGTCAGGTGTGGAGGTCGTTAGGCCATCATGCCTGTTCAGTGAAATGGATACGTCCAAATATGAATTGCCATCGTAGCTGGGAATCAAACTCACGTCTCTGGGTTAATATGCCGGTGCGTTAGCCACCGTACCATTGCCCCATCCCTCCTTACCATACTATACAAATATGGTACGCAAATTAATTTTACCCGGTGTCTGTTTAAGTGTAAGTGCACGACCTTCATCTTTTTCTCTATGTTTTGTTCAATTGTCTTTACTTGAACCTTTCTTACACGACTTCTTTATAATTTCTCAATAATTGTATCAGTCATGGCTCCCCCCCCCCCCCCCCAAAAAAAAAAATCTTAAACAATATATCTTATTGTCTTCCAAATTTACAGTTATTTTAAAGTTCAACTTTTGTTGTATTAATAGAGGAACAGTGGTGCGGTGGTTTATGCACTGCTCCCTCAGCCCAGTTATCCGAATTTGATTCTTGGTTTCGGCAAACAGCAGATATCTGCACTGGTCCTGGACCCCTGTCTCCAAACGCCACCTTGACCAACCCGCAGTGACCAGCATGGTTAAATATGGTCAAACATTCCAATGACCAACATGACGTAAAGAAGCCTTCATCGATCAGCGCACTGACCAAGAGCTGTAGGTGCACTTAATGGTCTATGTAAGCAGAATTCTCTTGGACGATTTTGACCAGACGATGATGCAAAAAGTTCAAGTGGGTCGGTCTGGCAAGTCCTGCTTGTAAGAGACGAAATTATCCTTTGGGATCCAATGCTATGAGAATAGGTATTTACATCTAGCAATGAATACATAGGTATATGAAATACACGTTTGCAGTCCTGGAACGGGAAAAAACACGTCTGAAAAAACGACTCATGTACTTTTTTTACGCCAGATTATTTATGTCACACACTTCGGATCACAGTGGGAAGAGTGGCGGCACAGTGGTTAGTACACTGCGGCCATTTACCATCAGCCGAGCTTCAGACTGGTGCAGATATCCATTACCATTTAATAAGGTTTAAAATTTTGATTTAAGCTTTCGTGACTGCAGGGATTAATATTCTTGGTTCTTTCGGTAAAGTCACGTAGAAGGGAAACAATAAATATACATATATAACACAATACAATTATCACGACGTTTCGACTGCAACACAAGCAATCATCATCAGGTGTGAAAACCACAGCATCAGGTTTCCACACCTGATGATGATTGCTTGTGTTGCAGTCGAAACGTCGTGAGAATTTTATTGTTTTATATTTTTTTTATTTTTTTATTTTATTGTTCCCCTTCTACGTGACTTTACCGAAAGAACCAAGAATATAAGGTTAAACATATATATTTATACAGCAATTAAATGCCACAGCATCTCAAAGCGCCTTATATCATATCTCATGTTACTGATTTCATTGACCTGAGACAGCCTCACCTCGGGGACCCCAGTGGCAAGTCTAATTTGGATCATCAACATATATTCCTTGATGTTGTGCTACACACAACTATTGAACAAGCCCTGAAGTGCCAATAATAATTAAGAAACACAATTGAACAGAGCACTGCACAAAGGTAGTAGCACACACAAACTTTGTCACAACATTGTTCAAACACAATCAGCAACGTTTTATACACTGGAGTATATTATAATAAAACGAACACAGAACAAATCATGTATAGTGGCATCATTGTACCCTTAATATATATGAAACAGGTGACGTTTCAACCTCTTAAACTGCGATACATTTGCACAGGAAGCTATATGATCAGGAAGCAGATTCCATAGCCGTGGTGACATTGTAGAAAAGGCCCCATTCTGCTTCATTTTCAGCGCCAACCTAACCCACGCCCCTCTGGTGTCCTCAGCAGTCATCCAAGCAGTCACACTGCACCAGCTTGGCATCGCCCGAGAGCTTTCCCAGGTCACTGAACGTGAGCGCCACCCCTTCCATCGGCAGCTGTCCACCCCTGGCGAGCGCCGACACCTCCCCAGGCGCCAGGCTGCGCGTCCACAGCGCGAACCCGGCCAGCGATCCCACGAACGCCTCGTGCCTCTCGAAGCCACCACCCATGGCGTCCTGCTCCTGGCCTAACATCAGCGAGCCGCCCGATGCCACGGCGTAGCCGCGCCTGAACCCCGACCCCGCGGCGGCCAGCCTGCGGTCCACGTAGTAGGCGTAGCGCCCCTCGGCCGAGGACCACATGACGCAAGCGTGGTGCCAGCCGCCGTCGAGCAGGGCGGCTGCCGGCAGCTCGCGGTATTCGGGGTCGCCGATGACCAGCTGGAGACGGCCCTCCCCCTCGGCGCGGCCATACAGCACGAGCTTGTTGTCGTTGTCCTCCGTGGCGTAAGACAGCACGGTGCCCACGTAGCCGGCGCTCGTGCGCAGCCAGAAGCAGGCGGTGAAGGCGCTCAGCGGCGACGAAAGGCCCTTGCGGAACGAGGCCGCGCTGGACACGGAGGCGGCGGGGAAGCGCAGGGCGGCCTTCACGTTGCACACTGCAGCACACAACACAGACAAACATCCCCCGTATAGCCTTAACATACTATTGGGGCAAGTGCCGTTGGCAAGCACCTATGAAGGCACATACCTTATGACAGCAACTCCGTTGTTACTGTCGATGCAATCACTAGTATGACTGACGGTGTCATAGTGCGTTCGTCATGGCCCCTGATGTAAGTCATTTAATTGGTAAATTTCACCCCTCTGGTCTGTGAGTCCTGGTGTAATTGCACCGCATGTATATTTGAGAGCTTTGCCAATTGATCTGAAGCACCTTTAAAGAGGTATTGCACTACGTCACCTGGTCACATATATTATACTGCCAAGCAGCCCATCACTCCGTTACTATCATTAATTGTGAAAGATTTTGGAATTTTTTTTATCTAAGTCGCACATAATTCATCATCAATAACATATATAGTTTCTTCCTTGTGGTGAAAATAAGCCTATTTTCAACTTGACAAAATGAAAATGACACTTAATTACTCTAACTTACAGACTGACTTCGTTTTCCTCCCACGAGCCACATACAGTTCCTCCCACAAAGAACTGGCCCAAAATACTAATGCAGAAACCTAGCAGAAAATATGCTGACGGAGTGAGGCTTTACTGGGTAAACAAAGTGCATTATTATAATATTTTTAAATCCCTCAATTTTATCTGGATTGCTATCCGTGTCATATCATGAGGCAAACTATATATTTGGGTGTCACAGGCGCAGTGCAACCCTTCATGTTACAGAAGTGTCCAATGGAAGTGTTACCTTCAGGTCCCTCAGTTCTCACCTGCTACGACACTAAGGATAATGTTTGTCACATCGCAAGAAAACCAATATGTTTAATTCTCACAGCTGCAATTTGGCCAACTTTAATATACTATTTTTGTAGAGTCGTTAGTGACCTAACCAAGAGCTTCAACTCACTACACTTGAGTTGGTTTAATTATAGGTGGCTGCCTGGATTCAAACCCGGGATCTTGGCGATGCCAGCTCAGTGCTCTGACTTCTGAGCCACCCAGCGATCTCAATAATTGTTCATAACTGGAACCCCCACTGCCAACACACGGGCACATCAAGAGCCCTCCACTAGAGGTGGAGCCACACTTATGATGGTTGGGGGTGTGCTACTCACTTATGGTTACTGGTGGTTATTGGGTAGGCTGCAGATAGAATTCACGAAGTTCGCCTCTCAACATCATCACAGCTAAGTGGAATTGTCCTGCACAAAAATGACAAAGTACTGGCTACTGACTCATTACTGAGCCTATTGTTCGTGGGCTACGGTGTATAGTATATAAAGGTTTCGTCATCAGCACAATCAGCAATTATGTCACCTTGTTGGCCGGAGGAAAATGCAGACTCAAATATAATATTCTTTTGGGTGTCTCTAAGCCATATTTAACACATTTTGGGGGTGCGCTGACAACCACGAAACCCATAGCGGCCGCACCGCTGTCCCACCACAGATCTCACCGCCGACGTGTCTCCTCGGCTCTCCGCGATGGGTCCCCTTCGCCGTCCCCCTTCTTCCCCCTCCTCCAGCCTTCCTTCTGCCCCCGCCTCTGGCCGTCAGAGACTCGTTCACCGCCCGCTCCAGCGTCTGGAGTCGCATGTCGCGAGCACGTCCCTGCCTCTCCAGCGCGTCCAACGCACGCCGCAAAGCGCCCGCCTCCTCAGTGCGCGCCGCGACCCCGGCATTCCGTAGCTCGGCCGTGGCGTTGGCGAGGCGCGCTACGGCCTGGGCGCCCTCAGCTGACATTCGACGCTGCACCCCGTCCAAGACGGCCTCGAGGGCCGACAGGCGCAGCTCCCAGTCCGTGGCCTGCTTGCGTGCGCTTCTCTTGAACTCACGCACCTGTGCCACCAGGTCGCGGCTGGCGACGGAAGACGTGGTGAGGTTCTCGTGAGCGGCCCCCAGAGACTCGAGGCGACGCTGAGCGTCGTCCCTGAAGAGACGGAACTGCGATGAGAAGGAGAAGAAGGGGGGTGGCGAATTAATGCATTTTGGAGACAATGTCGGGACTGATGGTGTAAAGTTAAGAGGGGGATCTAGTCATTTCCCAAGGGGTTGGGTGGGAGGCAGTCAAGAAATGTCAAGCTTAATAAATACAAACATCATTAAATGTAGTTTTCCTGAGATATTTCAACGAAATACTAATTTCGGACATGGGGAAGGTGTTCGCTTTGTTCCTCACATTAACAATCATGGGTGCATATAAATAATGTATTTATATTTTTATCTTAATTGTAAACTACTGAAAATAAATTAGTAAAGGTGTCCATTTTTGCGGGGGCACTGCCCCCCACGTGCCGCCCCCCACCGCAAACTCCACCCATGGCTGCACCCCTACCTTTCATGATACAGAGTCAAACCAAGGCTTAATTTCGGTGACCCGGAAAATATTTCCGCAATCTGCACACCACATTCATCATATTATGGCTAAGGTTACGAGTCACATGCCACCTATTCTTAAAATATTCAGTTAAAATTTAAGCTGCAATTGGTGGTATAGTAATTTCATGATGAGATAGGGTAAATTTGCAAATTTGGAATATAACAGGATAATGGGTAGTGTTAGCCCTTGCCCAAAATATCCATAGTTATTGGGCTAAATATATTTAATTTTACGTGGAGAGACAGACTTTTCTCTATTTTTATAATTACCAACTTCAGTTGTACTGTATACATTTTCTCTGTCCATCTCCAATGGGAGTGGGTGGGTATGATCAATCTAGTAAAAATATATATGCAGCTGTTTGGTATTAGAAACTCTGCCTATTAAAAACAGACCAAATGGATGCCCCAATCTTGGAGACACAACCTAAGGACTATGTACTTGCAGCTACCTGCCGTATTGTGTGCTTCTAATTAAATGCTTCAGAGAACAAAGACGTGTTAGAAAGCATTCCATAATCCATGCCTGTGCGTTCTTTTTCACAACTTGTTTCTTTACAGAATAAATAACCCACACCAATAGAACATCTTATCTTGCTCTGGCTTTGTACTTACTGGTTAGGTTCCCTCTAAGGGTCATGTCCCTCGCCAACTTTCACTGCATGTAATCTAAGTCGCACCGAGGCAGTGGGTGTTGAAGAGAGGGATTTAATTTCATCCCCACACAGCTCCGTTTATTGAAGTTAAAATTAGGCACCTCGCCACAGGCGGTTGACCTTTTGACAGCATCTCTAATATAAGCGTGGCCAGCAGCAACGACACGGAATCTAAGAATACTGGGTGTGTGTAGGCTTGTGTACTGAACTGGTCCAGGAGACAATACAGAACATTTTTAGTGAAGCCACAAATGTGGAGATTTGAGTGTCATTACTTCGGATGAGTGGTGGGTTTTCTTCGGTTTCCCAAGTTAAGTCAAACACACGTTAAGTCAAACACACGTTAAAGGAATTGGTCAAACATCCGCATGTAAGACATCTTAAATGGCATTTATTTATCTAGCTTTCCTTGATAAATAGCGATACAATTATTTAGTGTATTGCTGGTCAAAGTAGAAACGTGACCATAGTTGAGTTGTTAAACATTTTAAAATGTCGCCTAATGGGGGTAAAAGATATGGGTCGTTAGCAATAATAACACGTCATTAAATATATGCGTAGAATTGAACGCTTACACATGAAATCGGGTTTCATAATTAATGTAATTACAAACTTTGACCACGTTTTTCAATTAACACATGGCTTTTCACACGTTTTGGAAAAAACAAGTTACCTACATTTGCAAAAAAATATTAGCCCGTGTTGATTGTATGGCGTGTGGTGACACGTTTGTGATCCAGCCCTTTGGTGGAACGTGTTGGTCGAGATTTGTTTAACTCTTATTAAAACCAGCTAGGGCCAGGGTATGAAAGTACGGCAAGTAGGTTCGTTAACCCATCTGTGTAGCAGAGCTATTCTTGTTATCACATTCGTGTACATAATCGGTTTTCTCTGGATACTCCGATTTGCTCCGATATATAACAACATATCCGTTCATGAATTTGCCGAATATCCCAATAAAGAAGCGTCAAGAAAAAAATCTGGAGACCCGGTGAAGCACATGTGAAACAATGTGCACCATGTAGAGCCGTTTTGTCAATCCACTATCGTGGTCGTTATTGTCTGACCATACTTTCGAACGCTGGTCAGTACGGATTATAGACGTGGTGGGCATAGAAGTGTAGTACAACAAATTATTGATGCTGACCACCAGAAAGCAAAGCCCCGTCGCCGCCAATGACAACCTGGTGTTCGTTGCGATCACAAATCCAAACTCTATCCAGGCTAATTTCTGACGAGCTTTCCGAGAACTGACGTGGTGGGACGCATTCCGCGTGATTTGTACGACTCGACAAATGCATCACATTGTATATAATATATCTGTTGGCAAATGACGCCTGCAGCCACAGGGTCATCTCTCAACAACACGCCACGGGCAACGGCTGTAATCGTACCGCGACTTTGAGCTCGTAGACGTCTCGGTGAAGACGAGGGAAGGCGGCTCTGAGCTCAGACAGGCTGAGGACGGGTCCAGGCTGGTTCCCCGCAACGGTAGTCTGGTTCAATGAGCGCAGGGCAGAGGCAGCGAGGGCAGCACTCAGAGGTCTCCGGCGGACGCCTGCCGCTGCTGCAGGACTCAATCTTCGTGGCTGGGATTCTTCGGCTCCGAGCGGAGCCAGGGTTAAGAGCGCAGCCACCAGACCGAGGACGGCACCGTGCTTCGCAGGGCAACGCATTGCTGGGCACGACCACTGCAGACTCGAGGAGGAGGAGTATACGCAGGTAGCAGAGTGCGTATTAAGTCGTTTTGAAGACGATGGCTTGAGGAGGCGTGGGAACACGAGTCGTGATTAAAATTGGCTGCTCAAAAGCCCCCGCCTCCATACCAGGTCGACTACACCAACCCTCCCTCCAGTCCCCCCCCCCCCCCCCACGTTCCCCAACACACACACGCACGCATCTACGACGGACATACCAAACAGCCGTGGTGGAGGAGGAACACATGTTACAGGCTCGTCAGGTTTGAGCCTGGATTTGTTGTAGTACGGAGTTAGACTGATGGCCTTAATCTACAGTAAGTTGTCTTGTGGTTGTTGTTGTTGTTGATTGACTTGCATCCCACTGGGATTTTTTTTGCACACAGCGTTGGTCTACGGTGCTTTTCAGGAATATTTTGATGTTTTTTTTTTTCCCATGGATGTTATGTTTGCACAGTCTCACACATAGTCACTTTAAGATGTTTTTCTTGTTCGTGTTTTTTGTTTGTTGCGGTTGCACCGATTCAAGAGCCGAATGGCTCACAGGGCTATACCAAAATAAATGGAACTGAACTGAACACAGGCACGCACACCCCTCTCCACCACCCACAACCACCCACCCGCAGGACCAACGTTGGTTCAGCTCTGCTATTTCCATCAGGATTGAGCGGACCACGCGCCTGCGTCACTCGCCCGCGTATCGCTTTCCAGCGGCCACTTTTTAAAAAAAGCCCCTCTATTAAAACCGCGAGGCCAGAAATGGCAAGACGCAATTGCCACGAAGAGACAACGCGGTGCCAGTGAAGTGCCGTCAAATGCAACGACCAAACTCGCTACTGGCACACGCGGACACATTGTGCCGCACAAAAAGAGCTCCCACTGGGGCGGCGGGGGGGGGGGGTCCATTTAAAGTGTTTTGAGTTGCTATTAATTTATCTTAACAACAGTGTTCGCTCACTCTTGAAGAGAGAACGGCCTCAGAGGCACGATGAACCACAGACAAGCAGAAAGGCAGACACGCGATGAGCCGGCGCCAACAGTTGCCCAAGCCCTGCGGTCCTCTACATATTAAGGTATTATCAGCTAATTCATGAGTTTAAATGTGTGGGGGGGGGGGGGGGAATGGAGCACCCGGACAAAGCCTCAAATGCGACGGGGCAAGTGGAGTCCACATTTTTTGCTGTACTGCCTTCTCCTGTCAAGCCAAGGTATAAGCACGAGAAGGGAGTTTCACAATATTTGTTCAATCCGCAAATCATCGCCCCCACAGTGCTGGATTACACGCACGCATAGCCACCGCCACCCCTCGGTTGACCTATAGAGTAATCTATCTATAGATTCCTCAGAATAACAAGAACTAGAAAAACTGCGTTTTAATGTGAAATCTCCACCTCACCGATCTCAATGCACTTATTTCATAGTTATGACTCGCTTCCTGGAAGACATGGAGCCGTCACTTTTACAATAGGCCTGTTCAATCGCCTGTTTAGAATATGCAACAAAAACATTAATTTGACATTCAGCAAAGTGCATCGCACCATGTCTGAGAACGGCCTTCAGAAGGTAATGTCATAGAACTTCGTCAAAAGATCCATTCAAGTGTGCTTATTTGATGTACAATACAGGTGCCACAGTTTCCCCCATGTGCTTTGAGAGAAGTCAATTTCAAGGTTGTCAAACCAATGCAGGAAATCTGCTGACGTGATAAACTGTGCTTTTCCTCCGGAAACACCAATTTCCGCCATAAAAAGCAAAAGCAAATCCTTGTAAATGGTAAAGTATCCCAATACAGGACCATTCTGAAAATAATGACGCATTCCTGATTAAATGACATCACTACAAGTCGACAATAACAGTTTCATATAGCTCTCAGTTAAACCCAGTACAACAAGATGTGTACTTTTACAGCCCTATTTTCAGTCTACTGCTAGAGAACGGTCGTGTGGGTTATTTGACCATACTTCACCACGCTGGTCAGTGCGGGTTTCTGAAGGGGGTGTCCCCAGGACCTGTTGAGATTATCATTCGTCAATGATGTTAGCCATGGCCGGGTATCGAACCAGTGATTCTCATTCTTTTTGTATGTATGTTGAATTTATTTTGCACCGTACGTACCAACATACATGTTACAAAATTCTAGTTTTTACTCACAATCCTGGCTTAGGAGGCCAGTGCGTCATCCATTAGGCCACTGGGGCTGCACATGCACGGAGTGCGTGCAGTAGGGCTTATGTTCATACCACGTGTACGTTATCAACATCGTTATTTGGTGGAATTTCAGCTTATGCGCGTTTTCTCGTTCACAGCTTCTGTTGTTGTGGAGTGACTCATGCAGCCAGCTATGGCTACAGGGTTTGGTGATAAATGTTGATTATGTCGCTTATTGTGGAATTTCGGTCACAGTTCCTATGATCACTGTTACATTTCTTTTATGGCTTTATTTTGGTGATTTGGAAAAGTTTTTTGGTTTGGCCATATTTGTTTTGTTGTAGTACGGAGTTAGACTGATGGCTTTAATCTAATTTGTCTTGTGGTTGTTGTTGTTTGACTTGCATCCCACTGGGATTTTTGCACACAACGTTGGTGTACGGTGCTTTTTCTGGAAGATTTTGCTGTTTTTTCATGGATTTTTCTGTTTGCACATAGTCACTTTAAGATGTTTTCTTGTTCATGTTTTTGTTTTTAGTTTGTTGCGGTTGCACCCGATTCAAGAGCCGAATGGCTCACAGGGCTATACCAAATAAAATAAACTGAAACTGAAAACTGATGTGCAGACAGCTAAAATAAACCCACAATTACCATAACATTTTGACGTTTTTAATTAACTTGCATTGATTGCAAAGCGATTATGGTTAAAGATAAAATAGGCAAACCTAACATCACCCGTGGTGGGACTCGAAGCCACAATCCCTGACTTAGGAAACAAGTCCATTGAGCCACTGGGGCCAAATGAAGAAAGATGAAGACCTGGCTGATTATGTCTCCCCACCACCCCAATGAACACCACTGGTCATCAAGCCCGCCACCCACGTTGTGTATTAGTATGTTTTGTCGCCGGAATGCGGTTCTGAATTTCCCCGCGCACATTTGAAATGTCTCCTGAGCGACAACCATGCCGCAGCCTGCCCCCCAAAGAGCCTTGGGGGGCCTGAGCCACGGGCTAAGAACGGCTGAGTTCAACCAAATGTAGAGTAATGTTGAGGGGCGTTTAAACGTACGCCTTGAACATTGTGATGCAACGCCTAAAGCGGCCTTACCCACCTGATGACGATTGCTTGTGTTGCAATCGAAACGTCGTGATTTTTTTTCTAACTACGTGACTTTACCGAAAGAACCAAAGAGTATGGATTTCTGCAGTCATGAAAGTTTCAAATCAAGATTAATAATTATACCATTGTGTAAAAAAGTACAACAGACAAAGGACCTTTAGGTTTGAACATTTTATTTACAAGATGCGCAATACAAACAACCTATGGGGAATACTAATGACGAATGGCCTTCATGCAGCAGTCATTACCCTTAAATTCTGCACAGTTGCATATTTTATCAGAAGTCAAATCAGCTACATACAGAATGTTTCCTAAGTGTAAGAAAAAAAACACACAAATTGAGCCACAAGCAAAAAAATAAGGAAGCAAAATCATGCATACGAATGCATTCTGTGATGCTTCCCAACCGCGATGTTGTCCTGGGAAATATTTAATGAACGATAAACTACAGCGCTCGCAGGCAGGTGGGCTGGGGAGCGCCAGGCTCTTCCGGGGAGGGCAAGGGGCAACACGTTGGTCCATTGCGGCCAAATTCTCATACCGCAAAGCATGGGGAGTCATTCATATCCATAAAACTTCACGCTAAAGTCCCGTTCGCATTGGATTGCCTTCACGAGAGGTATTTTAAATTCCCCCCCTCCCTTCATCCGTTACGGAAGGACCAGAGCTAATGCGTAAACTATTGAAGACATTGTTGCTTTGTGTTTAAAAAAAAAAACTGCCAGCTTGAGACGATCAAGCACATGCCTTTGCCGGAAGGAGTGAATCACGGAACGATGTCTCCACCTGGCGGACAGAGACTGGCAGTGTTAAGAGATCATTTCAAGGTGGTATTGGTGACTCGGAGGTCAGGGTAGAGCTGTGTCTGAATCCGGGTTTCAGTTTAAACAGGTACAGGTGCCCGAGAGAGCCCCCCATTGAGGGTATTTGGCCTACTCTTCCACACTGGCCAAACGTCTTGAAAGAGGTGGGAGTATCCACGCTTTGCCACCCACCGCGCGCGATCTGCCAACAGATTGCGTGGTTACCTATTTATACCAACGGGTGGATAGAGTCGGGAGTATTTTAAGAAACTTGAACATTGTTTCAACTGCCGTGCTGCAAGGTTGAACAGGCGACCTCTGGATTTGCAAGTCCGGTGCAAAGGTACAGCACTAACCCCTGACACCTACGCCGTGCTTTAACCACCCTTGTATTGATTATTATGGGTTGTGCTGAATTAGCTCTTCCATGCGTTTTCGGGTCGTACCGCGTGTTTGTCGGGCATGATGTCCGACGTTTCGCTCAAGAAGCTCTCCACTAAACACGTGCGGCGAAACGTCGGACATCATGCCTAACAGCGACGCGGTGCGACCCGAAAACGGATCGGAGAGCCCGCCACTGTTTTGACCGTCAAATTAACTTGATCCATCATTACAGGGTGCTTTAAAAAATGTTAACACTGATATGGGACTATCGTCTTTAATGGAAAAAGAACGTAGCATAGCTTCGAAAACTGTAACATAGCTTCGAAAAGTCAGAGTCTCCCACTTGTTCGCCATCGTTGTCAACGCACGTGGCCTGGAATCTTCTCCAGGTGGTCTCCAGAGCCCGGAGGCAGCAGCACATTTCTTGTGGTGTTGTTGCAAATTCTCAAAAGTGTTAACATTTTTATTGAAGCACCCCTGTACATATTGACTTTAACCGCTTGGCAGGAGTTTCAGGGCATGAAGGCGGGCCCCTATCCGTGGATATGATTCCAAGGCCACCTCTGAATAATTCGGCGTCGAGCACTTTCTGGAGCCGTTGCCACCCAAATCGGCAGAATTAAACCGCGCAGTTCAATGCCCAAGCCGTCATCATTAACCACGACGAATTCTAAACCCGCGTCGTTCCTGAAAACTAACCTTCGCGGTGCACGGAATACGCTTTGCATCGTCCCCCCACTGTTCGAGTGTAATATACAGGGTGGTTTAAAAAGATGGACCCATTTTCAAAGCAAAGCGATTTCAAATCGGGTCCATATTTTTAAAACACCCTGTACATCAACGACTACGCTTGCACTGTTAAGGACCTTTTTGTCAATCCACTGCTGGATGAAGGCCTCCCCCACCAAGTCGTGCGCAGGTCACGGGGGTTGTTTGAATCATTCTGTACACACTTCGCCCGTGTTGACTGGTCGGAAGAGTGGCGAATGCGAGGAGCATAAGATCAAGGCCGTAATTTTTATATATATGGGGGGGGGGGGGACACATAGCGATATATTGGGTGGGGGGACATTTTGAGCATATTTGACTATTGGGGGGGACACATCCCCCCCCCCCAATATATCGCTATAAAATATATTTCTGTATATATGATTGTGGTTATGGTTGTACTTTATTAATCCCTAATCTGTGCCGTTACATACAATGAAACAAGAAAAGGTAAAAAAAAGAAAAAACAGAGCAATGTAATGCAATACACTATTAGACATTATTGTAAACAAAAAAAGTACATCCCACGTGTTAGTGAATTTTTTTCATATTTTAGACAGGACATGGCAGGAAATTCGTTTTCAAATTTAGATACATTTTTCTGGGAGGGGGGGGGCGGACCCCCAGACCCCCTGGAAGATTTCCCCCCCCCCCCACAATATTGACTCCAAGGCTACACCCTTGCATAAGATGTTGGGAGCTGCGTAATTTAACAGACATCGGGGGGCGGCGGCGGTGAAGGGGGGGGGGCACGTTTTGTGACGAGCCTTACTCCGGACGATACGGTCATTTAGCGTGCATCTCTTTAAATCGACGAATCGTCGCCGGCTCCAAATGGTGACAGGCACGCGCACGCAACGAAGCGAATGAGATAGTGAACAGAGGTCGCCCTTTTTAAAGCTTTCGTGACTGCAAGGATTCATCTTCTTCGCTCCAGCGCTGTCCTCCAGACAGTCTCGTCCCTTCACCTGATGAAGGCCGCTTGTGTTGTTGGCCGAAACGTCGTGAGAATTTTTATTGTGTTATTTTATTTTATCAATTTATTATTTTATTCTCATTCTACGTGACTTTACCGAAAGAACCAAAGAAGAAGAGGTCGTCCTGTTTGCTTGCCATGTCACAATTCTGCCGCTAGGGGGGGGGAGGTGGTGGGGGGTTCCCAACGTGTTCAGCATCTTCATCATCATCAGGCCGGGACAGTGAGGTCATGGCTGCGCTGCTGCTGAGGACAAGTCGTGGCCTGGGTAAGCTACAGAGACGCACTCGTGACAGCGGTGATGATGATGGCTTGATGGTGATGATCATCTCTCTTCACGTCGGTGTGTATCGCTTCGAGTGAATGTGTGAGCTGGGATAGTCGTAAGCTAGTCGACACACACACTCACACACACACAAGCACCGGCGCGGCTACTTGCGAGTGTCCACTTGCCAACGCGGAGTCGCCGGTGAGCACGTTGCGGCTTGTTACTCGACGCTGTTTTGGCTGCTCCGACCTGTGCCGTTGTGTCTCTTCGTCCTCGTGTCGCCTCTTGCCGCTGTCCCCCCCCCCCCAGCCCTGCCACAGCCCCAGCCGCGCCACAGCCCCAGCCCTGCCACAGCCCTCTCCCCCCCAGCCCCCCCCCAGCCCTGCCACAGCCCCAGCCCTGCCACAGCCCTCTCCCCCCCAGCCCTGCCACAGCCCCAGCCCTGCCACAGCCCCAGCCCTGTCCCCCCCCAGCCCTGCCACAGCCCCAGCCCTGCCACAGCCCTCTCCCCCCCAGCCCCCCCCAGCCCTGCCACAGTCCCAGCCCCTGCCACAGCCCCAGCCCTGCCACAGCCCCAGCCCTGCCACAGCCCCACAGCCCTGCCACAGCCCCAGCCCTGCCACAGCCCCAGCCCCCCCCCCAGCCCTGCCACAGCCCCACAGCCCCAGCCCTGCCACAGCCCCCCCCAGCCCTGCCACAGCCCCACAGCCCCAGCCCCCCCACAGCCCCAGCCCTGCCACAGCCCTGCCACAGCCCTGCCCCCCCCCCAGCTCTGCCCCAGCCCCCCCCCACAGCCCTGTCACAGCCCTGCCACAGCCCTGCCACAGCCCCAGCCCTGCCACAGCCACAGCCCCCCCCCACAGCCCAGCCCTGCCACAGCCACAGCCCTGCCACAGCCCTGCCCCCCCCCCCCCAGCTCTGCCCCAGCCCCCCCCCCCCCCACAGCCCTGTCACAGCCCTGCCACAGCCCTGCCACAGCCCTGCCACAGCCCCAGCCCTGCCACAGCCACAGCCCCCCCCCACAGCCCCAGCCCTGCCACAGCCACAGCCCTGCCACAGCCACAGCCCTGCCACAGCCACAGCCCTGCCACAGCCACAGCCCTGCCACAGCCCCAGCCCTGCCACAGCCCTGCCACAGCCCCAGTTCGTTCCCCGGGCCAGGGCCACGACGTCGGTGGCGGGTGTCGTCTCAGGGACGTTGCAATTATGGCTTTATTTTTTTGGTGATTTGGAAAACGTTTTTTGGTTTGGACATGTTTGTTTTGTTGTAGTACGGAGTTAGACTGACGGCCTTAATCTAAGTTGTCTTGTGGTTGTTGTTGTTGTTTGACTTGCATCCCACTGGGATTTTTTTGCACACAGCGTTGGTGTACGGTGATTTTTTTCAGGAATATTTTATGTTTTTTTTCTCATGGATTTTCTTTTTGCACAGTCACACATAGTCACTTTAAGATGTTTTTCTTGTTCGTGTTTTTGGTTTTTTTTGTTTGTTGTGGTGGCACCCGATTCAAGAGCCGAATGGCTCACAGGGCTATACCAAAATAAATACACTGAAAACTGAAACTGAAGAGTCAACTCAGCATTAAATTTGCACCTTGGCGCGGTATAAAAACAACAACAAAAACACATCAGCAGTGGGAAGACAAAGGCGGCTGGGCGTGGAGTTAATGTAACACTCCCTCCCCCCTCCTCTCCTCCCCACCAACGTGCATCTGGCGTCCTCTCTCCCCTGCTCAGCTCATGGCAGACTCGCAGTGTGTGTCCGTGTGCGCCTGTTAAAGCTCTCTCGCTCACAGCACTTGCCCCAGCAGTCTGTTAAGGCTATATACGGCTGGGATCTTTGTCTGTTGAGGTGTCTTGTCAGGCTTGCAGACAGGTGACCGCTTGCCGAGGTCGCAGCGTTTAGTTGGCTCGAGCAGGCGTGGCTGGCTGGCTGGTGAATGTAAGGCAAAGGTTGTGGGTGACGAGGTGTCACCGACGGCCCTGAACCGCACTTGCGTTGGCAAACTTTTCATTTGGGCATTGGTTGCAATAAAGCAAGTAGGTTGTAGGTCCACGTGTTTTTGGGTGGGCGATGTCTTCTCGTTTCACTGGGTTTCCCGAGGGAGTTTTAGCCCCCCACCCCCACACTAATGCAATAGACAACCTAAACTTTATATTCTTGGTTCTTTCGGTAAAGTCACGTAGAAGGGAAACAACCAAATAATAAAAATATAAAACAATACAATTCTCACGACGTTTTCGACTGCAACACAAGCAACGCAAGCAATCACCTGATGATGATTGCTTGTGTTGCAGTCGAAACGTCGTGAGAATTTTTTTTTATTATTTTATTGTTTCCCTTCTACGTCACTTTACCGAAAGAACCAAGAATATGAATCCCTGCAGTCACGAAAACTTTAAATAAAAATAAAACCTAAACTTTGTACGAATAACAACCAAAGCTTAATAAACTCGCCGTATCGCCGACGCGAAGCAGATTTTAGCCTGGTTAGCACTTGGATGGGTGGTCATCAAGGCTTGTCAGGTGTTGTAGGCATGGGGCTTCGAATTGGCCAAGAGATGGCAGTGTTGCGTTATGCCGGATACTCGTCCACGTGCCAAACACACACTGGATGGAATTGACCAAACATTCCAGTTGCAAGACCCTCCTGAAAATAAGTCTTTAAGACTCCGTGAAGCTGTCCTTGTGTGAGTAATAGAGATTATGTAACGTTGAAATTTTATGGAACGTATTCGAGTAAACAGGAAAGGGTCGGAAAAAATATATTTTCAAGGTGACAAACGCCTCGAGAGCATAGCATGCATACCTGACAACCCCTTATAAGTGCCAACCTTATTACAGACCAATTCCGACCTTATTGGTCACCCCGTGCCCTTATAAATCTCAACTTTCATTCTACAAAGTCCCATCACAAGGGAGAAACGCAAACAAATAGACACTAATTATGGGTATTTTTAGTCCGTATTGAAACGGCTGTACGCTGTATGGACCTGGACTCAATTCCCCTGTACAAGAATACGGGTAAACCGTATGGGTTGACAGATATGGCATAGCATGTGAGATGTACTGCTTCGTGAAGGTACGTCAACATTAGTTGAGTGACATGATCTTCTAGGTGCCGCTCTCTAACATGGGGAGATGTTTTACTGCTATGGAAATGTCTCAATCTCTTAACAACATTATGCAGGTAGCATGGTCGTAATGTAATTTACAGCCCTTTATTTACCCAGAATCAAAACACAGATGTCCATTAGGGCCCAATGTATATTTCTTCTTGAATCAAGTGATGTGAGATTGCATTTTAAGTAGAGGTCATTATTGTGGGTCCGGTATGGTGCAAAACAAAGAGCAGAATGAGAAAGCGGGTTTAGTCTGTTTAGTGATTCATTAGTAGCTGATCTGTAAGCAGCGTCACAGTAGTCAAAAAGTGGTATAATGATAGCTTCAGAAATTTGGAGGTGCAATCCAATGGGAAAACGGTGTTTCTGTATGAAAACTATTTTTTTTCTTCCAAGATGAGATCAATATGGTGTTGGAATGTAAGTTTTTAATCAATCAGTAAACCCAAGTATTTGAAGCACTGTTTGTTCAGTCATGTTGTTTCTGATATTCGTCTTAGGTGAAGGGAATAAAACTATTTTTGTTTCAAGAAAAGAGTGCGTGATCTAGATTTTTGGGGGGATTTAGGAGCAATTTTAGTGATGGCAATTAAAAGTTTTATCAGCACAGAGGTTTAATTCTGAATGATTTGATTTTAGTCCAAAATTGTTTAGATATAAGGTGAACAGAATTGAACCCTGCACGGAACCTTATGGAACGCCCTTTGTCATTTTAATATTTGTGGACGAGATCTTTTTTTGTGAATTTAGATGAGTTTGATGATAGTATGAAAATGTTGCTCTGCTTACATGGCGAGTACATCTATTCCTTAGTGTTCCATCCAATAATGGAGGTTGTTTGATGTATTTGCATTATTCCAGGCTATGTCTGTTGTTTTCATTAAATCAGAAATGTTCGGATCAAACCATGGGCGACAATCATCGTTTATTCTGAACTTTTTTTAATAGGACATGCTTGTACATGTTTTTTAGCAATTGGTTCTTAAAATGTCCAAGCACTTTGAAAAACTGGAATTTTGTTCACCGAAACCCAGTCAAAATGGAGAGTGTCACATATCAATGCTTGAATGTCAACATTTCTTAATTATCGAAGGAATCCGCACGGCCTGTCAGCCATACATACGTCTTGGGGGTTGTTGTTTGACCATACTTTACCATATTGGTCAGTGCTGGTCGATGATAAGCATGTTCGGAAATAGAACTCAGATGGTTGGGTTCATAGCGAATCGCACTAACCACTGCGCCACCACTCCATCCCACAAACGGACTATAATTTGGAGTTGTTTTATTTACAAAGTTCCAAATCAGAGCAGACACAGTTAGATTGGATTGGATAAGTGGCTGGTCTGGTCTGCCTTGTTCAACCGACACCTCTCCCTGTTCCTGCGCTCCCCCCTCCTGGACAGGCGCGTGTCTCCGCGTGGCCACCGGTTGCCCGTCGCCATCATCCTGTGTCGTGGCGGCATGGTCGTCGGCGCGGTGGCCCCGGGAGGGTGCGGTGGCGTGGAGGACACACGCGCAGGTGCGGCACTACTCGTCCAGCGACAAGCTCTCCATTGACATGGATGACAAGACCGGTGAGATTCGCAAATGCTGGCCTCTTGTCGTGCAGCCTTGGTGCGCGAAAAACTGTTGTGAAATATCATCTTCAAAATCAACCACGATCGTGCATACTGTGTTCATCTCATCCATGCTGTGTACAACCAGCACACTGCTGGTCACAACACTTCTCTTTCTGATTCTTTCCTCTCACCGCTCAACTTTCTTACTCCCTTCTATTATTTATTTTCCAGAATTCGTGTAACCTTTTCAATTAAAGAAACCTATGAACTCCTATATGTTGCACCTTAAATATGACTGTTTGTTGCTTGCTGCTTGGTGCTTTGGGCATGTGCTCAGCAGCTGTGATTAAAAATAAAAAAAATCAAACTCCATTGCTGGATGAAGACCTTGCAAATCTCTCACCGTTTCACATGGGTCCCGAGAGTCATCCATCTTGCTACATTTCTTTGCTCCATCTTCATAGTGGACATCCCCTGCCTTGGCCGCCACTCTATACATAGTCTTGACCATCGGCCATCATCTCATCGAGTAACATTTCCTGCCCAAGTCCACTTTTCCTTAATGAAAAGTATGTTGTAACCTGCTCATACTCTTTGGGTCTTTCGGTAGATAGAAAAATATCTACGTGACTTTACCGAAAAGACCCAGAGAGTATGAATTCCTGCAGTCATGTAAGCTTTTAAGTCAAGATTCAACCTGCTCATGTTCTCTAATCCATGTGTTTCTGTCTCTGTGTAATTTCAACCATTCGTCTCTCAACGCTTTATAAATGGTCACGTTTCTTTTTCATGTGTCCAAGCAAGTAATACGCCGGTAAAACAAGGTTCCAATATATTGTACCTTAGCTCAAACGTTTACCCCTTACTTGGAAAGAATCGGCGCTTTGGAGGCAAACGGCGAATCTCTGTCCTCTGGCAGGAGTGGCGGTCCTGAAACTGTCGAATCCACCCGTCAACAGCCTGAGCCTGGAGCTGCTCACGGAGCTCGCCATCGGCCTCGATAAGCTGGAGATGAACCCGAGCTGCCGCGGCGTCATCATGACCTCGGTGCCGTGACCTATGACGCAACGAGGCCGTGCATTCTTGCGAGTTTGTGACCGAATGTGTTCTCTGCCAATGTTGCAACTGCTATAGTGAGGTGGGCAATGTGTAATTTCCTTGGCGGCTGATGATGAGACTGGACACACTTTTTACATTCCTCGCTGTCTCTGGTTATGGCAATCGCTTCCTGTTCAGCTACTCTTTCCTCTATTAAGGGGCCATCCATTTAGTACGTACGCATGGAGGGGGGGAGGGGGGGTTAACCCAAATGCGTACGCTTACATATGGGGGGGTCTACTGACAATGTACGTACGCATAGGAAACGGGGGGCGGGGGGGGGGGTGAAGCCTCGATAATCATTTGTCTACATTGACCTTCAAATGAGTTAGATAGTCCAGAAGTGGACTGTTTGCTTAAACACGTTAATATTATTAATCCTTGATCGTTTCTGCGTGGATTAAATATCAGTCGTTCTTTAGGATTCGGGGGGGGGGGGGTGCGTCAAGTGTACGTAGGCAGGTGGGGGGGGTGGGGTGTGTAAAAGGTACGCGTACATACAGGGAGGGGGGGTCAGGTTTTGACAGATTTTTGCGTACGTACTAAATGGATGGCCCCTAAGTCCTCCTTTCTGCAGCTTCCCACATGGCAGAGTACAGTCACATGGCTCAGGAGGCACCACTTTTTCACTGCAGAAGCCGAACCGTGCCATTGACATCACACTCAAAGAACGGGTTTAGATGCTTATAGATGATGCGGTTATTTTTCCTCAGTGTATTTGCGTCATTCGCCTCACCTTTGGCCCTGCTTGGCCCCGATCCAGATTCTGTCTTGTGAGGCCAGCATGTCACAGTTTGGTATCGACTCGGCACCGTATCTCACCGATGGAAAATCGCCTTTACTGTGAGGACCTCACGCTGGCTCGGCTGGGACGTGCCAATGGAAAAGGGGTAATCTTGGCACCGTTGCGTCGTGTGGGGTGTGCTGCGGTGTCCAGGCACATCCGCACATCTTCTCGGCGGGCCTGGACGTGTCGGAGATGATGGGCAAGCCCACGGAGCACTATCGCGAGTTCTGGCGCGCCGTGCAGGAGATGTGGCTCAAGCTGTACGGCTCCAGCCTCGTCACCATCGCCGCCATCAACGTACGCTGCCCTCACCCCCCAGCACCCCCCCCCCACCCCCCTTTCAGAACACCACCAACAAAGACAAAGATCCTCCGCACAGCCATATAGATTACTGACGCAACTTCTTTTTGCGAGCACCTATGAAGTGTAGCGTCGTACACAAGGGAGTGGTGGCAGATTGGTCTATCTGCGGGTCTATCCATAACAGATAATTCCAATATGAATGAAACTTCAGTTTAAAGATGTGTTGCTATGACACACTTACCTATTGAAAAAAAGACATAGTTACGAAAGGGTTAGTGCCCAAAACGTGGAGTTACAAATCAGAGCAGAAATAACTGTTTGCATATATGCAAAGGCATTTTTGTCCTGACAGCTACCCACCGGCTTCCATACTGCCAATTAAATACTTCTGAGCATTACAGAATCCGTGCGTTTGCTTTACGTTTTTGTAACTTGTCATTAGATAATGTGCTGAGCCGTGGTTTCTCCCATCAGGGCTCGAGTCCAGCAGGCGGCTGCCTCATGGCCATGTGCTGCGATTACCGCCTGATGGCCGACAACCCCAAGTACTCCATCGGCCTCAACGAGACGAAGCTCGGCATCGTCGCGCCATTCTGGTACGAACCTCTAGCCGCTCGGCGCATGACAAGATGCTCTTGGTCTCTGTCTTTCCGTGCTGTCAGGCTCATAAGCCAAAGCTAGGACATTTCCACTTTGATCCGTCTTGGACAAGGCGTTCCAGGTCACGGATGTCGATAATTAATAAGTCCTTTGGTCTTTGATTGAGGCATCATTCCATTACTGAGGTATACAGTCCTGGCGTGGTCAAAGTTTCGTGAAGCATGGTCAGACAACCCTAATGACCGACACTGTAGGGAATCGCTAACCCAGGAGTGGATCAACAGAATGGCTGTACATACATGTTACCTTTATCACTGCACGGCCTCTTTATACTCGATTAAAGTGCACATTATTATCGCATACCGCCTAATGTTGAGGTGTTATTAAATGTGCATAGCTGCCAAATGGTACTTGGAAGCCCGATCCGGGCCTTCAGTGAGGAAAAATGTTTTGCGCCCCTGCCCGAGTGCATCATGGCCTTAATCCACGCTCCTGACAGCGACCCTCTATCTCTACGACCGCATGTATATTGAACTTCCTTCGCACCGTACGTAGCCAGCCGTGCTAACCGGGAGGTGGGGATACGTGTGGTGCACATGCCAGGTTTCGTGACACGATGATGGGCGTGGTGGGCACGCGCGTCACCGAGCGCTCGCTGCAGCTGGGCCTCATGTACTCGCCCGCCGAGGCCGTGCACGTGGGGCTGGTGGACCGCACCGTGCCCGAGGAGACGGTCTTTGAGGAGGCGCGCACCGAGATGGCTCGCTGGCTCAAGATCCCAGGTGGGAACGCCACTCCACGCTTTCCTTGCAAGTCCCACGCTGAGGGGGAGGGGGTTTCCTGCGCCACAGGCGGCAGTTTAGCGGGAAAAGCCGCTTTCTTGTGGGGACTTTTCAGAGTGCTGCTGAGCGTTGGGCTTGCTGGTGCCGAAATTGTATATGTGACGATTCATTGTCGTAAGGTTCACATGGTGTTTTTTTGTACCTACATAGCTCATCATAAATACCATACGTCCCTGGCTTCTTACGATCAATAGAGTCCTTTCTCAAATCTGTGACAAAAACGTAATCAATTTAGTGCTGTGACTGACAAACTGACTCACAAAATGACAATTGAAGTATATTGTAATGTAGCTAAACACACCAAAAGTATGCTGAAGACTTGTGGAGAATGTGTGGCAGGCCTGCTAGTGTTTGTCATTTAAACATACAGTGAGGGAAAAAAGTATTTGATCCCCTGCTGATTTTGTACGTTTGCCCACTGACAAAGAAATGATAAGTCTATAATTTTAATGGTAGGTTTATTTGAACAGTGAGAGACAATAACAACAAAATCCAGAAAAACGCATGTCAAAAATGTTATAAATTGATTTGCATTTTAATGAGGGAAATAAGTATTTGACCCCTCTGCAAAAGATGACTTAGTACTTGGTGGCAAAACCCTTGTTGGCAATCACAGAGGTCAGACGTTTCTTGTAGTTGGCCACCAGGTTTGCACACATCTCAGGACGGATTTTGTCCCACTCCTCTTTGCAGATCTTATCCAAGTCATTAAGGTTTCGAGGCTGACGTTTGGCAACTCGAACCTTCAGCTCCCTCCACAGATATTCTATGGGATTAAGGTCTAGAGACTGGCTAGGCCACTCCAGGACCTTAATGTGCTTCTTCTTGAGCCACTCCTTTGTTGCCTTGGCCGTGTGTTTTGGGTCATTGTCATGCTGGAATACCCATCCACGATCCATTTTCAATGCCCTGGCTGAGGGAAGGAGGTTCTCACCCAAGATTTGACGGTACATGGCCCCGTCCATCGTCCCTTTGATGCGGTGAAGTTGTCCTGTCCCCTTAGCAGAAAAACACCCCCAAAGCATAATGTTTCCACCTTCATGTTTGACGGTGGGGATGGTGTTCTTGGGGTCATAGGCAGCATTCCTCCTCCTCCAAACACGGCGAGTTGAGTTGATGCCAAAGAGCTCCATTTTGGTCTCATCTGACCACAACACTTTCACCCAGTTGTCCTCTGAATCATTCAGATGTTCATTGGCAAACTTCAGACGGGCATGTATATGTGCTTTCTTGAGCAGGGGGACCTTGCGGGCGCTGCAGGATTTCAGTCCTTCACGGCGTAGTGTGTTACCAATTGTTTTCTCGGTGACTATGGTCCCAGCTGCCTTGAGATCATTGACAAGATCCTCCCGTGTAGTTCTGGGCTGATTCCTCACCGTTCTCATGATCATTGCAACTCCATGAGGTGAGATCTTGCATGGAGCTTCAGGCCGAGGGAGATTGACAGTTCTTTTGTGTTTCTTCCATTTGCGAATAATCGCACCAACTGTTGTCACCTTCTCACCAAGCTGCTTGGCAATGGTCTTGTAGCCCATTCCAGCCTTGTGTAGGTCTACAATCGTGTCCCTGACATCCTTGGAGAGCTCTTTGGTCTTGGCCATGGTGGAGAATTTGGAATCTGATTGATTGCTTCTGTGGACAGGTGTCTTTTATACAGGTAACAAGCTGAGATTAGGAGCACTCCCTTTAAGAGTGTGCTCCTAATTTCAGCTCGTTTACCTGTATAAAAGACACTTGGGAGCCAGAAATCTTTCTGATTGAGAGGGGGTCAAATACTTATTTCCCTCATTAAAATGCAAATCAATTTATAACATTTTGACATGCGTTTTTCTGGATTTTTTTGTTGTTATTCTGTCTCTCACTGTTCAAATAAACATACCATTAAAATTATAGACGGATCATTTCTTTGTCAGTAGGCAAACGTACAAAATCAGCAGGGGATCAAATACTTTTTTCCCTCACTGTATGTATATATAAATATATGGGTTAGTCAGTTTAACACGTAGGCTTTCACCCTATATCATCCATAAGAGGTTTTTTTGGGTTAGATGACATAAATATATAAATGTGTCGTTAAAACCCGCCACCACCCGACACAGCCAAATAGTAAGGGTTGTCACGTAAACAGAATGTGGCCAATTCGTCACTAGTACAGCACACCGGTGTGTTGGAGAGCCAAGCCACAACATTTATAAACTGAGTACGACGTTCCACCAGTAATTACAACTAGCTTCATCAGGCGACAGCCAGATTTGTGGAGAAGTCCACCTGTTTTGTTCCTTATATTGAGGCGTAGATGTGGTGATCATACTTAATCCCCCCACCCTATCTTGCGCTCTTGCACAAGATAGGGTGGGGGGATTAATGAGTCGGCGGACATAATAAATTATGCATGCGCATAATGCGAGCCCTTTGATATTGTCCTTCCTGTCCATTGTGTGTATTAAAATAGCCGTACCAACGGTAATCACTATTTGAAGTATGGTGGCCTGTATAGGCATGCGTGTATTATTTGATTATTCGCTTCCACACAGCACTAAGTTGGTAGCTGTCCGAACGGTTAAAATGACTTTTTATTTCTTTCAATTTCCATAGATTCTCTAATTAGTCTTGGCCAGTAGTAGCTAGTTTTGCACAGAATTTCAACATCAAAAACAATTGCGTGTCCTTGTTGGCACACGTATTCTTCGACTGCTGACAGTTGTATTTGAGAGTATTTAATATTTATCTGATGTTGTTTTAGTCTCGTGATAATCATTCGTCCTGTTTGCCCAACATAGCATTTGCCACAAGTGCAGTTAATCTGTTGATAGCTTCGGTAATACATCTTTTGTACCAGATATTAATTTCTGTATTTTATGTACCGTGCTAAATCTGACTCGGATGTTTGTTTTTCCAAACATCTGGCTAGTTTATCAGATCCTCCCGCAATGTACAGTATTTTCATCGTTTTACTTACTTGGGCAGTTTCAATGCTCGTGTTATTTGATTTGGTTTTCGCATTTAATGCCCTGTTAGAGAACATAATTAAGAGAATCTATCTAAATTGAAAATAAAAATAATTGTAACCGTTCGGATAGCTGCCAACTTAGTGCTGCGTGGAAGCGAATCATGAAATAATACATTGTTTAAATGCATGCCTATACAGGCCACCATACTTCAATAGGGATTACCGTTGGTAGGGCTATTTTAATACACACAATGGACAGGAAGGACAAGATAAAACGGCTCGCATAATGCGCATGCATAATGTAATCCACCCTCCACGTTGCGCAAGAGCGGAGAAGCGTGGTCACCACATCTACGCCTCTCTATAAGGAACAAAATAGTTAGACTTCCCCACAAATCTGGCTGTCGCCTGATGAAGCTAGTTGTAATTGCTGGCGAAACGTCGTACTCAGATTGTAAATGTTGTGGCTTAGCTCTCCAACACACCGGTGTGCTGCACTAGTGACAAATTGGCATGTTCTGTTGACATGACAACCCTTACTCGTTGGCTATGTCGGGTGGTGGCGGATTTTAACGACACATTTATTTACGCGATCTAACCCAAAAATAACTCTTATGGATATAAATGTATGCTTACATGTTATCGTACATGTCAATATATTGTGTTCATTATATATACCATTTTATATATGTATATAATGAATTGGAATGGAAGAGCTCCTCCAAAGCTCCTTCTAGTGGAGGCCCCTCCACCAGCAGTAGTGAAAGCAAGAAGTCTAATTGCATGATTACACGTTGAGCAATAAACTCATGAAGGAAAAAAAATAAACATCAGTGTTTCACAAAAACTTTATAAGAAATAAGTCGGACATCAGTTGCACCATTACACACGGAAATATAAGGTTGTGTGGGCATAGGTTTCCACTCAAGCGTGCTGTTGGTCACTGACTTTTGCCTTCATTACCAGTACCTGCCAAGTTGGACACTGTGGCACGAAGCTAATATTGACTGTAAAGTATGATAGGACTTTCTGTAGCTCAGGGTACAACTGGATTGGTAGATGTTACCCTTGCAATGGCTGACCCTCGTCCCTTGCGATTTGCTGAATTTTCACGATTCAACAATTTAAATACAATTACAATTGTGGTGAATGCAGCGCATCTAGTTACTGCATACAGACCTTCTCAATCCACTGTTAGATAAGGGCCTCCCCATGCTGTGGAGCTCATGGGGTTATTTGACCACACTTCACACTGGTTAGTGTGAGTTGAAGGTAACGAGCATTGACATGGAGCATAGTACAGTACAACAATGTATTTTGTTGCACTGCCGTCTGCTATGGAAAACACAGGTCCACTACAACATATACGAATGTCAAATAATCGATACGCACACATTATTCAGTCTGCATTGAGTGTGATCATCTATTTTAATTGAGCAACTCATGCAAAATGCTTTAGCTGGTGCTGACTTGACATTGATATACCAAAAGCTGATTCAACCACATCTCCAATGCCTGCATGAAAATTTGTACATGATTGTTTCCCAGACCACGCGCGGCAGATCACCAAGTCCATGATGCGCAAGACGACCATCGACCACCTACTGGCACAGCGTGATTCGGACATCTCAAACTTTGCGAACTTCATCTCCAAGGATTCCATCCAGAAGTCGCTTACGGCCTACATGCAGGCTCTCCGCCAGCCCAAGAAGTGAAGCGGAGGGAAAGGGGGCTGTGTGGTGCCCTCGGTAAGTGCGTGGAATAATTCTGCCCCCCCCCCCGCTCTCTGATGTGGAGCTTTCTATGAGACTCTGACAGCACCAGCACGAGGGGGTCTGCGGTTGTGGGGATTGTCCTAAAAGTCTAGTCACATGTAATCCTGCTTCTCGGTATTTAACTCTCATCGTACTGTTTCCTCAAAATACAACAAAAAAATTGTTTCGCCTGCTTAATTTACCCTCTTCCCACTCCCCTGCACTGATCTTTGTAGAAAATGCAGAGCAATAACTAAGTTATGCATGAAAAACTGCATATAAAGCAATAATAAATCTACCTAAGAAAAGTTTAGTTGTGTTGGATGCTTTAGTTGGACAGCACCATATTAATGTTTGTTAATTGTTTCATACCTTTGAGGTGTGCAGTATTCTATGGTTAGTTGATAATTACAGCAGGGTTGAAAGGACCTGTTTGCTAAATGTGAGGCTGCTGAATATATAAGATGCAAAACAAACTGGTTTGGCTCAAAGCCTTGCTGTGGCCTTGCAGACGTGACGATCCATTACTCTCTTGTATTTGTCTCTGTTTATTAAACAGCCTTCCATTTCATTTAACACACTGCGAATTTTCACATAAGCTGTGCATTGCACCAAAACATCTATCTGAGCCTGCAGATGTGTGTAGGCTCTTAACAAGGGAACTGTGACTTGAATTAACACTGGTTGTTGGGGAATTTCGTACGTTTTATGTAAAACCTCTCGTATCCTGGAAAAAAAATATTTTAGTAAGCAGGCAGAGACATTTACTATCAATGTTTGACAACTTTCATTGTGATGGTGTCTGTGTGCGATTGCTGTCAAGTGAGAAGAATTATACTGTTTTAGGAGGGCTTTTAATTCGAGTTTGAAATGAACATCACTTTGCCCTGTTGAGTGCGTTACACAAACTGGGTGGAGATACGGGACAATAAAATTGTTTCAAAAAACCTTCATGTATACTAGCACTTGTTATTGTTCAACAATAAACAACGACCTACTCAGTAGTATGAAAAAAATAACTTAATTACGTACACATCAGTACTACATTTTTTTCTTTATAAACGAATGAACATTTAAATGCCAATCGGAACAGTTAAAGTGGAATGAGGTTTTTTTTTTCTCCTTGGTCTTCTGCTTTTACCAGGTCTCCCTTACAAAGGAGGCTTGTCTTAGTGGGCTATCGCATTGTTAAATCAAGGCTACTGAACGTATCTGCAGTGTTCCTTGGTACATTTCTTATCACACAGGGTCACACAATAATCCGACTACTTCAACATGTTATATTTTAAAAAATATATAGCAATAATTAAGGCATCAGGTGACTTATTAAAGTGTTTCCAGTGTCTTATCAAGCACTTTGATGACATAATAGCCGAGTCATTCGGTGTGAGCCATTTCGTGCCAAAAGATTGGCTGCTCTGCATAGCTGTGGAATACAATGATTGTTCCTGGAGGAGACTTGTCCCTGCAGCCTGTCACAAGTAAATTAAGGCTACTGAAGTGAACGCATCTGTGCAGCTACCTCATGCGTTGCTCAGCACACTGGGGGTCACAACAGTAACCCTGCTACTTTACACATATTTGGAGGAACTGATATTCGTTTACGATCAATACAGCCGGTCATATGGCGACACCGAACGCCAGCTTGAATGCGAGCTCCACGGCGCTCTCTGACACCGAGTCATGGAAGCAGACGTAGAACTCTCGCGCAGGCGGCTCCAGGCACTGCCTCCTGCGCATGCAACAAGAAGGGGTGCCAGCACAGCAGTGATTCAATGGGAGGGACTATGCATTCCCCTCTATATAATAAAAAAAACTATTTGTTACAGGCACAAATTGTGCGTACGTTCAATTGCGAACTTGGGAGGTGTGATAATTAACAAACCGCGGTGCCAGCTGTTGTTTGAAGATGCCCATAGTAGTGCTTTGAGAAAACCTGATAGGATATACAGTGAGGGAAAAAAGTATTTGATCCCCTGCTGATTTTTTACGTTTGCCCACTGACAAAAGAAATGATCAGTCTATAATTTTAATGGTAGGTTTATTTGAACAGTGAGAGACAGAATAACAAGAAAATCCAGAAAAACGCATGTCAAAAATGTTATAAATTGATTTGCATTTTAATAAGGAATAAGTATTTGACCCCCTCTCAATCAGAAAGATTTCTGGCTCCCAGGTGTCTTTTATACAGGTAACGAGCTGAGATTAGGAGCACACTCTTAAAGGGAGTGCTCCTAATCTCAGCTTGTTAACTGTAAAAAAGACACCTGTCCACAGAAGCAATCAATCAATCAGATTCCAAACTCTCCACCATGGCCAAGACCAAAGGGCTCTCCAAGGATGTCAGGGACAAGATTGTAAACCTACACAAGGCTGGAATGAGCTACAAGACCATTGCCAAGCAGCTTGGTGAGAAGGTGACAACAGTTGGTGCGACGGGGCCATGTACCGTCAAATCTTGGGTGAGAACCTCCTTCCCTCAGCCAGGGCATTGAAAATGGGTCGTGGATGGGTATTCCAGCATGACAATGACCCAAAACATACGGCCAAGGCAACAAAGGAGTGGCTCAAGAAGAAGCACATGAAGGTCCTGGAGTGGCCTAGCCAGACTCCAGACCTTAATCCCATAGAACATCTGTGGAGGGAGCTAAAGGTTCGAGTTGCCAAACGTCAGCCTCGAAACCTTAATGACTTTGAGAAGATCTGCAAAGAAGAATGGGACAATATCCCTCCTGAGATGTGTGCAAACCTGGTGGCCAACTACAAGAAACGTCTGACCTCTGTGATTGCCAACAAGGGTTTTACCACCAAGTACTAAGTCATGTTTTGCAGAGGGGTCAAATACTTATTTCCCTCATTAAAATGCAAATCAATTTATAACATTTTTGACATGCGTTTTTCTGGATTTTATTGTTGTTATTCTGTCTCTCACTGTTCAAATAAACCTACCATTAAAATTATAGACTGATCATTTCTTTGTCAGTAGGCAAACGTACAAAATCAGCAGGGGATCAAATACTTTTTTCAATCACTGTACTCTTTGGTTCTTTCGGTAAAGTCACGTAGGTATAAAATAAAATAAATCACGACGTTTCGGGCGCAACACAAGCATCCGTCATCAGGTGGGAAAGCATGGTCTGCTGCTGAGGCAGGCTCAGATAGATGTGTTGGTGCAATGCACATGGTCTGCTGCTGAGGCAGACCATGCTTTCCCACCTGATGACGGACGCTTGTGTTGCGCCCTAAACGTAGTGATTTATTTTATTTTATACCTACCACGTGACTTTACCGAAAGAACCAAAGAGTATGGATTCCTGCAGTCACGAAAGCTTCAAATCAAGACTGATAGGATATGCTGAACACAACCTAACCCCAAAGACAACACTTTAACTGTATACTACAGTTTGGTTCATAATGGATCGTCTATATAATGCTCCCTGCGTTATGGATAGATGTACTGAGCCAATGCATAACTTCCATCAACCTTCGTTGGAAAGCATTTAATAGGCACGAGTGGAGCAGCTCACCCCAGCACCCAGTAGGTGAGCGTCGGCGCAGGCTTTTTAGGGTCGTTCCAAAAAGGTGCACTGCAGTTGAAGAGCACGCCATGCTCCCTCACGCGGCCCAGCGGTGACCTTTCACCCCTGAGGTCAGAGGGCAGCGAGCCCTGGAGGACGTCCGGCCGGTCTGTTCGCTGTTTTCAGAAGAAGAGATCGCAAAAAACATGTGAAATGTCGATGAGATAAATGAGATTTATTTTATAACCGCGCGAGAGCTCCTTGACACGAAAAGGCTCTTTTCCAAGCGGCAAGAGATACAATTTGAGGTGTGTTATATTCGTTACGACCAGCTGTAACCATATTCTTAGCTCTTTGCGTAAAGTCACGTTGAAGGGAAACAATAAAATATATATAAAATAAAAAAATTCTCACGACGTTTCGACCGTTTGTGTTATGGTCGAAACGTCGTGAGAATTTTTTTATTGTTTTATATATATTTTATTATTTTATTGTTTCCCTTCAACGTGACTTTACCGAAAGAGCTAAGAATATAAATTACTGCAGTCACGAAAGCTTTAAATCAAAAATTCAGCCGTAACCAATTTGCTGCTGATAAGAAAGCCTCCGCAAGCTGTCGCCATCTATCATGGTTCTGCCAGAGAAATGTGAAATTTCCACCACTAGCTCAAAGTTATAAATGGAACACGAGTGCTGGCCCACATAATATCAATGGTAAACCACAATACAGTGAATACAACGTGTCCCACGGTTTTGTTTATAAAACAAACCAAAGCACCACACACCTTACTTAGCCCGGTATTTCAAAGACACATTGCACAGGGTGATTCATTTACGGATTATCCACTGAATTCTAATGATCTCGGCTTATGCATCTTTGAATGTTGTAACCAAATCAAACTGGCTGTGTTGGACAAAAGGTGCGTTATGAGCATTAATTATTTTCATGGGTTATCTATATAAATGACCCTGTATTTTATTCAAGTCTCCATGCAAAAGAGACGTTTTAGCTACAACAGCTGACGGCTCCGGTGCTAGCGACTTTGAGCTCCTGGCTTACCGCTAGCGGACTGCCCTGCTGAAAGAGCGCCCTGATGGAGAGGCAGCAGCGGTGGAAGCTGGCGAGCAGCTGAGCGTGCAATGTGCCACCCAGACGCTCCACGTCGCTGTGGGCAGGGGCGATGTACACACCCTCCGCTACCTCCAGCGATACGTAGTGGAACAGCGTGTTCTCGGCGCCCGACGTCAGCCTAAGATCACACGCAGAATGTCAGACCGAAATCAACAGTCTGAGTATCACACACAGGATGTCAGACTGGAATCACACAATAGTCTGAGATCACACACAGCATGTCACACTGGAATCACAGATACAATAGTCTGATATCACACGCACAGCATGCCAGACTAAAATCAAAGCTACGGCAGCCTGAATATCACACAACAAATGTCAGACTGGAATCAAACATACCGTACAATACAACAACCTGAGACCATACACAACATTACAGCCCGAGATCAACCAGCACAACAGCCTGAAATGACATCCATTATATACAAGTAAAATAAAATCAACTAGTAAGGAGAAAATCGTGCACACGCACGGATTATGTAGCACTTTCCAACATGCATTTGTCCTCAGAGGTATTTAATTAGAAATACGCAAGGCAACAGCTATGGATCACAAGACAGGTTTTAAATTTGCAAATAGTCCTTTTCTGCTCTGGTTTGTGTCTCCAGATTTTGGGCAATGCTTGATAAATTTGATCAATTTTAAGTCCTTCATAGATAAACATTTTTTTATGAAAATTGTATTCATATTGGATCATCTTCATGCGAGTTATCGTGACCTCATGTTACAAGCAGACAAACAGAGATAATCTATAGACGCTTTCAACCTTAATTGGAAAGTGTTAGACAGAAACATCTGATCTCAGTGGATGTTTACTTGTTTACTGCAATCATTAAATAACAATTATCGATATCTAAATGACTACCTTCTATAAAGTAAAAGGTTAATGTGGTCCCTTGCTCAGTTGAGCATGGGGCAGCACTTATTTCTTGTTTACAGCACTGAGCCAGAAGTAAAATTTCCATATTGCTCTGGTAGGGGTAAGTCTTTTCAAAGGACAACCACATTGTTGACCTAACCACAAGGCAGTACTTATTTTATCAACCCTGGAGGAATGAATGGGCTGAAGGACAGAGCTTACCCCCGACTGGGATTTAAACTCTCACTCAACCTTCCGATTGCGAGCCGCTCATTTTGGACATCTGTGAAAAAAAGCCTCTTTGCCACCCAGCTAGATATATTGAACAATGATCAGCTGCAAATTTAGTTCGAGCACCTTGTATTAATCATTTGCAATAACATCACGCTATTAAGTTATTGAACTGGATAAAAAAAAAAATCCATGCCCATTTTAATCAAATGAAGCTAATTGGATGTGACGCGTGGGTGTGGTGTTTAACACGCGGAACTTTGCCTGCACACGCTGCTCATCTCCTGTGTGTCAGCATCGGCGCTCTCCCTCCAGCCACCGCCCAGCAGAAAGGGACTGGATCTCTTCTTCGTAATCTGTGCATAGTCACCACAGCCGCAATAAGTTTGATGGGTGCCTGGCGCATGCAGAGTATTTGAGGCCCCGCTGTCTATATTCAAATGTTCCCTTTACTGTTTTACTAACGCCCATGCCTGATTACAAACCACTAAATTGTTACTTAAACAACAAAAAGTTTGTGATATTGTGTTGGCAGTGGCGCGCAAGCATATAAAAAACAAAACTCAACACATGCGTCAATAGATTTCACTCAAAGGAAACATGTCAGGCAACATTTCAGACAATGGCTTTTCTTTATCTCTCGGTTATTAAGGGCCATTGCCCAAAACATTGCCATTGTTATTAACCTTGGTCATCTCAGTTCTGATTTTGAAACGTTAACCTCAGTTAAAGCAAACAAAGCTATTTTAATTTCAGCGCATGCTGGTAGTCGTACAAATAATGATGCTACGGCTTTAGTTACCAAATTACCAATAGGGTTTATCATAGTACAACAGTATTGTTTCAACCATTATAAAGCTGGATATATGTTTTGGTGTCACTCGAAATCCAAGGCCCCAGGCTACAGCCCCTGAAGTCCCTGCTTTAATAGAGTAGAACCTCAGAGATCGAACGCACAAGAACTCGAACAAATCGGTGTTCGAACCATATTTCCCAACATTTTTTGCCCCGGAAACCGAACGAAATTCGGAGGTGGAACGGCAATCGCGACTTGAAAGAACCTGTACACGGCTGAGACGCGTGGTGGCAGCAGCGTGCATGACGCCCAGACAAAGCTTTGACCACCTCCTCCTCCTCCTCACCACCTTCCACTCAAGCCATCAACTCTCCTTACTACAGGTAAAGTGAAGTTCAATGTTCACTTATTTCATTTCTTCCATATATTTATTCATTAATTCCATGTATTTATTGTTTTTTTGTATGATTTTATGCATGTAATTACTGTAAACTTCGTGTAAAAATGCTTTATAATGAGAGATTTCTTGTGCCTGGAACCAATTAAAGTAATTTACATTAATTCTTATGGGGAAAATGTATTTGGTGTTCGAACAAATCGGTGTTCGAATGGCCTTCTGGAACGAATTAAGTTCGATCTCCGGGGTACCACTGTATAGCCATGGATGTCCCAGTGTGACAGAATTAAAGCAGCACCAGCCTGAGCCAGGGTTTGTCACACTCCAGTTGCAAGGCTTTAGCTATTCAGCCAGACTCATCCATATTAATTTATGTAACAATATTGTCATCATGATCAATCAACTGCTGGAGAGTTTGGCTCTCTGAGCCTCAGGCATTAACAAAAAAATACCTTCGTCTGAGCGTCAGGACTTAACAGGTGCATGAGTATGCCTTTCTGAGCCTCAGTAATAATATGTGCAGTGCGTTGTGACATATGGCCTCGCTTACCTTTGACTTTCTGGCATCAGGCGCCACCTAATAATACATGTGTGTGATGGACAGTGCTGTGTGCATGTGCGTGTCCCCTGTCACCTTGAACGCACTGGTGACTCCACTGCTACCTCCACTGCCAGCAGAGACCCCTGACCCCTGGCTCTCCCTGCGCCCGGGCATGCCCGGGACGCCGCCCTCGGCCGAGCGCTGCGCAGTGGCGCCGGGTGCGGGTGAGTCCGCTCCATCCTGTCTCCCTCTGGCAGGGCTGGGACTGAGTCTCCGGGGTCCACGAAAACCCGGAGAGGACTGTGTCCTGCGGTGGCCCGGACTGAACACTGTCGAACCGCCACCTGCAGCCGAGTATCACCCGTCGCACAGAGGCTTAGTGGCGTTGTCATATTTGATGATATGATATACATTTTCACGATGTGAAAATAATCGTAAAATTTGTTTCCCAGAAATGTAAATGTTATCATTTGCATTTTTGCATTGTTTTAATGCTCTAATCAGTCAGACAAAATAGTAATGAATAGATTAATTAATAAAATTAAGATGTCAATTATTTCCAAAACCATTTTGAGAGCAACAATTATTAAAACATGAAGGATTTTGCAGCCAATATTATGATACATATTGATTTTTGGTTTAGACACCATTATGATCTGACCACATTTTTAATATGAAATTCTGACCTCCTGGTCTCATGACCTGAGGATGCTCGATGTAGGTTCCAGCGAAATGTCGTATATAAATGCTAAATTTGTTTGTGAGAATTATTATTCAATTTACCAATGAGCTATAACTGCAATAATTTGCGTGTTATACGCTTGTACATGTTAAAATTAAAAAATGTTGACGATGTCGGATTATTAATTAACCTAACCCACAAACCAATTGAGCATTTTTTTATATTTATTTTGTTACATTGAGAAAATGCGTGATTCTGCTGACTTGTTTTGGGTGGGGCCCGGCGAGGCTTTATGACGGCACGCGGCATACCAGTCGAGTGGCCCAGGAAGCAGTCGGCGCAGGAGAGCTCGGGCAGTGGCGGTCGCTCGAGGTGCTCGCGGATTCGCGCCGGCACGGAGAGCGAGTCGAGCGCCAGCAGCGTAGCACGCGCCTCCTCCACGTAGCCGGGGTCCGGGCCAGGTGAGCCCACAGCACGTGCAGAACAGCCACCCGCCTCCAGCACCATGGACAGCAGGCAGGGACCCTGCGCGCAAACACGCGCACACAGTGGAGCAGATGATGACAACAGCTGCCATTCGCCACCGTGTGACGTTGCCACAGCACTTGTGCCAGACTGGGTGCACTTGCAGGCGACGTGAAGTCTCGAAGTGTGGGTTAGTGAAGGCATTTTATGTATGGTGGTGGCCCATACAAGTACCACCCGGTCTCAACCTGCTTAGCTTTCAAGATCTGAGGAAATCGGTGCATTCCAGGTGATCCAGTTCGAGGCTCAAGCAGTACAATCAGTGACTATTAATGAGTATCATACAATCAAGGTCATTTTAGTGGGTGCGTATTTACAAGATAACTTTACAGACTTTTTCCTCTTTGCAGCTGGTTTAGCTGAGCTGCTGTGAGTGCCTCTGGGTCATCCCCATAAACCCGGTCAACAAAAGAGCACGGCAAGTCGCCAAAACAACGTCACGTTCGCCACCGCGACCCACACTGGGCTGCCCTCATTACCCCGGCATGGCCCCGATGGGTGACTGATGGCATGGCCCTTTCTAAGTGGCAGGGTCAAGGGCGCAGTACAATTCATCAGCAGGGATCAATTCCAAGGGGGGAGGCACACGTTGGGAAGAGAGCATTTCTTTATTAATGCGTACAAAAGGCGCAGGCATTTGGATTAATCTGAATTTAGGCGATTGCGTGTGAAAGCGCCCGTGTGTTAATTAATGCGTGTGCGGGTTAAGGCAGCCACAAAACTTTGGAGTGTTTTTTTGTTTGTTTTATTTCCTCTTCGTTTTCTTATTCCGTCTCTTAAAACTCAAGCACACAATGACATCATTTGTGCAGCTACATGCTATCCTGCTAAATATAATACAGTTTACCGAAAACATTTGCCTTGCTTGAGTGAGCCTGTAAACACTTGCTCCAACCCGCGCCCTGCCCCTGCCTATAAGCCTTCTTTACAGCCAAGCTTCACGACCACAGTGACTCTCTGTGTTTCCCATGCATCGCCCTTTATGGTGGTATAAAGGATTGATGGAGGAGTACCCGGAGTAACCACTAAGCCTCTTAATAACCATAAATAATGTGGAGGGCTGGGCGGGACAAGGGGAGGCAGCCACAGGCGAAAACTGGCCCATTCACCTCACATCAGGAGCAATCCATCACGTGCAATGTGCAAGCAAGAAGCTGCTAACTTTGGGGCACGCTTAAGACCGCAGCTCTTTAATTGTATAATATCACAAACAATTCGAGATGATGCTAACATTGAGATAAGCACTGCCCAACGCCTGTTAAGAGTATAGGGAAAAACTTTGATATATTCGTTTCTATGAGCATCAGTCAAAAAAGGTCATCCTTAGATTCGAAAATAAAATGCCAAAAAGGCAACACTCTATAAGATGATGCTAAAATTATTAGTATAATGAGGGATGCCAACTGTCTCTTAATGTTCGACGGCTTGTGCACCAGATCTTATTTATTCACGATGTACTTACAAACAAAATCCGCAGACTACCTGCTGGATCTCCTCTCTGTTTCAAAGAACAATTTGACCTCAGGTCTTCGCTCATTTACCAGCTTCACATTCCCTATTGCCGTACAAAAACCGGAGGAAGGGCCTTTGCTATTGATGCCCCCAGGGTCTGGAATGCTATTGCCAATAAACAGCAACTTGAATCACTACCTATGAGATCTTCACTTAAAACTTCTCTAGGAGTTGTACACCCCTAGCTGCCACTGCTATTCAGTGGTCTAAAATAAAATAAAATGTTTCGCTCCGGATGGCCGCTGCAAAGTATTATCTGTATTTTGATTTAGTGTGCTGATCTTAAAGGTGCATTGAAAAATGTGATACTCCGACTGATGCTCCTGTTGTTGTGGAGTGACTCACGCAGCCAGCTATGGCTCTAGGGTTTGGTGTTACATGTTATTTATGTAGTTTATTGTTATACATTCGGTCACAGTCCCTATGATCACTGTTACATTACATTTATGGCTTTATTTTGGTGATTTCGAAAAGTTTTTTGGTTTGGCCATGTTTTTGTTTATTGTAGTACAGAGTTAGACTGATGGCCTTAATCTTAGTTGTTTTGTGGTTGTTGTTGTTTGACTTGCATCCCACTGGGATTTTTGCACACAGCGTTGGTGTACGGTGCTATTTCAGGAATATTTTGATGGTTTTTTTCCTGGATTTTCTGTTTGCACAGTCACACAGTCACTTTAAGATGTTTTCTTGTTCATGTTTTTTTTTTGTTTGCGGTTGCACCCGATTCAAGAGCCGAATGGCTCACAGGGCTATACCAAATAAATGGAACTATGAACTATGTATAATACTTTTAATATGATAAAATACTTATTTATCCAATTCTTCATCGGGAACAGTTCACCATCTCATTTGTATTTCTCGCTTGCGATGCCGATGAATCGGGCAGTTACCAGGCCGACGATGAGCAGGAAGTGCCGCGCGCCCTCTGGCGGCGAGTATCCCGTGGCGACGGCAGTACGTGGTTTCCGTGGGAACAGCTCGCGCCACACAACGAGCTGCCCGGCCCTGGGGCTCCGCGCCAGCAGCAGCAGCCCATGCAGGCGGCAGTAGAGCGTGACGGCAGTGAGCTCCTCCCTCGGTAGGTGGTTCGCGACGAGGCAGCCCTACTTGCGGCAAAGGCACGCACGTCGCACACACACAGACCTTAACCACAAGCACATGGCACCCACAGTGGCATAGCTGTAGAATATGCAGGTGGTGCAACTGCGCCGAGAACTATGGGTCAGATGGGGCCCAGGTACTGGGCTATGAAGAAGGGAACATTTTACTTGGGGACCTCATTTCATTCCTTGCACCATGGCTCAATACAAATAGTCCCATGACCCGCAGGGCATGGGGAGTTTTTAATTCAGCAGTGGGTTTACAATTACATTCTCACAGTGAGAATGTAATTGTTTTATATTTTTATTATTTTATTGTTTCCCTTCTACGTGACTTTACCAAAAGAACCACGAAAGCTTTAAATTAAAAGAGTTGTGCATGTATTGTGTTCATATGGTCAGCAGGCTGTGTCGGGTAATTCCAAACGACTGTCACATCAGTGGCATGTATTCCTGTGTGACCGAAATTGCATTTTTCTTCCAGGTTTGGCGGTGCAGTGAGCCATTCCCAAGTTTTCCTAATCTGCCAAGTGCTTGTGATGGCTGCGATGCCTGCTTGTGCTCACCTTGTAGAAGAGGCACGAGCCCAAGATTGTGTACAGTCTCCGCATGGAATAATAATCTTCTGACTGAAAAAAACACGGCAAATTGTTGACCCTCAAGCAAATAATTAATGATCCTGAATTTGTATTGCAGGACTTACACAGAAACCAGTAACGTGCAGACACAAGTACAGGTATTACAGCCTCAGCTGCCATAAACTGAGGTTAAATGTTCATTGCTGTTCTAAATGATGTTGCAGCATACTTCTACCCTCTCATGTGTCTTTTTACTTCCCCTCGCTGTAAACTCTGTTCCAGCAATGAAAATTTATTGGCAAACCTCAGAGTCAACCTCCTATCTGTGGAGGTTGCAATTTATCTACTGCTGCCCCAGATATATGGAACTCCCTCCCTCTAGGCATCCACACTGAAGACTCGTTCTTGAAGTCCAAGCTTAAGGGCTTATTTTCATCTTTGCCTTTGATAAGTTGTGTGTGTATTCAAACCTTCCCACCCATTCCTCACATGTCCACCTCATTTAATCTTCACCTAGTATGTGTGTCCCCCACCTATATACAACACTAATCTGACTGTAGATAGTGTCTAAATGCAATCATACGTGGAAACACTTTCCAAAAAGGAAGGGGAGAAAAAAAATCTACATTCAAGAATGAGAGGGACAAAGGTTGGGGGGCACTGGCGGGGATGGGGGCAGGGAGGGGCAGGGGAGGAAGGGGCAGGGGAGGGAGGGGCAGGGGAGGGAGGGGCAGGGGAGGAAGGGGCAGGGGAGGGAGGGACAGGGGAGGGAGGGACAGAACGGGGGTCAGGGAAAAATGGGTGAGGAATGAGAGCAACACGGTGGCAAGCCCAGAACAAAGCAATTGGGGCCCAGCAAATATAAAAATGAGAACCTTGCTATAGCCGGGCCAAAATGTACATATATGCATCATGATGCTTTATAAAGCACAGCTGTAATTGTGTAGTGCGAGTTGAGTCACTACAATTGTGTGAATCGCATTATCTCACCAGCTCCTGAAAGTCTGCCGATTCCAGCTCACTCAATGTTGTGTCAATGTCGACCTGAATGGTGAGAAAAACAAAAATAGGTATTTTTATTTTTCTGAGTTACTACCTGGAAGAGAGATAGCATTATAATACAATACAAATTCAATGTTGCATTCCAACAAGCAACTTGCTGAATTTGTGGATTAATTCTCTGTATGCCTCAGTTTTCAAATGTGTCAATCAGTGCTTTTATCTAAAAATGTCTTGAGACTCAATGAGGATTTCTTGAATAAGTATAGAATTATTATTTTCCTCATCACTTGCATCAGAATAATCATAATTTTAAATTCACAACAGAGGTATTAATGTACAACCTTCAAATGACATATTTACAGACGAATGTACTTTACATGAGAACAAGAAAAGCATTGAGTTTGAATCCACTTGAGATCTTCATTTCATACATATTTAATTTGCTTCCTGAAGATAGAAAAATCCTGAAAGCAGGGGTGGGGAACCTATGGCAACATGGGCTGGATATGGCCCACGACTTCAATTAAAATCACTTGCAGCCAAATGAGGCATATAACCACTTCGAAACAACCCACAACTAATATTTATCCATCACGTCAAGCAACTAATTGGATCCTAGGGGCATGCTATTTTAGACACCGCGTTTATCATTTCATTGTGCTCGGTCACTCCCATCAATGCAAGAGGCTTTTTGCAGTGACAGGTGTGACTAAAATGTATGCTAATGTGTGTCCCGCCAAGGTATTTAAGAGTCCTACTCTGCTCTCGGCAGTTAAAATGTTTCCCTCCCCTGCCTTTAAGGGACACTGCCTTGCCTTTATGTCCTGGGGTAGCGGCAGCCAGGGAGCAGCAGGGAGGTTGTCGAGAAACTCCGCCCCGGAGCAGTGCGGGTGCAGCCCTACTGGACTGGAGGCGGCAGGAGCACCCGGCCCTGAGTAGGTGCAAAGTGACTCCGGCTCCAGGCAATGCTGGAAGAGCAGACTGAACAGCTGGTCCAGGTGGCCTGGCCCTTCTGTGCGCTGATTAAATGCCCTGGAAATAATAACAGGTTATTATATCAGTGGGGGTGTCGGAAGCGGTTCGCAACATGCGCTATGAACCCCAGCGAGTCCATTGAAGAGATTGAAGACAAAGAGGGTGATCTTGTAGTTAACTAGGGAATGGATTGTGAACCAGTGGATGGATCTGAATTTTGGATGGATGTGCTCTGATTTAAGAGTGCATCTCATCAGTCTTGTCTTATGTTCAAAAAGTTAATATTAAGCTACAGTGTCCAGGCATATTCCTCCTTCAGAACAAACCCCCCATCTATTCCAAAGAGCGTCCATTTCCATGTTGGTTTAAATTTTTCATGACTGGGATAATATTAATTTGGAGGACCTTTTTACCAGCAGAACCAGTGTTATTTCCTTTTGGCATTTCAATAAACGCCTTTTCTTGTTTGTGTGCCTTTTATAATTCAAGTAATTAATTCAGGCGTGTCCACCTTTGTTGAGAAGGCACACACAGGTACGCTTACTTGTGCAGGGATCCGTGGAGAAGGGACAGAAGCCGCGCCAGGTCTGATATCAGGTTCCTCAGCCGAGCCAAAGGCACCCTGGTGTTTGAGAAAACCAAGGGAGGTTATCATCAATGGCCATCTCACGGTCACATTTGCATTCAACCTTTTACTGACGGCCAGGACAGCTCGCTCTGTAAAGCACTGGGCTCGTGATCACAAGGACACAGCAGAGTTCAAATCCTGGTCACGGTCTATTCAGGCTCTCTTTCGTCTCGAGGTCAGTAAAAAAAACTAACACCACCTGGTTAGATCAAACCACTTGGTTGGAAGTCAAGGGGGGGGGGGAGGTTACTGTGGCAAGACTGGTTTCTGACTAGAAATGTGGAGTTTGAGCATGTATTAAATGATTCATGTAAACTGTATTTGGTAGGTTAACATTAGCATATATTTGCAATATATTATAAACACTTAATTCTCAAATGTACAATTCGATGCATGTAATTAGAACATAAACACGTATTTAATCTTTGGATTGTTAAATACGTAACACCTAAGGTGTTACTAAGTGAAATAAGTTAAATATCTGGTCTTCGGCCATTGCACTGAGTTGGGAATTCTAACCTATCAGCAGGCAGTCCAAGAAGAAGCAGGCCATCGCCCTCCCTCCAGTAGGCGACATGAACCAGGCGGCCTTCAATTACCATGCTGGAACTGGGAAAACAGGGGAGGCACATGGAGAGAGATGGCAAAGTTCATCAACGGTTCTCCAACTGCCGACTGATGTGTGTCATGTTTTCCGGCCATGCTTTATTAACTGCACACGGCAGTTGTGGAAAACAGCATGCTCTTGAGAAAATAACAGCCCTAAAATCTTACCTGTGTGGCTGTACCTTTTGTTAAAAAAACTGTAAACAGAGAATGGGCAAATTATTCTGACATCGATTGTAAATGTACGCTTAACAATCTGTAAAATACCAGTAGAATACTGCATAGATTTTGAGGTTGTGCTGATGTGTCTTTGGGTGTTGCCACATTGTCCAGCATGGAAGCTTATTCAATTCAGTTCCTGAAGAAGCTGTCAGCATATGGAGCTACGTGCAGTGCGAAAGAAGTTCAACATACATAAAAACAAACAACGTAGTACAACCATAAAAAAACATATTTGAAAGCTACATTAGCAGTATGTTTCACTGTTTCAAGTTTTCCGTCTGCACTACTAGTTGGGACCACAAAAAACAGCGGACTTGTACCTTGGATCCTGATTAAAACAAAACAAATAAACTCCACTCATTCTTAAATTACCCTTAAGCCCTTTAATGCAATTGATTGGAGGATTACAAGCTCTGAAAATTAGCAATGTGATGCTTACAGCCCACAAGACCTTACTTCTAAAATAAAGTGCCTGTGTATATAGCCAGGATTATGGGCACTTGCCCTCATTTCATTCCCTGAGCATGGCTCATTCCCCGAGTCTCCTAGCAGTCATCCATGACATGTTGCTAAAAATCAAAGCATCGGGGATTTGGCTGGCTGGCTTCAAGGACTAACACTGTGTGAGAGCACTGAACCAGCACTGCTGAGATCCGAGGTTTAGATCCACGCATGGAATCCGTGTATAAGCCAAGTTCGAAAGTGCAGCAAGTTGATGGTCTCAAACCAGCAACCAATGATTGCACACAAAAACAAATAATGCCAAATATATATTATTGCGTATTTATTTTGCTCATTTCAGCTCTTAGGACAAGCTATTTTGGTTTTATTGTCAGGCAATAAACACCACTTGAGCAGGGCAAGCGAGACAGTGCACCATTTAGAGTGCATAGACAGTCCTATTAAAGTGGCTTCAGAAGTAGATCTGTGATGTCTTCTTCCAGCGATATTTTATTATGCAACATGGTAAACTTCTAACTGTGAGACTTCCCAACGAAAATGTATTGCACTTGTTCCATTAGCACAAGTGGCAACATCATTGGCCAATTTTTTTCTAAAGAATCCCAGCATAAGGATGCCTTATAATACTGCTCAATGGTGTCGAAACTTTGCATGTATAACGCTTATGTGCGCAATTGTGCAATCAGGGATTAATTTCTCAACGAATATATTCTGGGTCACTTGCAGACGAAAGCGGACGTGTGAAGAGTAGCCACAGTCGCAGAGCGACAATTACATTGGATGTTGTTTGCCGGGGACAGAAATACTTTTTGGGCCAGCGACCTGGGCAGAGCTACATAAAATGAGCCCTGCATGTAATGATAATGGTCACAAAACACTCAAGCGGGCAAGGTCAGGGATCAGGGACTGACATGGGACCAGTGACCGATTGAGCACGGCGATACTGGAAGTGACAGTTGCACTAATCCTCGAGGTGAATCAAAGTGGACAGATGTCCGGTGGAAAGCTTTTTAACATACACCACTGAAGGACAAAACCACCTGCCTCTTTGCGAAAAAGGGCTCTCGGTAAAACACGTCAAGCATAGGACATGGCGGGCTGGGCTTGATGTTTGGTAGAGGATATTTGCACTTATTGTCTGTATCAATGTGAAGGAAAAAAACATCTGCAAAAACACTAATTCACTGTATGTTGGTCAAGTGAGCTGTTAGGATAAACCTGTTGTCAAATTAAATCTTTTGAATTAATAAAACAGTGATTGTATGAATGAAAAAACAATTCAGGAATGTAGCCAATGGAAACCAGTTTTAATGAGGAAAATTTAAATGTAATGGAAAACAGGCTTGCAAATTTCTACACGGTTATAAAACAGTTCTTGCCACTGAATGGCATACTTAGTTTAAGACTTAAAAGAATGTATTTTTTGCAGACATATGCAACAAGTACCATGGGCCAATCCAATGCACAAAACATATTTATTATTAAATTGTTTGTTAAACATTGGTTTAGCATGTATAAAGAAGCCATAATAACGTTAAGCTGAAAAGAAAGAGATAGTTGAAAAAATCAGACTATGATATACTTTAATACCAGTAAATGAATACTCACTAAATAATACAGACTTCTGTGTGAAAGCTTAGCACACCGCCTAATCCCCGGCTCAGCAGGCGCATTTTCTTTTCACCAACGAGGCAAAGCCCCGCTGCTGGCATTTTCACACTGAATAATGCTAATGCTGGCGGCGCAGAGAAAGGGAAATATAAAGAGACTCTCTTTCAAGCACAAAGCATCTGTAACTGGCAGCACTGCATTAGTCCAAGAGGATTAAAAATCAAGGCATGCCACACCAGAAATCGGCAACAACCGCCTCTTCAGTTCCCCGCGCATTGGAATTCAGGAGAAGGCATCGTCCGTGGCTGCATTACGGAAGCCACTGAGCTATAGACACAAGATAGCGTTGCATGGTGAATGCTGTTTCACTTAAATATAAACGTAAGCCCTGAAAGTGACGCGTTTGTTCACTGTAAAATTGAGCGCTGCATTATGTAAGCTTAACTTCCAATGTGACGCTAAGCTCATATTCATTAATGTTCTCGAAGTAACAGAAGGCCACACTTGGTGGTGCGGTAAAACTTGTGCGCGCATTGTGGCAATGCATAAAAGGGGCTCACAAAACTTCAATGAATCAAGGCTGCTGCATAAATCTAGTGTGGTATTGAAACAAATATTGTTCAAGTCTCCTGAATGGGTCTGCAGTGTTGCTTGTAAGCAAAGCAAAATAAATCCCACATCTTAGAGGTTTTTCGTTCTGTTTAAACATTCTGCATATTACTATTCTACATCTTTGATAAGTTGCATTGCATTAATTCAAACTGAATTACTACTATAATAGCCCAGAAATGTGTGTAACGTGCTACACCCCCCCCCCCACGTCAATAATAATAAAATAATCACGAGCAGGTGGAGTTTTACACTCACGCGGAAGAAGGTCGAGCGGAAAGATTTGTTTTTGCAAAGTCGCTTCAAATATGACATTTCTTTACATTTTTTTACATTTCTCCATGATTTTCCAGACATTGTATCGAATTCAAATTGATTACAACCCCAGCGAGCAAAAGCAGAAGAAAATAAAGCAGGAGAAAATAAAGTATAAGAGCAGTGATTTTGAACGAATTTAAGGTGAGTTAAATGCAGTGCTACAGTGACATGAAGCGAGGTGTTTTATGACATAGTTTTGTGCAAGAATCACTGCCATTAAGACAGTACAAGAGATTCACACAAAATATCGTATACCGAGGTTTCATTTTTTAAGTTCAGAAAAATGTATTTACGTGCAATAATTCCTTAAAAAATGTACAATCACACAAGGAAACGTAAATGTACATCTTTAATATTACAGCTTCCGTTCTACGACGAGCAAAAGGCTAATTGAAGGTCAGTTAAATACAGTGCTACAGTGACATGAAGTTAGGTGTTTTATGAAATAGTTTGTGCAAGCATTACTGCCATTAATACAATACTACAGTGAAATTCAGTGAAGTGTTTGATGACATTTTTTCGTGCAAGATTCACTGCCATTAAATTTACACAAGATACAATTATTACTCTGCTCAATTATTTCGTAAATATTACAGCTTCCATCCTAGGACGGGCAAAAGGCTAGTTATAATAATAATAATATCCAACCGCCTCCAGCCACTGCATGACACATAGCTAATAAAAGTTTGTCAACACAATTTGCCTCTGCGCAAGTAATGTAAAATGCAAGTGTGAAATCAAACAAAACTTTGATTCTAGCTGGAAAAATAAATGAGGTCCTTAATGTATAAGTCTCTGAACTAAGACACCATGTTGAAATTAATAGCATCAGCTCGGAGCCCACACTGCCAATGTGCCTTATAAACTATGCATGTTTTTCCAGCAATCATTCCACAAGTTCGCAGCTAAAAACATGTGGCGCTATACGAGCTTTGAAGACCGAATACCATTGTCACAAACAAGACCGGGTCCTGTTTTACTGGAAAGTGTGTTATCTCGAAAGCCTGCTTAAAACAACCAGAGACAAAGATGGGAGTCATCGGTGCATCTAGGCCACTCAAAAATAAAGAGCCATCACGATGGGGGTAATCGGTGTACCTGAGCCATTCAAAACATAATACACATTACAGCACTCGAGGCCCAGATGACCTCTCTTCCCCCACACTCTAAGTGACCCCTAATTTTTGTTCAACATTTTTTGCTTTCTTACATATAACTCTCCAATTGTGTGATGATGTTATCAGCATCATGGCATGAGACAAATGAATATCATTAATATTGTGTGCAGTCAATCGTGACTGGGTGAAGACTATATGACTCACTGGACTTGAGAATCTGGTTTACTCACAGGCAGCTGAAACCCAAGTACAAACCAAAGATCTAAGTGTGCTGACCCCTGAGCCACCCAGTGATCTGTCGCAACCCCTGAACCACCCAGTTATCTGTCACAACCCCTGCTTAGTAGTCACCTGCGGACAGAGTCGCCTGTGACTCGGGGCAGCATGTCACTCAGCGTAAGGAAGATGCCTCGAACCGCCCTGAGTCTCGCCGCCGGTCCCCTCTGTGGAAACGAGTAGATGATGTCCTCCTGCACAAAGCACGAGCAGTGGCACAGAACGCACCCAGCACATGCTGGTACATCACGAGAACATGTGGAGGAAAGCACTCTCTCTCCTCTTCCATAATTCGTCACATGGCAACAGATGGGACTAGACAAACCTCTTGCATTTCTTTCTCTGGTCATGGCAATCGCTTCCTCTAGGCCTACAGTTTTCTCTTTCAAGTCCTCATTTATGCTGTCATTCCAGATTTTGGAAGGACGGCCTTGAGCAGGAGTTGTGGATTTAAAACCAGCTGTGAGGTCATTGGGACTAAAAGGCTCTTGCCTATGACCAAATCACTCTCAATGTACCCGATTTTGTAGATAGGCACTTTATTTATCAGATGTATTAATACCTTTAGGAAATCCATAACACCTGTGACACATCTTGATTGTTTGTTCACGATTCCTAGATTTCGTACAAAACTTGGTGTAAAAGATTTTTATGCAGCTGCTCCAAAGTTTTGGAACCAACTTGTCTCTTCTCCGGGGATCATCACTGCCATATTTGTACTCTTTTCAACAGACATTGAGGTCAAAATAATACAAATGCGAATGTAAAAAATTGTTTTGTAACATCATTTGGTTTTAATTACGGTACTTTATTTATATTTTTTACTTTATATTGTATGTATCAACTCTTGTTGCCGTGTCCGTCTGCTGGTCGAGTCACCCTTGAAAAACAAGCAGTATAGCTCAATGGATAATTTACTCTGATAATAAACTTCTGATTCTGTATTTGCCACTCCCACATCTTTGATGTCGCTATTATGTCCTCCAAACGTCTTCCGCTATTTCAATTAAACTTTTATTTGTCACACAGAAAATTTAGTTTAGCCAGTTACCCCGCTAGTTTCAGTGGCAAAAGGACCACAGCCACTAACAACAGTTATTTTTGGGTTGTAGAGGAGCCCAACTAGCAGCCAGCCAATAAACTTGAGGCATTAATTATTTTTGATAGTAGTATGATGCGTTCTGTGTAATTGGTTCATGTAAGCCCTGCAGCCACTAGAGCCTCTAATTCACTTTAATGGTCAAACATAACCTATCCTTGAATTGAATAGTTACCCAGAATTATCACAATTCATTGAATCACAAGGGAGATTAATCATTACATGCTGGAAACTATGGCATACACACTAAAAAATACAAATTGATGAACATCCAAATGGAGGACCATCTTGAAAAAACACAAGATTCAGTGAGGCTTTCCTGAATAAATGCGTGATTATTACAAAAAACAATACTTAGAGCAAATTAAATCATTAACTTAGGATCAGGAGATAACCAACTAAAACAATATAATTCTGGATGTGACACATTAAATATTTCTTACTACAGTTGATGTGTGTATTTCTGCTCGTGCAACTATAATTTTTTTAATCCAATGTATATTTTAAGTGAACCATTAACATTACACAAGCTGCACCTTTTATTTCAACGACTAGGGGACTGGTGCTGAAAGTCTGTGCCCTCTTCTAGAATTGTAAGAATTTTTAAAACGCCCTACGGAGGATAACAGCACAAGTGCAAAGCTAACCCCTGCTGCCCGGCACAAAGGGCTCCACGCAGCACACACGGCGCCCCGAGGCAATTAGCACTGGAGAGCCTGGCCCCTATGCCGCCCCGAGCACAAGCGCTTTCATAACCCAGCACAGGAGCCTTCCACCACCACCGAGGCTCGCCTCTTGAAGCACTCTGTGCTGAGAGGTGCCTGAGAACTCGACGGCCCATTTTACTTTGCACGGTTTCAAACACCCATCGAAGTTTAGGCTTCAACAAAACATAAATAAAAGAGTTACTCCCCTTTCCCATCCTAAACAGCACCCGTTGCTTCACTCCCCCCATCAACCCAATAACGACGCTCCGGGCCGACACACCTACTCGGCCGATCGTGCCACTGCCGCAGCCCACCCAGAGCTGCCTCGCCATAAGAAAAGTGGGAGGAGAAAGGAGAGCACACAAGGGGCATACACGAACGGCAAATAATACAGAGCAAGGCGCACGCTGATGAGACGGAGCCTTTCAGCAGTCACGCAACCGGCCACCAACAGCCCGGCAAGCAGAAATGCATTCACCGCTCCCAGTCTGATCCCCCATCAAACGACACAGAGCAAGACGAGTGATGTCGCAACAGTTGGCAATTGAACAGACAAGCACACAGCTTTGCTAGGTGGCATTGTCACTCAAGGCATGGATATCATTCTTATACAACACGTGCACACTTGCAATGTTAGCAGGACCATAGCATGATTGGAAAGGTCCCTGGTGCATGAAATGAAATGGGGCATCTGTCCAATGTCCCCATTCTGTGTAGCCCAGTGCCTGGGCCCCTGTGGTTTGTGGGCCCTGGTACAATTACAGACTCCTGCACACTTCATGGCTATACCACTGAATGTTAGTTTACTTCAGATGAATCTCCAAGTAAATTGGATCCTTGGGCAAATATGAGTCCCATATTCTTGGTTCTTTCGGTAAAGTCACGTAGAAGGGAAACAAAATAATAAAAATATAGGCCACTTTTTTCAAATTTTCTTGCTGTGGTTTTCACACCTGATGATGATTGCTTGTGTTGCAGTCGAAACGTCGTGAGAATTTTATTGTTTTATATTTTTATTATTTTATTGTTTCCCTTGTACGTGACTTTACCGAAAGAACCAAGAATATGAATCCCTGCAGTCACGAAAGCTTTAAATCAAAATATAATGAGTCCCATCAACACATGTGCGCTGCTTATGAAAAACATTAGAAAATGAGCTCCAAGATGTGACAAAGGTATCCTGGGCACTGCCACGCATGAAGGCTGGCAGAGGCAGGCTCACCCATGGAAACGTGGTCGAAGTAACAGGACTTGCATGTAAGTGCACATGTTTCCCATGGAAGTCCAATTGAAGAAAACACGGTGAGCGTTTCAAAAGCAAACATGTCGGCATTCACGGAGCAGACGATATACACACAGACACGGATGAATCGTTTTTCTGAAGCTCAAAGAATCGGAGCCGCCGTAAAAGCTTTTTGTTATCAGTAGTGGTTTCTAGGTAACCCAAACACCTGCTTGTTTACTCTGCAATCATCATTTAAAAATGCAAGTGGACTATCAAGCCAAGTGTGTTTAGCCAAAACATGTCAACGACTCGGGGGCGCACGTCCTCGCCAATGTAAAAGTGGGAATTCGCCCTGTATTGACTGCAGGATTTACACTGCTGAAAGAAACAATGATCGCGACACATATCGGCAAACACAGCCCCCGCTTCGCTCTCCATGTGTCATTGTGCCGGCGTGGCATCGCTACCGACGCAGCATACAAAAAGCCGGAGCAATGCGCTCCAAGTCTCGTCCGTCTTGGTAGAGAATCACATTTACGTCAGACGCTCTTGTTTGGACGTGGGACAAACGACCGAATGAACTTTGCGCGGCTTGACGGCGATAAGTGAGCCGTGCGTGCTGGCGCTCTGCGGATCTGCACGGTTGCACCACAAAAGTTTAAATTAAAGGCAACCCTCGTCTTACACTCAGACAACAAAAACTAAAAATCGCCGTGTACGTGTTTTTACCGCCTGCCACTAAGCAACGGGTAATGTAGGTTATTGGCCTCATAGTGCCTTCATCAAACATATCAATCAGTCTAGCTGTCCAATAGGCTTTCAGATTGTACTGGGTGTCGTTGGGCAAAAGTTGTCCGAGGTTTCGCTCCACGTGTTGAGAGCCTCTTCGGGTTTTGAAGAAACTCCCAAGACGTGAAGCGAATTGTCAGACATCTTGCGGAACAACACACGGTAAAAACAGAAAACACATCAGAGAGCTGTATAGCACAAGCGCAAAAACCAACGTTATATCGGTCTATATCACTATGTCAGAATATAGACTGAATTACTCCATTTAACCGACTGCAGCATATGCTGATAATGAACAGGGTGTGAAGTGGTTCATAGACTGAGCTGCAGTTCCCATGAGTCACATTCAAATCCTGGCCAAGCACCCAACTCCCAAATGTTATCTGAACGTGGCCGGGGCATCTTCGAGGTAAAGTTTGGTGAATCACACGAGTGTTGTAAAACTCCATTGACATGGTCATCAAGGTGCCATATACCCTGTCTTGCCAAGAGAAGGCAGTAGGAAAATATGTGGACTAATCTCAATCGGTATTGGATAGAGTATTGCCCACTCACACGCATAGGTTTTCTCCGGGTGCTCCTGTTTCCTCCCACATGTAAACATTCATTAATTTGCTTAAAAATAATTCCATAAGTCAGTGTTTGGCTTCAGGTGGGAGTAAACTAGAGAGCTAAGCAAAAACAAAGGCATACTTCTCAAATCTCTGCACAAATATTATCAATTCACTTGCAGTACTGACATCTCATACATGCCAGCCATTAATGATCTAAGCGGTTAGCTGCCACTTTTTGAACCTTTCACTGCATACTGATTTTCTAAGCTCATCATGCCATATTCTTAGCTCTTTCGGTAAAGTCACATTGAAGGGAAACAATAAAATAATAAAATATATAAAACAATAAAAATTCTCACGACGTTTCGACCATAACGCAAACGGTCATCATCAGGTGTGAAAAACCAACGGCAAGAAACATTTGAAAGAAGTGGCTGTTCGCATTTATTTATTTATTTTTAAAACGGTGTTTGCATTTATTTATAAAAACCGTTAGCACCACGGGCAGCGATTTGGCAGTTTATTTAGAAGGACGAGTCCATCTATGTTCTGAAAAGAAGAGGGGGGAGACGAAAAATTAATGTGTGCTGTCTGAAAGCCACCGTAAGCGTGAACAATCAATTAAGACCTGAAATGGTTTATCAAATCCTTCCAATGATTGCTAAGCCAGAATCCATCTTCTCGGTTGAAATTGTCTCTGTGCTTGTATATGTGGATAGCCTCATGGACGAATCTCTCATGGTAGCCAGATGTCTACCATCTATTTAACAAAAAGACTAAATTGATGCGCATTTTTTGTTTTAATCAGCATGTGGTAAAATAATTTAAAAGTCGGGAGCATAAACCATTTAAATCGCTACCGCACAGCCTGGCGGGTTTTGTGAATTTCACAAATTTGCGTGATCATCCAACCCTCACCTGCAAAAGCAGCGTATTACAAGCATGCGTCACCACGAATCAGTCAGTGATAAAGAAAGGCCTGACCTCCTCGCAGGCGGACTCGGAGTCGAGACGCAGGCTGAGGTACATGGCGGAATGGGGGTGCGAGGAGAGGCGAGCGTGCAGGTCGGCCGTGTCCTCCCCGCTCAACAGCCTCACAAGGCCCGAGTGGGAGGAGACGGCGCTACTCTCCTCATCACCCTCCGCTCTACCGTGGCTGGCGCTCGAACCTCCCTCCACCTCCATCGTCAGCCTTACCTGCACAAACAATGGACATTCTCCTTCCTCTCGTGTACACGTACATGGCTGAGCCAGGCCACAGTGTCATCGTGCGCAGTGATTAGCTCTCAAGAATGAACGAATCGATAAATGAAAACACCACGGACATTGATGCATAGGTCTTGTGTTTATGCGGATGGCGATTAACTTCACTGGTGGATGAAAAAAGGTAAGATATTTACTAAATAAATAAACAAAAGTAGCCTATTAACAGTAGCCTATTAATACATTTGTATTTTTGTGAGAATAATTTTTACAAATTTGACATACAAGTACAATGATGTTTAATATCAGTATCACACATTTAATGGTTTGTTTTGAAAATGGGACAAAGAAGACAGATTATAGGTGCAATAGTATATTTTGGAGTACAGTATTTTAAAATATCACTGCAAGTAATGCTTGTCAGAACAAAATTATCTTGAGTGCCACTTCTTAAAAATGGAAGATGTACTCAATATCCACAATGGAAAATGGTATTTGGCTCGCACATGATGCGCGGTAAAACTTCATCCTACGTCTTTCAATGCATCGCTCACTTAAGCCATCGCCCAACGTAATCGGACGGCATGCGAAACTGCCAATTAACATCACAAAGCACCGCAAACGTGACAGTCTTTCAGGAATCCAGCATTCAGCTTGACATGCTGCTTCAGGCATGAGTGGGGAAACACAAGAGAAGGCCTTTTTAGTCCCAATTCAAAAAAATACATAATGCAGAAGGCGACAAGCCTGGCGTGTACAACAGCACTGGAAGACATGCAATTTTACACATCACAAGCTGAGAAATCCATTCTGCTAATGGGCCTTTGTGCTTCAGCAACTTAAATGTATTTGTGTAGATGTACAAGCAAAAAGGCTGGCATTTATATGTATTACAAGAGCTCATCAGCATTCAAGCCTTAGTTAAGGAACATGTGGTGTAATTTTTATCAATGTTTAGTGCAGTGCACTCAGCTGAAAAGGAGCAGGATGGAAACTTAAATGTATCGTGCAAGCATGGTCCTATCTCCTATTCGTATTAGCAAACATATAAATGACAATTAGAAATAATAGATTTGGTATTCGTGCAATTATTTTCCCACAAGGCTATCACGAAGAAGCCATGTTTAAGAGATGGGTAGATCCTACGAATAGGGGGCATTGTTGCTACATAATTTTACCCAATTAGTTAATTTACAAGCAATTCTCAAAGATGGAAAATTTGGACCGTGACGTAACAATGACGCACATGGCTTTCGTAACTTAGCCTAAAGACACATGTTGTATGTACGTATGTTGAACGTCTTTCGCACCGTACGTAGCCAACCATGCTAATCGGAGGGGGAATGACAACAAACTAAACACAAACAGCAGTTCTAAAGAAATCAGAATAATAAGGATCAAGCAAGGAAGGATGGGTGGAAAATTGGGTGATCACTACAGCTGACAATACCTTCATGGGGCCGGGGATGCAGGAAAGGACCCTCTCAATGTTCTCGGTCGTCACATCAACATCATTCACCGCCACCAGAGAGTCGCCTATGCCGCCAACACCGCAAGTGCACAGCACAGAGAGACACGGGAATGTTCAGCAATGTTAATGCCCATTACTATTAATGAAAACTGATTGTGATACTACGTGGGTTTTAGAGTTTTTTGTGGTTGTTCATCATGCTGAATAATATGCAGTATAATTTAAAAAACACATCAGAGAGCTATAAATGTAACACTCCCTCGATATTCACACTCACTAGCCTCTTGCTGAAGTTTATGAAATGATGTATGGCTACCCCAGAAAACATGTTGATTCCAAACAGGCAAAAGCATGGTTGTGGTTAAAAACAGTATTGTGCAATTTTTACAGACAGCAATCAAATTTTGATTTAAAGCTTTCGTGACTGCAGGGATTTATATTCTTGGTTCTTTCGGTAAAGTCACGTAGAAGGGAAACAATAAAATAAGACAGCAATCACTTCAATACTGGATGAAGGCTACCCCATGGCATGTCCGTTATGAGAGTTGTTTGGTCATACTTCCACATGCTGGCAATTGCATTTTAGCCATTGTTGGGATTGGAACCCAGGTCTCTGGGTTCATGCGCTAACCACTCTGCCATTTAAGATTATAGTTCGTACAAATACACTTGGCAGGCTATTTTCACTTCGCATGGCTGCAACCACTCATATGTTTCATTTTTCAAAGCAATTTTGTGAAAGCATGAAGTTCTCCCAAGCCTTGAAAATAGGTCATACTTTGACACTATGTTGTGAGCTTTACTTGGGTAATGGTAGCAGATGTCTGCATTTGAACATGATACAGCCTGCAGAGAAACTAATAAATGTGCTGCTTTTCTAAAAACATTATCTGTAATGTCTTTGCCAGGAAACGCCAACCACTGTAGAATTCATAATGCTTTATCACTCTGTTGGAATATTCTGGTCGAATGATCCTAAGTCTAGCATGAACACTAAAACAAAACACATTATTTGAGATTTCACAGTTGTATTGTTTTCCAACATTGAGGCATTTTTCATCAAACTCAAAACCCCAGGTCTCTCTTGCAGAATAAATGTTTGTTTCCATGGGCCTTCAATTGGTTAATAGAGTTCACCAAAATATATGTATGTTTTTTAAACAAATTGCACTGATATGGATGTAATCCTTAGCTCAATACACATATACAGTGAGGGAAAAAAGTATTTGATCCCCTGCTGATTTTGTACGTTTGCCCACTGACGAAAGAAATGATCAGTCTATAATTTTAATGGTAGGTTTATTTGAACAGTGAGACAGAATAACAACAAGAAAATCCAGAAAAACGCATGTCAAAAATGTTATAAATTGATTTGCATTTTAATGAGGGAAATAAGTATTTGACCCCCTCTTAATCAGAAAGATTTCTGGCTCCCAGGTGTCTTTTATACAGGTAACGAGCTGAGATTAGGAGCACACACTTAAAGGGAGTGCTCCTAATCTCAGCTTATTACCTGTATAAAAGACACTTATCTACAGAAGCAATCAATCAATCAGATTCCAAACTCTCCACCATGGCCAAGACCAAAAAGCTCTCCAAGGATGTCAGGGACAAGGCTGGAATGGGCTACAAGACCATTGCCAAGCAGCTTGGTGAGAAGGTGACAACATAATCTTAGTTCTTTCGGTAAAGTCACGTTGAAGGGAAACAACAAAATAATATATATTTTATTATTTTGTTGTTTCCCTTCAACGTGACTTTACCGAAAGAACTAAGAATATTAATTACTGCAGTCACGAAAGCTTTAAATCAAAATTTAAGGTGACAACAGTTGGTGCGATTATTTGCAAATGGAAGAAACACAAAAGAACTGTCAATCTCCCTCGTCCTGGGGCTCCATGCAAGATCTCACCTCGTGGAGTTGCAATGATCATGAGAACGGTGAGGAATCAGCCCAGAACTACACGGGAGGATCTTGTCAATGATCTCAAGGCAGCTGGGACCATAGTCACCAAGAAAACAATTGGTAACACACTACGCCATGAAGGACTGAAATCCTGCAGCGCCCGCAAGGTCTTCCTGCTCAAGAAAGCACATATACATGCCTGTCTGAAGTTTGCCAATGAACATCTGAATGATTCAGGGGATAACTGGGTGAAAGTGTTGTGGTCAGATGAGACCAAAATTGAGCTCTTTGGCATCAACTTAATTCGCCGTGTTTGAAGGAGGAGGAATGCTGTCTATGACCCCAAGAACACCATCCCCACCGTCAAACATGGAGGTGGAAACATTATGCTTTGGGGGTGTTTTTCTGATAAGGGGACAGGACAACTTCACTGCATCAAAGGGACGATGGACGGGGCCATGTACCGTCAAATCTTGGGTGAGAACCTCCTTCCCTCAGCCAGGGCATTGAAAATGGGTCGTGGATGGGTATTCCAGCATGACAATGACCCAAAACACACGGCCAAGGCAACAAAGGAGTGGCTCAGGAAGAAGCACATTAAGGTCCGGGAGTGGCCTAGCCAGTCTACAGACCTTAATCCCATAGAAATCTGAAGGTTCGAGTTGCCAAACATCAGCCTCGAAACCTTAATGCCTTGGAGAAGATCTGCAAAGAGGAGTGGGACAAAATCCCTCCTGAGATGTGTGCAAACCTGGTGGCCAACTACAAGAAACGTCTGACCTCTGTGATTGCCAACAAGGGTTTTGCCACCAAGTACTAAGTCATGTTTTGCAGAGGAGTCAAATACTTATTTCCCTCATTAAAATGCGAATCAGTTTATAACATTTTTGACATGCGTTTTTCTGGATTTTGTTGTTGTTATTCTGTCTCACTGTTCAAATAAACCTACCATTAAAATTATAGACTGATCATTTCTTCGTCAGTGGGCAAACGTACAAAATCAGCAGGGGATCAAATACTTTTCTCCCTCACTGTACCAACGTTGCCAAAAATCAGTTTTCTAGTACTTATCATGAAACTATGTAATAAATACACATGCGAAAGGCATGATGCACTTTATCAGGCCGCTTGAAACTAGAGATGTAACAATTAGTTAGTTCATCGATATTGACTACTCTTTGTGGTCAATTACTCTTAAAATATGGTGGCCACCTGTCCCCTGAAGGCAGGAAACCACCAATATGCCATGATGCAGCTGATGATGCCAATGACATCACCAAGCCTCACCTATCACCTCCCATCCAGCTGCACACATGGAAACGGACATGCGAGAACCTTTTTTGTCGTCTTATTTGATTAGTCGGGTCATTGATTATATAAATAATCGGATATCCCAGCTATAATTAACGCATTGACAGTATCACCCCCCCCCCCCTGCAATGAGAGGACAACCGCACGCAAGTACTCACCTATGTAAATCTTCCCACTCTCCATGGCTGCTCCTCCATGCACGAGGCCATGCACGGAGATCTTCTCGTCGGCAATCGGCGCCACCGAGTCCTCCGAGCGACTCTTCCGCCCACTCCGCGCGTCGCGCCCTTGCCTTCCGCTCGCGCGATGCACGATTCCGAGGAGCGACCCGAGCAGGGGGGCCTCCTCTCCCAGGCGGATGTCTCGTTCCCCCGTCGGCCGGCGCAGGGGGTTCACGTAGACGGTCACGTCACGGAAGCGCAACCGAGCCACTGCCAGAGGAGGAGGAGCGTCATCGCCTCCGTCTCCTCCGTCACCAGGGCCCTTGGTGAAGACAGTGTCGCCGGAGTGGCCTTTGCGATCTCCATTCGCTCGATCGGCTGGCAGCTCTCGGCGAGTCGTCTTCCTCCTAGCACATCCGCAAGGATGTTATTAATTACAGTATGCAATTTCTTTGGAAACATTTGATGAGTGATAATAATGCAAGTGCTCATGCCAGGTGTGCAGAAAACAATACGTCCGTAGATGAAGGGGAGACAACTGAGATTGAATAGCAGCTCTGCTATCCAATCTCAGTTCATGGGAAGAAAGCCTTTGGATAGTTATCTATGGGATAAGTGCCAAATAGCAAAATAAGTATTGGGTTATTGTGGCCCCATGTTAGAAAGAGCCGAAACATTTATGCTTTAAACCTTTCTTGGAAAGCATTAAAAACCATAATAACAATAAAAGCCTACGCACCTGCGCAGGATGTCTGCCAACTTTCTCAGCTTGGGTCCCCCCCCGTCCTTGCGCCGGGCGGCATCCTGGCCGGGAGCCCCACCACTCGAGGGTGTGGCACTGCCGGCCTCTTCTTCCTCCTGTGCCAGGGCGGCCGTCTCCTCGCCCTCGCTCAGCTCCAGGTAGAAGAGCTCTCCATTGGGCTGCACCTCATCCAGCCACTCTGGCTCCAGCTCACTGGGTGGACAGACAGCACAGTGCAGGGAGGGACTCAGACACTGAACATCACTAGCTAAATGTCATTTGTAGAGATTGTCACCTTAACAAATATTGCAATTTTGACATAAGGAAAAGTGTATTGACGTATCCATCTCCAATATATGTAAATGTGCAACACTTTTGTCAATCCACTGATGGATGAGGGGTGAGTTGTGGGGGTTAAGTGTTCATAATACAGGTTTTTTGGGTTAGATCGCATAAATATAAATGTATCGTTAAACCCGTCACCACCCAACACAGCTAATTAGTAAGGTTTGTCACGTAAACAGAACATGCCAATTCGTTACTAGTACGGTACACCGGTGTGTTAGTCTGTTGATGGTCAGCGATGCGGAAATCGACTCATCTCGACGAGCTGTACACGATGCACTACGGTGCATAAGAGCGTTCAGGGTTTCAGCGCAATCGTCCTCACTGTGTCTTGATATCGCAGAGTAGCACTGATTTCGGATTGATTGGTACACCAGTTGCGGAGTTAAGTACACCGCTGGAAAAAATAGTGTCCCAGAAATAAAATATTTAATTGCCTCGGCCATTTTGTATTATTTGGTACCCCGGGGTACCGCTATAAGGATAAAATCGCCAATGCTATGTGTTTCAGCCATTTCATCAAGATGGGAATCAGGCTCCATGTGATTTCATACTCGTTTTAGAACGTACAAGTGAAATCTGTTTGTATAACAGTGATGGTTTGTTAATCCATGTAACTTAAACTAATGAGTCTGTCCCATTGAGGATTTCATATGATTTCAAAGTACACCTAGCCTGGCACCAGCATTGGTAATATAACCATCACTTTGTGGTGAAATGCAGCCGTTTTTGTTGTGTTCAATCCACAAAGTGTGCAGTTTCAATCTCCACGTGAGGAGTATACAATTGTAAATATTATCACCAAAGGATGTGTAAATACGCGAGTATGCAACCTGGATCAGTGGTAAATGCAAATAAGATATTAATAATGTAGTCTCGGTCACTCCAGCCTCGAGCCACTTGTAACGCTGAGTTCCCATGGTGGTGTTAGCTATTAGGGAAATTGGACCTGGCGATCGCAATTAAGGAAGGGCCTTCATTATCCAGTCATTTAATATATTTTTTTCAAGTAAATAGAGTCGTCTATTCAGCAAACGTCATGGACACGAATTGTAATGATGCCTGACTTGTTATGGCCCAGATAATTCCTTGCGAGCACAGCTGAATCTTAATAATCTCTCTCCTGAATGTAAGCATTGATTGCATACCAGCATTTGCAGCATCATATACACGAGTATATTTTAAACAGTATACAGACGCAAAAATATATTCGAAATGAAATATTTTGAATTACTTCTGGATCTGGCCCATATACCTTTTATCAACTGATCTACAGATTACACAAAACGACGTTATGTCTCAACTGACCATAAACTGATGTTAAGTTTTAACATAAACGGATTATATCTGTCACACCGGTTGGGTGTGTTCATGTGCAACTGTAATTTGATCAGACAAGCCTGAAGTTTAAGGCAGTATAAGCTACACGCAGGACATCGCGATGCCTGTAGGAGGCAGTACAAGTAAGTTTCTGACAGTCTACATGCAGAGAGAAATGTCAAAATTATCCCATCATTTGAGTTTTTTCTGGTCACTCCAGGGTGTTTTTCATACAGAAGATTCAAATATAAATTGGCTAAATATCCCAATCAGTATCCCTCGAGAAAGGTATTGGGGCTAAGCAAAGCTTTCCTTGATGGATTTTCCGTTTGCACAGTCACATAATCACTTTAAGATGTTTTCTTGTTCATGTTTTTTTTTGTTTGTTGCGGTTGCACCCGATTCAAGAGCCGAATGGCTCACAGGGCTATACCAAATAAATGGAACTAAATGGAACTACACGTACTGTAGGCAGTCTTCATTGTATTTGGGGCACCACAGTGGCGAGATGTGAACTACCTCGCCAAGTGTAAAGGAGGTCGTGGATTTGATCCCGACTCTGACGCCTGTATATTTGCGTGTTCTCCCCGTGGTCGCGTGGATTTTCCTCCGGGTCGTCCGGTTTTCCCCTCCACATTTAGAAACATGCGTTTAGAGTAGGTGGCTGATATACATTTCCACATCATAAGCCAATTCGTTGAGCTATCATTTGTCGCCAGGTCGCTTCTGAAAAAGAGCTAAATAGCTCAATTGACCTTACCTGGTAAAATAGTTTAGTTAAGTTTGATTCCCTACTTAACATTTGTGGTAATACTTGAACTGATACTGCACCCCCCTACACGAACCTGCGGCGACCAATATCATGAATTATGGTTAAACAGCTCCATGTCAAAGGGCTGTAAATTACTTTATTTTAGAAATATCTTTCTTTAATTCGAATATGTACAGTTTTTTTAAAGTAAAAAAATCACTTGGTGGAAATTCCACATTCCTTTGGCGGGATCATGTCAACCAATATAACGAGTCCATTGACTAGAATACACATACAGTATATAATTGCTAATAGATGTGGCTGTGATTTGTTTTATGTTCCTGCACGAAAATTAAGGTTAAAACAAGACAAAGTACAGAAACAACTACAGTATGAGTAAAGGCATTTCCTCCTATGCTCGCTGGTAGCCAAAACATGCAAACGTGTAATCTTTGCACGTGCCATTTACTCGTACAGCTGGTGCTTGTTGTTGTGACTGTCATTGTTAAAATTAACACGAAACATATCCATCAGCCCGGAACAAATCACCCCCAATACTCGGGGGCAAGCTTCCGTCCCAGCTGCTGCCTACAACTACACGCTCCTCTTGCTGCTATTATTACACGCCCTCTGTTCCTTGTGTTATCATTTTGATTACTACACTAACACAAAGCACATATATGCACTGGGATTAAACCTCCCTCTCCTTTGCTCAGAGCCAAGAGACCAGTCTCCACCGTTTAATCCACGGTCTCCATCTCCATCCTGCCCCTTCCTTCTCGTGCTGCGACTGCGGCTGTCACAGTTACATTGGCACTAAACACACCGGTTCACCCGGTACGAGCCCTTGCCCTCTTACTCAGACTCGCTGAACCAGGAACCAGAGTCGCTCCCGTCCCAGCTGCTGCCTCCATCTCCACCCTCCTCTTGCCGCTGCTGCAGTTGCAGCCGCTTCTTCTTCTCCTCCTCGTCGCCCCGCGACTCCACTCGACCGGCCATTGCTTCCCCTCCCCCTACCTCACCTGTCTCCTCTACCTCCCTCCAAACCTCCCTCTCAAAGCCCGCACACCCCGACCGCCCGTGCCGCCCCTGCAAAGCGGAGCTCGCTGCGTTTATCGCGGCCGCAGAGACGCTGCAGCCCGCTCCCCTCGCCACGCCGCCATGTTGCTGCCACCCTTTCGTGCCGCCGTTCCCGTCACGTGACACGCGATACCGCGCGCCCATTGGTCGTGCGCCGTCGCTACGGCAACGCGCGCGAGGGGGGGGGAGACGCGTTGCATGCTCATTGGTCGCCGTGGCGTTGCCATCGTAACGCGCGGCGTGCTGGTGGTGGTGGTGGGGGTGATCTCGCACGCTCATTGGTTAGGGATGGGGGTGGGGTTTCGTTGCAATGGTAACAGGAGGACGCGTTGGGTACCACGTGTCTTCTGTGGGAGGGCTTGGGAGTCTAACGAGTAACCATGGTTACCACGTGCTTCACGGTTGCTGAGCCACAGGTCCAAAACGCAAAGCGGCCAGCAACAAACGGCACAACTTAATGTGTAATAGATAAGAGGGTAACGCGTTTCTCAAATTGACCAAGATTATTGTAAGGTGGTGAGAGTGAAGCAGTGTGATGGAAGAAGCAGAAAGAGAAATGAGGTGACCTGTAGTGTGGTGAGAGCTGATGTGAGCTGTAGTGTGGTGAGAGCTGATGTGAGCTGTAGTGTGGTGAGAGCTGATGTGACGTGTAGTGTGGTGAGAGCTGATGTGAGTTGCAGTGTGGTGAGAGCTGATGTGAGCTGTAGTGTGGTGAGAGCTGATGTGACGTGTAGTGTGGTGAGAGCTGATGTGACGTGTAGTGTGGTGAGAGCTGATGTGACGTGTAGTGTGGTGAGAGGTGATGTGACGTGTAGTGTGGTGAGAGCTGATGTGACGTGTAGTGTGGTTAGAGCTGATGTGACGTGTAGTGTGATGAGAGATGATGTGAGCTGTAGTGTGGTGAGAGCTGATGTGACCTGTAGTGTGGTGAGAGCTGATGTGACGTGTAGTGTGGTGAGAGCTGATGTGAGCTGTAGTGTGGTGAGAGCTGATGTGACGTGTAGTGTGGTGGGAGCTGATGTGACGTGTAGTGTGGTGAGAGGTGATGTTGCTGATGTGACGTGTAGTGTGGTGAGAGCTGATGTGACGTGTAGTGTGTTGAGAGCTGATGTGACGTGTAGTGTGGTGAGAGCTGATGTGAGCTGTAGTGTGGTGAGAGCTGGTGTGACGTGTAGTGTGGTGAGAGCTGATGTGAGCTGTAGTGTGGTGAGAGCTGATGTGACGTGTAGTGTGGTGAGAGCTGATGTGACGTGTAGTGTGGTGAGAGCTGATGTTACCTGTAGTGTGGTGGGAGCTGATGTGAGCTGTAGTGTGGTGAGAGCTGATGTGACGTGTAGTGTGGTGAGAGCTGATGTGACGTGTAGTGTGGTGAGAGCTGATGTTACCTGTAGTGTGGTGGGAGCTGATGTGAGCTGTAGTGTGGTGAGAGCTGATGTGACGTGTAGTGTGGTGGGAGGTGATGTGACCTGTAGTGTGGTGGGAGCTGATGTGACCTGTAGTGTGGTGGTTGAACACACAGTGTGGATGAGATGAAACAGTCAGACGGTAGACCGAGTCCTCGACATGGGAGGAGGAATCACCCTTTAGCTGAATGACTGCAGCTAAATTTGACCCTGGTCAAGACGGAAACCTATGTTTTCACACCTGGAAGCCTGGTACCATGATATTGATACTATTCACCCAATGGAAGACCTACAGCTACATGATATTACACTAAAAGAGCAGACATTTGAAGCTTGATTTGAAGCTTTCGTGACTGCAGGAATTACTCTTTGGTTCTTTCGGTAAAGGCACGTAGAAAGAAAATAAATTAAATAATAGAATACGACGTTTCTATTGCAACAGAAGCAATCGTCATCAGGTAGAAAACGAACCTAGTGAACTTCTAAATTTGAGAGAGAGACAAAACACAGAAACTGAGACACACAGACAGACACACAAGCAGAGAGAGACAACACAGAGACACAGAGAGAGACACACAACATAGACACACAGAGACCCAATGCCTGTGTGTCGAGGCCTTAAATAGAGAGATAGGGGGAGGGGGGGCAGAGAGAGATGTGGGTCTGCTGGAGCAGAGAAATCAGCATGTCAATGAGAGAGCTGTGTGGAAATCCTCCCAGTGGCGGCCAGGGGAGAGAAAGACCCAGCAAGTCTGGTTAATTTTCTAGAGAGAGTTGTGTGGAAATCCACCCCGCGGCGGCCAGGGGAGAGAAAGAGCGAATGGTCCTATGAGAGCCTGGTAAATTTGAGAGAGAGAAATAGGCAGTTTGAGAAAACAAACTTAGCAATTTTTTGGAAATGTAATGCAATGCAACACAGAGAGTTAGCTAACACACAGTTAACACATAACCTGGTTGATGATGTTCTCCAAAGTTTGCTAGATTAGAAGTTAAGTGTGAAATTTGACAGAGACACATAGAGAAAAAACAAACTTGCATCCTTCCCGTAGAGGTGGTTCAAACTTGATTTGAAGCTTTCGTTACCGCGGGAATTACTCTTTGCTTCTTTCGGTAAAGTGACGGGCGCTTCCTGGTGGATTTCCACACAACTCTCTCTAAAATTAACCAGACTTGCTGGGTCTTTCTCTCCCCCGGCCGCTGCGGGGTGGATTTCCACACAACTCTCTCATTGACATGCTGATTTCTCTGCTCCAGCAGACCCACCTCTCTCTCTCTCTGCCCCACCCCCTATCTCTCTATTTAAGGCCTCAACATAGAGGCGTTGGGTCTCTGTGTGTCTGTGTTGTGTGTCTCTCTCTCTCTGTGTCTCTGTGTCTCTGTGTTGTCTCTCTGTCTGCTTGTGTGTCTGTCTGTGTATCTCCGTGTCTGTGTTTTGTCTCGCTCTCAAATTTAGAAGTTCACTCGGTTTGTTTTCTACCTGATGATGACTGCTTGTGTTGCAATCGAAACGTCGTATTCTATTATTTATTTTATTTTCTTTCTACGTGACTTTACCGAAAGAACCAAACAGAAATTTGAAGTCCGGTATCGGGGAATAACTCGGCCAATCATCACTCCGGGAACAATAAAATAGCTGACACTTTGTGGGATGTTGCCAGTGCTAATTTTATTGAGCTTCTGTCCCCTGCGATAGGACTGTGGAATGTTTAACCCGTGGACATTAACATTACCCCGTGCTTCTTTGAACAGGGGAAATTGAAAGATTTCACCTGCATATTGCTGAGCGGAAGACAAACATCTCGACACGTGTCTGACCCGCGGGTCGTACGTTCCCCACACAGTACACACACGTGCTTACCTGTGAGCCAGGACACTGCCCACCGAGTCTAGGGCGTCCAGCGTCCTCCGAGGCCAGTGTAGGACTCCGGGCTGCCCGCCAAACAACCCCACTTCCCGGGATTCCAACAGGGGCTCCCCGTACCCACAGGAACCACTGCACTCGGGGTCCCAGCATAGTGGACCCGTCGAAGCGAGCCGCAGTGCAGCACTGCCGGGATAGTGCAGAGAGTGCATCTCTCCCAAAGCGTCTGCTTCACACGACTGCGTGAACATATTCTGCAGAGAGACCAGCGAGATACGGAACGTGAAATGCATTGCCATCCATTCATAGATATCCTATTAATATTAAAATTGTCATACTTTTGGGTCTTTCGGTAAAGTCACGTGACTTTACCGAAAGACCCAAGAGTATGAATTCCTGCAATCACGAAAGCTTTAAGTCAAGATTATAATCATCATCACCCATGGTGAATCCACTGCTGGATCCTGCACTGTAGTAATACACTTCGCACCTGCACGTGAGCTGGTTTCATCGCATCATTACCTCGATGTTGTTTCTTTCGGATGCGTTCCATTCCTTGGCTGCCACTCCTTTATTACCATAGGACCTGAATGCATGGAAGTCGTAGTAGTAACCGGTGGTTCACTGTACTCGCTTTCCAATGGCTTTAGCGTCACACTTTTCAAAAAAGTATCAAAAATGTGAGTTATTGAAAATTTAATTCTGTAATTGTATTCACTGTAATTCAACACATTCATATTGAAACTTTTGTATAAAACCTTCAAAGCCCCCAGATAAAACTAAAGTCGTAGTTCATATTCTTAGTTTTTTCGGTAAAGTCACGTTGAAGAGAAACAACAAAATAACAAAATATATATAAACCAATACAAAAAATTCTCACGACGTTTCGACCATAACTCAAACGGTCATCATCAGGTGTGTCGGTTTGCATGATGATGACCGTTTGAGTTATGGTCGAAACGTCGTGAGAATTTTTTTTTATTGTTTTATATATATTTTGTTATTTTGTTGTTTCTCTTCAACGTGACTTTACCGAAAAAACTAAGAATATGAATTACTGCAGTCACGAAAGCTTTAAATCAAAATTTAAAGTCGTAGTGTCGAATTTCAAGAACAAAATGACCCAAATTGTCGTAAAAACTTTAGACACTCACATTCGACAATTATTTGTAATGTTTTCCCGTTTAAAATGCAGTCGAATACGGTATACATAGAAAACCAAAATTCTAACCCTTTCAGACAATTATTATAATTTAAAGCAGTCAGATCTAAATAAATGAGTTTTAAACCTAGATTTCAGAAAATCTTTAGCCTTAATATAACTGAAAATTGTAAATTCCGTACATTTTCTTTTCACTTATTAGTAACTGAAATACATGATTGATCCTGCAGATATAATTGCATTTGTCGTTATTTTCAGTTATTTATAGTGTGTGCAAAGCAATTGCTTTTTCCGATTATGTGTTTTGATATCAATTAAATTGTAGGTATATTGTAGCAGTAGAGCATAAACGGTAAATTCACAGTCATGCATGCTGCATATAAAGTAATTTGATTGAAATAGTGCTAATTTATTGTCTTCCTAAACACATTTGTTAAATAATGCATAGTGTATTATAATATTGATAAGTTTATATTAAGCTGCTATGTAAGTAGTGGCTCAAAAGTAGCGGTGGCGCAGTGGCTGTGCTTCCCCCGCACCTCCGATTAGCACAGTTGGCTACGTACGGTGCTAAAGAAGTTCAGCATACATTCATACAACTCGGTCGCTTGAGTTTGATTCCAGCCACGGTTAACATCATTGGCGAGTGATATCTGAACCGGTCCTCAGCGTCCCCCTTAATCAACACGCACTAATCAGCGTGGCAGTGGGGTCGAAATGTTCTGAAATTACTTTAATTAATCCTGTTATCATAAACAATACAGATGTAGTGACTGGGAATGTCACTGTGTGGGGTGCCGGGCTTGTGAGGCCACGGCGGGATGTCTCCTGTTGTGTGTACACCCCGGACACGGGGTGTCGTACCAGCCCTAGTGGGGGCTTGGGTGAGCGCTGGTTCAGCGCGGTGGCACCACGCACAGCGTGCGGTGCGGACTCCCGTTGAGAGAGAGCGAGAGAGTGTCAGCCAGCTGGGGTTACGTTGGGGGCATGATACTCTGGCTGACCTGGGGACACGTGACCGGATGATACTGGAGGGGGGCCACTGGTGGAGGGGGCCAATGGGTGGTCACGTGGTCCGAGAAGAACTCTCGAGAGCCTTCGGGCAAGGGCGAGAGAGATCGAGAAGGTGGGCGGGGCGAGAGGCGGAGCCAGCCCCAGCCCGGCCCGATATAAGGGGGGGGGCCCTGTGAGGGGCTCGGGGTTCTTACTGTTGGAGAGGCAGGAGATCCACGTCAGGCTTCAAGAAGCCTCCAGCCACGTGGTCCGGGACCCAGCTTGTGGTCCGGACCGGGATAATGGAACCGTGTCTAGTTCCGCCGTAGCGTGGTTAGTTGGGTGGTCACCACCCTAGAGTATGTTGTGTTAATAGCCTGGAGTATGTTGTGTTAATAGCCTGGTGTATGTTGTGTTAATAGCCTGGAGTATGTTGTGCTAAGAGTTCAATAAAACGTGTTGCTCCCAAGACATCGTCTGCAACACAGTTGGACTCACTACACATACATTAAATCAATAAGAGACTCTGTGGACAGTACTACACAAGCACAAATTAAAAAAAACTCACTACCTTTGTCAAAATATATATACAGTGTGCTAACGTTTCAGGCCACCGGTATTTTCTAGACACGAGCTAATATTAGGCAAATACATATATATTACTTAGACGCCACAGTGTAAAGTGTGAGCATCAACTATAAGGCTAAGTCAATCTTTTTACCATTCCTTAACACATCTGAAGAAGGGCCATTGCTCGAAACGTCCGCTTACAAAATATGTCTTCTATTTTACTGCAGTGTTAGTGACATACGTGGTAGGGTGTATATATTTGAAATTTTAATACTCATGTTACGGACGACTGAGGCAGATCACTGCATTGCAAAATTTGGAGAGATGGCCAGGGGCTTGGTTGAAGGTATACATACAGCAAGTGGATTGATGATGGCTGATGATGATGGGCTATAATCATATAACAATGACTATACCCACGAATACATGCATGCGTTACACTCCGTCACAGCTGCCTGCATCCTTTTATACAAACCCACGTTGCATGATTAAACGTTTATAATCACGTTGTTAATTGCAGCCCACGACCGTATTAAAAAAAGTCATCTAAGAATATAATTGGCTTTTCGATTGCTGTAATTATCCATACATGTAGGATATCCCTTAACATTTCTTTGGCTCGTTTCTTGCAATACTCTTTTAAACCTTTATATAACGCAGCTAATAGAGCCAGCCTTCACTAGTAAGTATCTATATCTTTAATTCTATTATGCTGCAAATTTACTTGCAGCTTCATTCAATCTGTAATTTAACAAGTTGCATTGATAATGATCAACGCTTGCAATTGCTTGCTCACAGCCCTGCTGACAGAACGGGCTCCTCTAGAGGGCAGCTCCAGACGGCCCTTCGGAGGCCCTTTGAGGGTATATTGGTCTACTTCTCCAAGCTGGCCAAACGTGTCTGAAGAGGTAGAAAGTACCCACACTTTACCCCACCATAGCCAACAGGCCGGGGGATTTCATAAACCTGCCTAATGGTTCAACTGCCACGCCGGGAGAATAAATAGAACAACCGACGACCTCTGAATTTCAATTCCAAGGACATACATGAATAACAACAGCAAATAAACTACAGGTTATTTTACTCTATCAATTGCACAGCTATAGGACATGTGCTTAAATTTAATATGCTGCGCCATAACAAGGCAAAAATACACGCCGCGTTTTGAGCACACTTCACAGGATGGTCTGCGCGACTTGGTGAAGACGGAGGACGCACACCGAAGGATCGGTTTAAATATGACTCGCCACTGATGTCATGAGCGCTTTGCCGTGAATCAAACTCCGGTTAACCACCCACTGAAAGGAGGCTGCTTTATTTTATAATAACAAATGTTCAGTACATTAGTTAAGAAGCAGTGCATGTACTCACCTCGACTCAGCAACAGCGGGTCGCTCACGAACATTCAATGCCTTCGGAGTCAAGTCTCCGAGACTCTTGTTCCGTACGTTCTTACAGAATTAACATACGCACACCCTCACTAACTACACACGGACGTAGCCTACAACGGCAACGTGCTCCCCTGTAGTCTACTACACTGGCTGTAAGTGCGCATTTACTGTTACCAATTAGGATGGGTACCACGCACGAGGGGGATGGTGTGGACAGCAGCAAGCCGCGCCGCCGTTGCCTTCCACGTGTTGATGATGATGATGATCCTTACGGACCGCACCAGGTCCTGAACCGGTTCTGATTTTCGCCACTTATGTTAACCGTTGCCGGGAATCGAACTTGGGTGACGATTTTGTATCAATACTATTCCCCAGCTGACACACATACACACACAGAGACACTCTCACATACAAATACTCAAACACAGGCTATGCATACACACACATGATGCTGCTGCTGCCTTCATCCCAGCCACCAAACCCGCTGCTTCTCTGCCCTCCCCCCAGCCTTCACAAACCCCCCACTGTATGTAGTTTCTTCTTCCTCCGCACCTCCGATTAGCACGGCTGGCTACGTACGGCGCGAAAGAAGTTCAACGACCGCTGTTGGCTGCACGCATTCGCTCGTGGATGAGCTCCCGACTTGCCCGTGCGTGGCTCAGCGGACAGCTACCGCAGTGCAGGGGGTGCGAGCAAAATGTGCAGACGGAAAAATGCCCCCAGCCCACCCACCCCTCGTACATAGACTGTCGTTGTTGTTGTTGATGGTTCTATCGGTGAGATTAATGCCGAAACTGCGCGCAGCAACGAAGAGGAGGGGGGCGGGATGGGTGGGATGAGGAGGTGTGACCAGCAAGCACCACGGCCGGGGCCGGTCATGGTGCTTATAAAATTCTCACGACGTTTCGACTGCAACACCTGATGATTAATGCTTTGTTTCCCCGGCGCTAATGTTTATTACACACCGCACCAGGTATTTATTTTAAGGTTAAGTCGACCTAGCAGGAGGCGCGGTATAGGTATCTGAAATAGCGCTGCTGCTGCTGCTGATGATGTGAGCCGTCACCGGGGAGTCGAACTTAGGTAGCCGGATTCATTACCACTGCGCAACCATGAGTTGATGATACATAGCAGAATGTTGGGGCAAGTGCTGTTAGCGAGCACCTATGGAGGTCCGGCACTATGGCACACGGTGGGGTGGGTGGCCAGCACCACGCCTGGCGATGTTTCACACACCGCACCAGGTACTCATTTGAGGCTGAGTCTCTCTAGGGAGAGGCCCAAGACCGGTTCGGATAATCGTCACTGGTGTTGATAATCGCGATCGAGATTCGAACTCGAGACCACGGGGTTTCGTATCGCAGCGCGCTGACCGCTACACTGCCGCTCCCCACACACACTCAGCCAGGCACAAATATATACATACAGTACTCAGAGACAGATATCCACTCTTACAAGAGATACACACACATACTGACACTCACAGCCATGCATATACATACATAACTATATATTCTCAGATATACACGAACAAATATAAACGCATACACGCATGCAAAGAGACATACTCAGAGACGCTCACACATACAAAAAAAATATAAGCTCTTCCACATACTCAACAGACGCACACACACGCAACACTACTCACAAGTCCATTCATCCGCAATGGCATTGCTTTGCTCTGAGCACGTATAATGCCCGTGCTCTGCTCTAGCGTGCAGTTAGTTCACTTAGTACCCGAGCTGAACACAAAAAGTGTTCTTTTTGTAGCATGGAATGCTCACACGTCCGGCACACACACACACACACTTGTATACCCTACCCTGCCCGTTGGTGTTGACATCACTGGGTTTCAAATGCAGCAGCGTCTGTGATCATGCCTCAATATAAACTATCAAATTTCGATTTAAAGCTTTCGTGACTGCAGGGGATTCGTATTCTTGGTTATTTCGGTAAAGTCACGTATAGAAGGGAAACAATAAAATAATACAAATATGAAACAATACAATTATCACGACGTTTCGACTGCAACACCTGATGATGATTGCTTGTGTTGCAGTCGAAACGTCGTGAGAATTTTATTGTTTTATATTTTTTTATTATTTTATTGTTTCCCTTCTACGTGACTTTACAGAAAGAACAAAGAATATAAACTATCAAGTTGCCGTCTCATTTAAATCACTGCACGTCAGTCAGTCAGACAATCCGCATATCAACTCCTGGAATGCGTTCAAAAGGAGTCAACCGCTGACGACTCGTAGCACTGCTTATTAAACGTGTTATTTTATTACCCTGTTATTTCCCCGTGTGAGTAGCATACTCCCCATGTCATTTATCACTCTTACTGACCGGTGTGGTGAAGTATGGTCACATCACTCCTCCCCACCCCCTCCAATGGTAAGTGCAGCCTAAAGCTCAGTCCTTAGTCGCTCGCAATCAGGGAATTCATGTCAGCCGGATGGGTCTGTTCGGGTCGGTGACCCCTAAACTATTCCCGCACCCGGCACACCACATCCAGGATACCTCTCGATATGACTGTGGCTACTAGTCATGTGCCACCTACTCAAGTCTAGCCGCGACCTGGACAAATAATGCTGTGACAACTTTAAGTCATGCTTGCAACTGTGGCGGGATTGCTCCATTTTTGCAGGCGCTGCGAGGATTGTTGTGTCACAATGATTGTGAGTGATATCTGCGGGGTGGGGGTTTGGGGGGGGTTTGGAGGAGGAGGAGGTGGGGGGGGGGAGGACGCGTGTCCTACTATGATCGATGATTCATGCCTCAATATTTGCACCCGGACGTTCTTTTAATTGTAAGCGCCCCTACCTGCGTGCCCTCCTGGCCGTGCTGCCGTGGCCGCATTCAAGTCCAACGGTGCGGAACACCCCGCTCTGTGGGGCTGGACGTGTCCCGGCTGTTTCACAACGGACATGCTCCAGGGACACGGGTGGACAAACATGCGGACCGAGGGCCGGGGGACGGCTTCATTTCATACGGCCTGAGGCCAACGTGAGGTCTTCTACTTCGAACCGGCCAGCAAACGATTTTAATCCGTCACTGCAAGCATCTTAGCCGCACGAACGGGGAACTATAGGGGGTGGGGGTGTGGGGGATAATTTTCGACCTGCTAACAACAGAGTGTTTCGTGTGTGCCAGTCACTCACGTCACTGCAAGGGTCTCTTCCTTCCCGGTGGACGCGCGCGTTATGTCTTTGCGTTATCATTGGATAGCGGATGATGCCGCAGCGTAACGATGGTGACGCACACCTCACCTGCAATCAAAATGTTCGGGTTCAATTTTCTCGCGCAGCAGCAAGAGGACATCGAGAAGGGGGAGAACACAAACTGGAATAGAGGAGGAATGGGAATAAAATGTGAGAACGCGGAGGTAGAGAAAGAATCGTGAGTACAGGCACGCACAGAGACGTAGGCATTGAGACACGGACACATTGACAAAGATCCCCCGTATAGCCTTTAACCTTTGAAGGCCGGCACGGCACACGAGGGGGTGGGTGGCCAACACCACCCCCCAGTCGCCTTTGTCTAATGTTTACACACCACAGGACCGGTTCAAATACACACCATTATTATCGGTCGTGAGCACGAATTGAACTCAGACTTTCGGGTTCGTAGCGCAGTGCGCTTACCACACTACCGCCCAACACAGATACACGAAATCCCTGCACCGCTGCTCCCCAATATACAAAGACAAATATCCCCCCGGTAGCCTTAACAGACTGTTGGGAAAGTGTTGTTAGGGAGCACGAGGGTTGTGGATGATCAGCACCACGTCCAGCCGCCTTTGTCTCCCCAGTGGCGATGTTGACAAACCGCACCAGGTACCAATTTTACAGCCGCAATTCGCCACAATGTGGCGGTTACGTCACCACGGCGCTTGTGCCAGGCTAGGTGTACTCCGAGGCCACGTGAAGCGGTGGCGATTAGCTGACAGGAGGCCACTGGACAGACTCAGGTGCCATAGGTTGACTTACTGAGATGACTGGCAGATGCACCACCTGTACCCCCCTACTGTGCCCGCTTGCTGCAAGCTGGCACAGTAGGGGGGTACAAATGGTGCATCTGACTGCCTCCAACTACCCAGAAAGTTTTTTTCACGAGCCCGCCGGAGGACCTCACCGATAGGAATGTGTCCAGATATTTCAAGGATTTGTGAGCTCCTCACACAATTCAGCCTGGTTAAGCCAGGATGGACAGCGGGCAGGCCAGCCTGAATGTTTCAAACTGTCGCGGATGTTCCATAAGAAGGGTCTACCTTCGCAAGCAAAGAGAAGGAAGGACATTACTGTGGCCGAGAAGGCCCGGAGCTTAGTGTGGAGCGACAGACCAGGTAGCTTCCACACAGCGTCACGCAGCTGATGAAAAGGTAATGCCGCTCGGGTGATTTGGAGTGAGACATCTGCTGCCAAAGCGGAGTTGGCCAAACGCACACTGCCCAGGTACGGAAACTTCTCCACTCTCTCCACATCTGCCCCACCACTCTTCTTGGTTCTTTCGGTAAAGTCACGTAGAAGGGAAATAATAACATAATAAAAAATAAAACATTATAAAATAAAATTCTCACGACGTTTCGGCCACAACACAAGTAGCCTTCCTCAGGTGAAGAAACAGAATTGCCCCACTCGTGGGGCAGTTGAGGTGGAATCTTTGATGATGCAAAAATACCCAGGCAGGTGCTTAGATTTGGTGGGGCTGATATCGAGGCCCCATCTCTTAGTGGCACGCTCCAGGTTCAGCAGCAGAATCTACAACTCCTTCTCAGAGCGAGTAGCAACCACCAGATTATCAGCGTACATTATACAACAGAGAGCCATCCCTTGACCGCAAACGGGCATCGCTCATCCTTCCATTGTATATGTACCAGATATGAATTCCTCTGGTACAACCATGGAACGCTTCTCGAACTACGTGGTCGAAGATGATGTTAAATGTGAGAGCCAGAGGACATCCCTAACGCACACTGGCAGAAACTCACACGAAACAGTTTCCTAGAAATATATGTTCAAGTTTGCTTTAAATTGTAATAACATTCGTATTCTATAATTATGTGACTTGTATTAATCATTCACACCACAAGTGAAGGTCGAGAGGCCCTGGCGAGAAATGCTGGTGCATACTCTAGGGCTATTATTGAAGGCGGCCCAGAATCAGACGCCAGTATTAAGAACAGGTTGGAGTGCTTTTGGAAAGCTGAACTTACAATTGACAAAAAAACCCAAAACACTCGTTAATAACCCCGTATTAATGCGATACTGCTGCCACTACCAAGGCAGCAGTATCGCCAAATAATTTGTAGAATGATAAGCAACAGAATAGTGTGCCCCAAGAAGACAGCTCTCGACCAACACGGCATATCGTTTTGCATGTCATTTGCGTAAATCGCAAATCACTTTCTCACGCGCGCATTTCGATTAGTTGTTATTACGAGCGGATGAATGGAGATCTAAAGCGATGCATCAATGCATTGTCGTCCCAAAGCCGAGTATTGATCACAGACACAGATGCTACGTTTACCGGCAGAGGGCAACAGCGCACAGTGGAAGGGAGACCGGGCAGGTGCTATTTATGATTACGCTTGTTTTTGCGCAGGAAAGCCCGAGTCTCAGAGCTCTTCTTCAAGAGGGTCCTGCCAAAAATGTCACAGGAGGGGACGAGATTGCAACTCCAAAATTATCTTCTTTTCGGCCCTCCTGCCTCCGCCTTCACTTCTACCCAACAACGGATGCAAAA